AAAGCTAAAACAAATTATAATAAAGTGAAGCACTAGGCGACATGTTGAATCACAAACTAAATATAAGGATCATTATTCTTAAAAGAATGTCTTACAAATTGGTTTGATAATTATATAAAAAAAAGTTTATTTTGTTAAAAAATTACATACTTTTGAAAATAAATTAAATATACATGAATATGTGAGAAAGAAACAAACATCCAAAGTAAAAGAATGAAGATGGTTTCTTTAGCTTGATTTTCTTATAACCATAAAATATTATTATACATATGTATTACATTTAAAAATATAAAAAAACACTGAAGACATAAAGAAATACATAAAAACAAAAAATAAATAAAATTGAAAACAATAGTTTAAACTAAATAATTAATCAAACTCTTACAATGATATTTTAAATGAGTTTTCACCCCATGCAAGAACTTTTAAAAAAAACAAAGAGAATAATGAAGATATGAGATATGGTAGAGAAGGATGTGAGAATGGCTATTTATATGATAAGAAGTGATGTAAGTTACATTTTTAAAATAATTAAATTAGAGGAGTTATAATTATAATTTATAGTGTGTTTAATTGGAATTTAATAAAGAAAATCAATAGTCTTTGGAAATTTATATAATTTTCAGTTTCATTTTAGTAGTAAAGTGTGAATTTAAAGTATGAATTAATGTATATGATTAAATGTGTTTTTTTGGTTAAAAATAAATATTATATTTTAAAAAATAAATACAAAATGGAACAATAAAGAGAGTGAAACCTTACTTTTATATATATGATTTTAAATAATTTTCCACCAATAAGCCTTATAAAATTTGTTGAATGATATATGATTAAGTCTTTTCATTTTCTTTGCCATTTGATTATAACTTATAGTGTAATTAAATTTTGTATTGAATGATTGTCATAAACATTTATTTATTTATTTATTTTTTAAATTAAAGCCTTAAATATTTTTCCACCAATAAGGAGAGAGTGAAACCTTACTTTTATATATATTATTACTTAAAACAAGGTTAACTAATTTGTCTCTCTAAGTCTCTGAGATCATAGAAGAGAAAAGATTCCATATGTACTTGTCTCTTTTTTTTGGCTTGGTTTAAGAATTTTTCAAAATTCAAAAATAAAAAACGAAATGGTTTAGTAAAGAAAAAAAAAACTGTAATAGTAAATACTAATCTAACGGTTAAAACTATCAAATCAATGAGAGAAGAAGACAGCAGAACGTTGTTGGTACAATACAACGGTAAGATCATTAATAAAAATTAATATAGCCGTTGGTAAAGGTTTGCAAACGAGCCCTTTATATTAAAACCTAAATTTTGTTAAACTGTTCTATAGGTGGACTCATTGTTGGCATTGGAAGTCTTTGTTTTCGCCTTCTCTTGTTGCTCTGTCTTGATGCAACACCAATGCTCTGTCTTGATGCAACACCAATGCTCTGTAAGACTGATGAAACACTAACCACAGGAGTTCGACGTCCTTACATGTGAATGTGAACCCGTAACAAAAAGACTTATTATGCATTAGGAAATGATAATATTGAACTGATATTATTTTTTGAAAATAGAAGTAATATGATTATTAGTTGTTTATGAGAGTTTGCAGAAGAGCATACTCAATACAACAAAAGGAACATGAGATTTTGTTTTATCTAGATTTATTTACTTTACTCCTTATGATGAACTTTTTAGTTGCAAGGATCTAAATACTTGGTTGGCACAAGTACAAGATCGTTTTTCTTGTTGACGGTGAGTCCAGGAGCTTCTTCTATGTCGATATCCTCGACCACCATACCATCTGGTAACTTCCAGTCAAAGTGATACAAGAGATTTGCTAGACCAAACTCCACCATTGTTGTCCCCATGTAAATTGCAGGACAGATTCTCCGGCCGCCTCCAAATGGTAACAGCTCAAAGTCCTGTCCTTTAGCATCAATGTTATTATCCATAAACCTCTCTGGGAGAAACGCTTCAGGGTCTTTCCAGGTCTCGGGATCACGCCCGATAGCCCAAACATTCACATGAAGTCGAGTCTTGACAGGAATCGTGTAGCCGTCGATCTGAATTTCAGACGTGACTTCTCTTGGGATTAGGAGAGGTGTTGTAGGATGTAGCCTCCATGTTTCTTTGATCACCATTTTCAGGTAATGGAACTGTTCTATTTCATCCATGCTGATTATTGCTTTTTCCCCCATTTGGGTTCTGATTTCGTTTTGAACTTTTCTCATCACTCGTGGATTCCTTGCAAGTTCTGTCATTGCCCATGTCATTGTTATTGCAGAAGTATCCATTCCCGCGAGAAGAACGTCCTGTCATTTTAAACATATCAGAACCTCAAGTACTTATGACATATAAAGGATTGCTAAAACTTTTCTAAAGTTACCATCAAGATTGCTTTGATATGGTTTCTTGTGAGCTTATCATTTCCAAGAACAACTTCTTCTTTCTCAAACCTTAAAAGCAAGTCCACAAAATCTTCACTCCCTTGTTTCTTTCCCTGTTTATGCAGATCAAACATTTGTTCATAGAACAAATTGAGATCTCGCTTGCTTCTCTCTCTCCGGCTTTGCAAACCCGACAACCAGTCGATGATCCATCCGACAAACGGAATAAAATCTGAGGCGGAAAAGCTTCCTAACATCTCGAGTGCCTCACGGACTATTTGATTGAATCTGTCACTGTTGAGCACAGTTCCCTCAAAACTCACACCAAACGTTGCCCTGCATACTACACTTACAGTTAAAGAAAGACACTTCTTGTTCAAGTTAACCGGAGTCTTCTGAGAAGCTGATTCGGAAATTGAATCGATCAGTTTCTTGACCTCCTCGTCCTTAATTGGTTGAATCGAGTGAACTTGTTTAGTACTGAAAAGTTCTTGAGCACAGAGCTTCCTTACTTCTTTCCAGTAATCATCATAAGGAGAGAAAGCAATGTCCAAATAGTTGTATGAGAGCTCTCTTGGCCCTAAAGAATGATCAAGATTCGAGATTCAAGATTATTCAAGATTCAAGATTCAAGATTCAAGATTCAAGATTAATGGTGTTTGTTGAACTCTACTAAACAGAGAAACAGAAATCGAAACTAGAGTACCTGTCAAGCTTGGACGGGTACAACAATGGAGGTCATGAACTTTCAGAACTTGTCTTGCTGTTTCAGCGGAAGAAACTATTACTGTCGGCACTCTTCCAAGCTTCAAATGCATGACAGGACCATACTTCTTTGAGAGTTTCCATAAAGACTGATGTGGTAATTCTCCGAGCTGGTGTAAGATTCCGATGACGGGAAGGCCAGGAGGAGACGGTAACTGCCCATGTTTCTTCTTGTGGTTGAAAACAGCGAGAAGAATACAGATGAGGAAGAGAAGTGAGAGAAGCCAAATGTTAGCCATTTCGGATTTGATGTAGGGAAAGCTCTACATATGTATAAAGCTCCTTTGCTGTCTTCTATTATTATCTTCTTACTTTGGTAACCCCTCAATATTATTTAAATAGCTTTATTAAAAGAATATTTAATATTTTTAATTTTTGTAAATCCTTATAATTTTATTTCATGAGTAAACTCGTAACAACCAGTCAACCACAACTAGACAAATAAGAAACAAAAGTACAAAGGAACACAAGGTTTTGTTTCATTTAGTACAATTTGTGCAATATTGTATTTTGTAATCTCAAGAGAAAAAAAAACATTGTTTAAGTGATTAATGATTTAACCGCCTCAAAGGAACAAGCACAAGTTCATTTTTCTTGCTTGTATTGATTCCAGGGGATTCGTCCATGTCGATATCTTCGACCACCATGCCTTCTGGTAATTTCCAGTCAAACTGATACAACATATTAGCTAGACCAAACTCCACCATTGTTGTTCCCATGTACATGGCAGGACACATTCTCCTACCACTTCCAAACGGTAACAACTCAAAGTTCTGTCCTTTGGAATCAATCCCACTATTAATAAACCTTTCTGGAATAAACTCCTCTGGGTCTTTCCAGATATCGGGATCGCGCCCGATAGCCCATATATTCACATAAAGTCGTGTCTTGACTGGAATAGTATAGCCGTTGATCTCAAATTCAGACATTGCTTCTCTTGGAACCATAAGAGGTGATGGAGGATGTAGCCTCCATGTTTCATTGATCACCATTTTCAGGTAATGGAGATGATTTAGGTCATCCAAGCTGATCGTTGACTTGTTCCCAATTTGATTTCTGATTTCAGATTGCACCTTCTTCATTACTCGCGGGTGTCTCATAAGTTCTGTCATTGCCCATGTCATTGTTATTGCAGAAGTGCCTATGCCACCAATAAGAATATTCTGTAATAATATCACAAAAAAATGTTAGAATTTTCAAGGTGTTACAGTATGTCTTATGTTGGGTTGTGGGTAGTTAAGTAATTACCATTAGGACTGCTTTCAAATGGTCTCTTGTGAGCTTGACAGAGCCAAGAACAGTTTCTTCTTTCTCCATCCTCAAGAGCATGTCTACGAAATCTTCAACTCCTTCTTTGTTTCCATGTTTATGTAGATCAAACATTTGTTCATAGAATGCATCAAGACTACTCACGCTTCTCTCTCTCTCCCCTTTCAACCCTGTGAGCCAGTCGATGATCCAACCGCCATTTGGAAAATAATCTGAAGCAGAGAAGCTCCCCAAAAACAAAAATGTATTCAGGATTAACTTCTCGAATTTGTCACTATTTAGCACAGTTCCTTGGAAATTCACACCAAAGGCTGACTTGCATATCACTCTTACTGTTAAAGCAGTAAACTTCTCACTCAAGTTAACCGGTATTCCCTGAGAAGCCGATTCCGAGACTGAATCGACCAGTTTCTTGATTTCCTCTTCCTTGATGGGTTGAAAAGAGTGAACTCGTTTAGGACTGAATAGTTCTTGCACACACATTCTTCTTAATTCTTTCCAGTAATCACCATAAGGAGAGAAAGCAATGTCCAGATAATTGTAAGAGAGTGCTTTTGGTCCTAATAAAAACATGTCCTATGTTTAATCCTATGAACAACATAACTAAAACTAAAAATTTATATAGTATCTTTTGAGTGAAGGTCACGGTACCTGCTAAGGTTGGACGGCTACAACAATGAAGGTCATGAGTTTTCAGAACTTGCTTTGCAGTTTCAGAGGATGAAACTACGACTGTTGGGATACTTCCAAACTTCAAAAGCATAACAGGACCATACGTTTTGGAGAGTTTCCATAGAGATTGATGTGGCAATTCTCCGAGCTGATGTAAGTTTCCGATGATCGGAAAACCAGGAGGAGACGGTGGTTTCTTCTGATTTTGCTGTTGCTTTTTGTGTTTCAAGGCGATGAGAAGAATACAAGAGAGAAAGACAAGTAATAGAAACCAAATCGTAGCCATATCTAATTATTTTGAATGGACAGCAATACATTTAAGCTCATACTTATCTTCTCTTATTAATGTAGCAATAAGCTTATGGATTAGGGGCTTGTGGCTACTTGTAGTATTGAATAGTCTTTAACTACGGAATATAAATGGTTTAGTCAAGTTCTTTTGATTGTATTCCTCCATTGTTAATTTCCTTCTGTACAGACTATAAGAAAAAAAAAAAAAGTTGAAACATCAAAGGGAAAGAGACAGAGGACCACTACATCGAGGTAATTGGGAGACTTCGGCCAAAAAGTCTTGTTTGGCCCATCACATTGTCATTATCTGTCCCGACTATGGTCCATGATATAACATATTGCCTCGAGTTTGAGAGTAACGCGAGACTTAATCACGTCACTTCATCTATAAGTCTACAACTAATATCTTCTTTACGATAAAATGTGAAAAAAAAATATATATATGGTGAAAAAACACAACATTGTTGGAAAAAAAAACCTTAAATAAAAATACCTCAAAGAAAGAGTTCGAATGATTAGACAAGATATTCAAAATACTAAAAATTAGAAAAATTCTAATTTAATAAATTACTAGGGATGGACCCGCACGTACGTGCGGTGTTGATTTCAAAAACTAAGTTTATTATAAAATTTGTAATATATGGATTGATATGATGAAAGACCCGGATCGAGTGTGAACCGGATTAATGATAAGTTATAAATCAATTACGTGAACTATAACACCAGATAAAAACAATGAAAAACATAAATCTTTTGAATTTTATGGACCTAAATATAGATATTAAGAGAGTCAAATACGTTCACTATGCATGTCCTGAAACGAATTGAAATATTTTGACCCACCCAAAAAAATAAATAATTTGTCTTTTGATTGCCTTTTTTTTTTGCCAACAAAACAATAGGATTAACTCAGGTGAGTCAATTGGGGGGGGGGGTACAGTTGTTTACATACTTAACCATATGCGGATAGGAACGAACTTGTCGTGCCAGAAAGTCCATAATTTCCTTCTGCATATTATTAGAAATAGTTAAGATAATAAGTATTATTTCTAAATTACCCGTTCTCTTTCTGTATTTGTTATCTTTTGTCCCGATATTTGAAATATTAAGAAAATTTGAAACTTAAATTTGCTATTTAAATTTCATATACATGTATCATACCCGTCATTTGTTATTTGAAATTTGAAATTGAATTTAGTTTTCAATTTTTTTTTATCGTCTTGTTTTTGATGAGAGATAGTTTAGATAATTTTTGTTTTATTTTTTAAATTATCCGTCCCCTTTTTCTTTTTTCCCTATAAGATAAGATCATATTTTTTTTATTATAAATGACACCATTTACATGTTTGTTCAAAACAACATTACGTAAAAATTTTAAATAACCGTTCCAAAATAGAGATTTACATTTTAGAATTTAGATCAATTTTCTTGTTTAGATATTTTTAAGAAATCATGAAGATTTGATAATATGTTAATTATAAAATTCAGAAAATCATTGATATATGGTAGTTATATATAATAAGAAATTATATATGAAATACACAAAATTAGAATTTACATATATTTAGATACTTTCATTTAAAGTCAATTTAAAAAGTTTTAATATCTATTATTCTAAATTAGTTGAAATAGTTACATATGCAAAGCTGTTAAAAATAAGATCTAATATTAATTTTTTTCTATAACTATTATTCGAATTTAAATACAGACGTTTATTATGGAAATCTATTTAAATGTTAAGACTCAATTTTGGTCTAAATTTATTTTTGTTAATTTGTTCTTTTTTAAAGAAATACATAAATACCTCATTTCAATCAATATATTTCAAAAAGATTTTTTTTGTTTTGCTCTATTTGCGAGATTATTTTTCAATATGAAGATTTAGGTGAAAATAAAAGGTTTTATGTGATATAAAATTTTTTTATAGGGTTGATTTTAGAAAAAGAAAAAAAAATTATTATTGATTTGTTGAAGATTGTTTATTTAAAAATAGTTAATGATTTTTTAAGATTTTATAATTTTAAATATTTTTATGATATAATCAATTCTGATTATTATGACTCCACATTTTATGCTATTGTAGAATTTGATTAGTCATTTAGTTTTCTTTTTATTTTTCATATATCAATTTTTTTTAAATCTATGATGATTTGTTTTATTAGAATTTATTAAATATAAGTTATTGTTTTTAAAACATTTGAAAAATATGTTTACATGTAAAGTTTTGAATTTAATTGTCCACTTTTTATGGAAACAAAATATAATTTCCATAAATATAGATAGTTTTTTTTCTTGGTTTAGTTATTTTTTTTCTGTCTTTAGTTCTGTTTGGCAATATGTTTGGATTTACATATTTTTTAATATTTTTTTGGGACTGTTTGGATACAACTTGTCTTTCTGTTTTAATAGTATAGATAGTATATTTTATGAAAATTATGATAAAATACGTAATTTCTCAATGTATATATTAAAATTTTCAGCACTGATAGATAATAATTTATTTTAAAACTAAATTTATTTCATTATTATTTTCTAATAAATTTTACAAAATCTTTTATTTGTAGTGAGCAAAAAAAATATGGAAATGTAGGATGATACATATTCTACTTTTTAGTATAATATAAATTGCTATGAAAGACATTCAAAAGTTACACACCACTTTATTGAGTTCAAAGTGATCACAACTGCGTGATTTATAACATTGTCCAATTATAAACCTTGACCATTTCGAAACATCAAATTATTCATTTGATCATCGTTACATCTCAATGCTGGGAGCTAACGATGAGCAACGAGATAGTCCAAGAAAGAATCAACATAACGATCTTGTTGATCCATATCTCCAAACACTCTCTTCATATCCTTCACGTTTTCTCTATAAACCTTACCTTCTTCTCCCTCCATTACCAATCTCAGCGATTTCGCAACATCTTCTTTGGTAAAAGAACCTGTTGTTTCGTCCCGAGGGATCATATATCCAATTTCCTTTTCCTCGGCTACTCTCGCATTTAACCCTTGGTCGGGCACAAAAGCCAACATAACCATCGGTTTAGCAAACCGTACAGCTTCGATCATTGTACTCCAACCGGCATGAGTCAGTAACAAACCGATGGACTCGTGGTTCAATGTTCTCAATTGTTCAACCCAACCTCTCCATACCATTCCTCTCTCAGCCGTACGCTCTTCGAATCCTTCCGGAAGCTCAAGCGGCTCAGTATCCAACGGACCGCGTCCAGTCCTTAACACCCAAAAAAAAGGTAAACCGGAAAGCTCCAAACCGAGAGCGATCGCATTTAACTCGGTTTGACTCGGTTTAGCCTCCGAACCGAAACTTACGTAAACCACGGAGTTGGGTTTCCGTGAGTCTAACCACTTTTTAATACTCAACCATGTGTCGGTATTTTTAAATCTCTCTTCCGGTTTAGGAGGCAAAACTCCTACCGGTATAACCGGTTTACCATAGAGTTCTTGTATAAGTCCCAACCACTCTGCTTCGTACTCGTTACAGCTCCGTACGATGATGATATCACAACCGTCGATCACCCCCGTGGAACGGTCCAAGTCGGGGATATTCCCTTCGGTGGATTCATGCATCAATCCTTCGAAGATGGGCTTGCTTTCGAACAACCGGAAAGGTATCGGAGTTTGGAATGGAACCCATTTAGGCTTTGTCAGAAAATCCTCCGGTGATGTACGGTACTCCTTGAACCCCGACGGTTTTAGAATTCCGAAAGACGCGCCGTTAAAAGCAGTGAAGAATCCATTTTTGATTCCGAGGCGGGTAGCTATTGGAGGTGTTGGTTTAAGTTTGAAGTCAACTTGAGTAACAAGTTATCCTAGTCCTAAACCGAGTTATGGTTAAAGAGATAAGGATTATATGTTTTAGGAGTTATCTAGACATAAGTGTTTCCTTATAAGATTAGGATTGGTGTTATTATAAATAGAGATGTCGAGTAATGACATAAGGTGTGAGTTTGGAGAAAGAGATTGAGAGCTTAAGTTTTTGAGAAAGTTTTCTTAAGCTAATAAAGGGTTTTTACAATCTTGAGTTCTTACAAACAAACATTCAGTTTCTATATTTGGTATCAGAGCTTATACAAACGATTCTTGAGACATTATGGGGGATATTGTTGATGCATCGGCTGCTCAAACAAAGAAAGAAGGTAGCTCTTCATCAATCAAGTGTCCTATGTTGTCTTCATCGAATTACACTGTGTGGGCTATAAGAATGAGAATTCTTCTTCGAGTACATAAGGTCTGGGATATTATTGAAACACCAACAGATGATGGTGAGAAGAACGACATGGCTATAGCCTTGTTGTTTCAGTCGATCCCAGAATCACTGATTTTACAAGTCGGTGGCTTAGATACGGCGAAGAAGGTGTGGGAAGCCATCCAAACAAGACACGTTGGGGCAGAACGGGTCAAGGAAGCTCGGTTGCAGACATTAATGGCGGATTTTGATCGATTGAAGATGAAAGATACCGAGACAATCGATGACTTCTCTGCCAAGTTATCTGAAATCTCGGCGAAGACAGCAGCGCTCGGGGAAGAAATAGAAGAAACTAAACTTGTTAAGAAGTTTCTTAAGAGTCTTCCTCGCAAGAAGTACATACACATTGTGGCATCTCTTGAGCAGGTCCTGGACATGAAAACCACAAGCTTTGAAGACATTGTCGGGCGTCTAAAAGCTTATGAAGATCGTGTGGCTGAGGACGAAGATGAACAAGAAGATCAAAGCAAGTTGATGTACGCCAATATGGAATCACAATCAGATGCAAATCAACGTGATTACAATGGAGGCAGAGGTCGTGGAGGACGTAGAGGCAGAGGACGAGGTAGAGGCGGAGGAAGAGATACCTCTAAAGTGGTGTGTTTTCGGTGCGATAAGATGGGTCATTTTGCCTCCAGCTGCCCCGATCGTCTTCTCAAACTCCAAGAAGCACAAGAAAGTGATAACAAGAGCACGGTGGAAGCAGACGAGCTCATGTTACACGAGAGCACGATGGAAGCGGATGAGCTCATGCTACACGAGGTTGTGTATCTCAATGAAGAAAAGGTGGTTCCAAGCAAATACGAAACATCGAATGGAGACAACATATGGTATCTTGACAATGGAGCGAGCAACCATATGACGGGAGATCAAAGATATTTTTGCAAAATAGATGAGTCCATTACCGGTAAAGTACGTTTTGGTGACGATTCTCGAATCGATATCAAAGGAAAAGGCTCTATTGAGTTCATTGACAGAAACGGCGACTTACGGATAATGACGGATGTCTATTTTATTCCAGAATTGAAGAGCAATATCATCAGTCTTGGTCAAGCAACAGAAGAAGGATGTGATGTGAGAATGAAAGGAGAGAACCTAACAATGCATGACAAAGAAGGAAAATTGCTAGTCAAGGCAATTAGATCAAAGAATCGACTTTACAAAGTAACCATGAGCATCAAAGACACTATGTGTCTATACTCAACTGACAGTAGCGATTCTAACAGATGGCATGCGAGACTAGGTCACATTAACCACGAGACCATGAAGACAATGATACAAAAGGAACTTGTGATAGGTGTACCACATGTTAGTCTTGAAAAACAGATTTGTGGTTCATGTTTGCTTGGAAAGCAAACAAGAAAAGTGTTTCCACAAGCCACTACCTATCGTGCTACCAAGTTACTTGAGCTAATCCATGGTGATCTGTGTGGACCTATATCACCAAACACAATGGCTGGAAACAAATATGTCTTTGTACTTATCGATGATTTTTCAAGATATATGTGGACTATTTTGCTGAAGGAGAAAGGAGATGCCTTCACCAAAATTCAAGCGGTTTAAGAGTGTGGTTGAGCAAGAATCAGGAGAAGTCATACAAACCTTTAGAACAGACAGAGGAGCAGAGTTTGTATCACAAGAGTTCAATGATTTTTGTGCCAACTCGGGTATAAAACGACATCTTACGGCTCCATACACACCACAGCAAAATGGGGTAGTGGAGAGAAGAAACAGAACCTTAATGGAGATGACTCGGAGCATCCTTAAGCATATGCGAGTTCCAAATTATCTTTGGGGAGAGGCAATAAGGCATTCTACTTATCTCATAAACAGAATTGCCACACGAGCTCTCAAAGATAAGACTCCATATGAAATGTTTCGGTCCAAGAAACCAAACATTAACCATCTGCGAGTCTTTGGTTGCATTGGATACGCAAAGATTGAGGCCTCACTCTTACGGAAGTTGGATGACAGGTCGAGAATTTTGGTTCATCTGGGAACTGAACCAGGGTCGAAGGCATATAGGTTGTATGATCCACAAAATCGAAAAGCTGTGGTAAGCCGTGATGTTATTTTTGATGAATCAAAAGGGTGGAATTGGAGTCAAACTACCACGAAGGAAGGTAGAGCTGGAGAGTTTACAATCGACATTGGAATTTATGGAAATCATGGTATTCAAGGAACAGAGCAACAAATCGAAAATGAAACAGGGGAGGAAGACCATGGGAATCAAACAGAGAATGAAGTCGAAGAAAACACGACAAATGAGAGAGATGATACAGAAAGTGAAGTTAGTGATGGTGAAGAACGATCTGTTGGGCTGAGAAAATCACAGAGAATAAGACAAACACCAAAACATCTTGATGATTACGTCTTGTTGGCCAGAGATGAGGGAGAGCGTTTGTTAATGTGTCTTAACAACGAACCTAGAGATTTTTCTGAAGCAAAAGAATCAAGACAGTGGATGCTTGCATGCAAAGATGAGATTCATTCCATTGAAAAGAATCATACTTGGGACCTTGTGGAACTACCTGTGGGAGCTAAACCAATAGGCTTAAAATGGGTGTTCAAACTCAAGAGGAATTCTGATGGCAGCATAAACAAATACAAGGCTAGGCTTGTTGCCAAGGGTTATGTGCAAAGGTATGGGATTGACTATGATGATGTTTTTGCTCCTGTTGCACGGGTTGAGACAATTCGGCTCCTCATAAGTCTTTCTGCTGCATATGGATGGGAAATTCATCATCTTGATGTCAAGACAACGTTTCTTCACGGCGAGTTAAAAGAGACTGTTTATGTAACACAACCGGAGGGTTTCATAGTGAAAGGAAGTGAAGGAAAAGTCTACAAGCTCAATAAAGCGATGTATGGTTTAAAGCAAGCTCCTAGGGCATGGAATGATAAACTAAATCAAGTTCTTAAGGAACTAAAGTTTGAGAGATGCTCAAAAGAACCGTCAGTCTATCGGAAAATGCAGAATCAAGACGTCCTTCTTCTTGCGGTGTATGTTGATGACCTTTTTGTATCGGGTACAAGTGTTCAGGTCATAAAAGATTTCAAGAAGGAGATGTCCATGAAATTTGAAATGAGTGATCTCGGTCTTCTGACGTATTATCTTGGAATAGAGGTACATCAAAACAAGGATGGAATAACTTTGTGTCAAAGTAGATATGCTTTAAAAATCTTAGAGGAGGCTGGTCTGTCATCGTGTAACTTGGCTCACACGCCTATGGAAGAAGGTCTGAAGCTATCAAAGGCTTTAGACGAAGAAGACGTTGACGCTACAAGATAGAGGAAGAATGTGGGATGTCTTCGTTATTTATTACACACAAGACCGGATTTGTCTTTTTGTGTAGGAATTTTGAGCCGATACATGCACAGTCCTAAAGAGTCTCATGGAGCAGCGATGAAGCAGTGTTTGAGGTATCTACGGGGCACTACAACGTATGGATTAATGTTCTCGAGGTCAAGCACAAAGTACTCAAAACTGATTGGTTTTAGTGACAGTAGTCACAACATTGATCCCGATGATGGAAGAAGCACAGCAGGTTATATTTTTTATCTCGAGGGAGGACCGGTTTCTTGGTGTACGCATAAACAGAACACGGTAGCAATGTCGTCGTGTGAAGCAGAGTTTATGGCGGGAACAAAAGCTGCAAAGCAAGCTATTTGGCTCCAAGAGTTGTTAAGTGAAATCACCGGTACACCATGTGAGAAGGTTATCATTCTTCTTGATAACAAATCGGCAATAGCTCTCACTAAGAACCCGGTGTTTCATGGTCGGAGCAAGCATATACATAGGAGATATCATTTCATCCGAGAGTGCGTTGAGAGCGGGCAAATTGAAGTGGAGTATGTTCCCGGGGACGGACAAAAGGCGGACATCTTGACAAAAGCTCTTGGAAGAGTCAAGTTCAAGGAAATGAGAGATCTCATTGGAGTAAGAGACTTGAAGGAAGAAGACTTCAAGCTTAGGAGGGTGAATGTTGGTTTAAGTTTGAAGTCAACTTGAGTAACAAGTTATCCTAGTCCTAAACCGAGTTATGGTTAAAGAGATAAGGATTATATGTTTTAGGAGTTATCTAGACATAAGTGTTTCCTTATAGGATTAGGATTGGTGTTATTATAAATAGAGATGTCGAGTAATGACATAAGGTGTGAGTTTGGAGAAAGAGATTGAGAGCTTAAGTTTTTGAGAAAGTTTTCTTAAGCTAATAAAGGGTTTTTACAATCTTGAGTTCTTACAAACAAACATTCAGTTTCTATAGGAGGTAGCCAATAAGGAGCAAAATCTTGGAGAAGCCAATCAGGTTTAGAAGATTCAAGAAACTCCGTCAGTGGATTTTTTAAGCCGTCGAAAGCAATTTTCAAGTAAGAAACGAGATGGAATGGTACGTCGATGGTGGCTTCGGCGTCCTCTGGGAGCTTGTTGTGGCCGGGAAATGGGAGTTTGACGAAATTAATGGCGGTGGAGAGATCTTCCGGCAAACGTGGGAGGAGGCGGTCGATGTTACGAGGAGTGGAGATGAATGAAACGATGTGACCCTTTTGAACCATGATCTTAGAGAGCTCCAAGTGTGGAACCAAATGGCCAAAGGCTAACCATGGAAACATCGCTACGTGGAGCTTGGTTCCATCTTCTCCATTCTTTTCTTTAATGTTTGCCATTTGTTATGATATATGGTATATAGACTATAGCTAGATGATCGACTCTAGTGTTGTTTTATACTAGGATTATTCATTTGATCGTGATATTGATAATTAAGATGTTGTCTGTTAGGTGAGATGAGTGTGGTTGTAAATGGAAATATTAATATTTGTCCCTCGTCGTGTTTCAAGAGGGTTCACGACATCACGTTGTTCACGTTGTTTTGATTTATGAGAGAGAGCCCAACACAGACCTACACTCTCTCAAGAGTTATAGAGTAATTATATAGGCTGGTAGAGCTGTCAATTAGGGCTAAAGACCACGGGGTAGAGTCCAATCCGTGTTAGAATATAGCAGTCTAGAGTTTTAGTTTTGGTGTTCGCGGTTAAGCGGGCTGAGTCCGCTGCGATCTAAAATCATTGGCGGACTAATTGTTACGGTCAGCAGGCTAAACCGCAGGCTAAGTAAAACCTAATTGTCTATTTAAGTTTTTAACATCATTTTTTTAAAGACGGTTCTACATACCTATGACTCCATGTCTCTACTAAGTTTATTTGTGTTTTATCGAGACATTAGAGGATCTTTAAAAAGTTGGCTTTGATCTAGAAGATATACAAAAGAATTTCTCTAAATGCTTATTAATTTTATTATTATGCTTATTTTCTGTATATGGTAGAATTATGATTTGTGTCATATACTATATATTAGGCTTGATATTTTTTTCTTTGTCATGAAATGTTGAATGGGTCCGTAGTGTGGTAATTTACAATTAGTGACACTTGTGACTAGTAACTTGTTTAATTATTAATATAAGTTTTATAACCCTAATAATCAACCTAAAAAAATCTTTTAAACGCAATAACAATAACAACTAATTAGAAAAAGTATATTTTACTACTTATAGATTTAACTAAACTAATTTTAAATTGTTTTGTTTTTATTAAATAAAAGACTGCAGGCTGAACCGCATATCCACATATATGAAGCGGTTGGACTAGGATTTTGAATTTTATGACCGCGGATCAAAGCGCCAAAACCCGCATTAAAAAAAGTCTGCCGCGGTTAGGACTGAAAATCCGCGGTGTAGCCTTAATTGACAGCTCTACCGGCCGGGTAGAGATCCAACGGAGGTTATTAGAGAGAGTTTATAAGTATTAAGAAAAATAAAATTTATAATATACCAAGAAAAGAACAAAGAACGTGGTTTTTTAAAATAACATACTTCTGAAACTCTTCTTATTACATGTAATAGGGCTGTCAACCCGTGCGTTGCCGCACGGGGAAATGAAAACTTAAAGTAATTAACATTGTTAAATAACGGTTTTGAGTGGAAGATTGATTATAATCTTCTAATTGTATATTTTTTTAATTTAATTTACGAATTTATTTTCTTTACTTTTTCTATATTATATTATGATATATTAGATTTGTGAGACTGAGAAAGCTTTCTTACTATTTTATCTTTATCCTTCAAATGATATTTTTCTGTTGGTATCGCTGCATTTTAATACTGATGATCCTAGAGAGTCAAAAGAGTTCAACATTTATGAACGGCCATTTTTTCTCTTAATGTGCCCCTTCTTTTGCTTTATTTAAAAAAACAAAGATGTCAACGCAATTATGAAATGAACTTATAACTACTGCCCTTAAAAGAGTATTAAAGATTCATGACTTTTCCTTTCACAAAATCTAAGAAGCTTTTTGGATACAAAGTTCAACTATTTCTATCATAATACATGTTTCAAACACCAACGAATCATTAGTCCCATAAAACTAATGAGACAACTCTACAGATTCAACTAAATTTAACATAACATTATAGGAACATAAACAATGCCTAAAGAAACATCAATGAGAAAGAATATGCTTGAACATGAGTCAGTCAACGCCGATTAGTAAATAGAAAAATAATACTTAGATTTTTTTAAACTCAGAGGTGTGTAACAATACTCAGAAAAACAAAAACTCTTTTCAAGTTCCATAGAAATCTATATATATAAACAAAGAGGTGTGAAAACAAAAAGATGTGAAAAATATCAGGTGTGAACATTTAAAGCTAGGGGTACGACGAATAAACACAATTGTTAGATATAAAACCTGAGGGTACGACGAATAAACACAATTGTTGGATATAAAACCTTGCAACTTTTGACATCATTAACAAATATAAATCGTTAGATGAGATAACAAAAACAATCTCATACGTTAGATTAAAACGATGACATCAGCAATCATAAAAAGTGAAATATGCTTGAACATGAGTCGGTCAACGCCGATTAGTAAATAGAAAAATAATACTTAGAGTTTTTTAAACTCAGAGGTGTGCAACAATACTCAGAAAAACAAAAACTCTTTTTAAGGTCCACATAAATCTATATATATATATATATAAACAAAGAGGTGTAAAAACAAAAAGATGTGAAAAATAACAGGTGTGAACATTTAAAGCTAGAGATACGACGAATAAACACAATTGTTATATATAAAACCTGGGGGTACGACGAATAAACACAATTGTTGGATATAAAACCTTCCAACTTTTGACATCATTAACAAATACAAATCGTTAGATGAGATAATCAAAACAATCTCATCCGTTAGATTAAAACGATGATATCAGCAATCATAAAAAGTGGGTTTGCTATTATATATAGATTAGTAAGAATCTTTCCTTACATGTGTTTTACTTTTATTGGTCAACTTTATTTTTATATTAAAATATTAATTTTTTAAATTTAAAGAAGAGGTTCACCACTTCAAAAATTATATATTTGGTATAGAAGACAATCATCACTTCTTCGAGAAACTAGTTTTCTAAGGGCATATTTAATGCAAGGATCTTGTATCATACCCAAAGATTTGGAAAGGAGTATCTTATATAAGATTGATAACTCGATTTTTTAAACTTTTCATTGTTAAATAAGTATAATCACACATATATATATATATATATATAAAGAATTTGCTAATCAAGTTATGAATTTGGATGAATACAATAGAAATAATGTTGACAGTCTCAAAGCAAGATAGTTATGCTCTTAAAGAGCTAATTATAATATTAAAACAAGACATGACGAGAAGTAGCTCATTGAGGAGCTTTATTTTTTATTTTTTGCATGAATGTGAAAAAATATTTTTCTTGAAAGTCCTTTTTACAATAAATGCATCCTTGAAATTTTTTTTTTCTTTTTTGAATACCAAATGCATCCTTGAACCAAACCTTAATTGAAAAGAGCAACAAAAAATTAGAAAATTTAGAAGGGGATTAGCTAAACCTGTAGACATTTTTGAGATCTCTGATGGGTAATTAAGAAATGTTGATAATTAAGAAATGTTGTCTGTTAGGTAAGATGAGTGTGGTTGTAAATGGATATATTAATATATATTGGTCCCTTGTCGTCTTTGAAGAGGATCTCTCGTTCGTACGGATCTACACTCTCGGAGCTACGTACGGAGTAGGGAAAAAAATAGATTTTTGATTATATGAAGTAGCTCATTGATGAGCTCAAGAGGTTACATTAATCAATGTCGTACGTACACAGTTACACAACATATGCGTGCGTATATGACAAAACCTAATAACATGGGCTTAGATGGCTTTTATAATAATATTCTCTTGGACTTTGTCTTTGTGGACTCTAATAAATACTTCTACGGTTTCTCCAAACTTGAAATAACAAGCGAGACTGAACCAGAAACACACAATTTAGTTTTATTAACTACAACCAAGAAAAGCTTATTTTACTTGATCAGTGATTTAAAAACTTTACAGGTTGAAGTGAAAGCTCGTTTTTCTTGCTCGCATTGAGTCCAGGGGATTCGTCCATGTCGATATCTTCGACCACCATGCCTTCTGGTAGTTGCCAGTCAAACTGATACAACATATTTGCAAGACCAAACTCCACCATTGTTGTCCCCATGTACATGGCAGGACACATTCTCCTACCACTTCCAAATGGTAACAGCTCAAAGTTCTGTCCCTTTGCATCAATGTTACTATTAATAAACCTCTCTGGAAGAAACTCCTCTGGATCTTTCCAAGTATCTGGATCACGCCCGATAGCCCAAACATTCACATAAAGTCGTGTCTTGGCTGGAATCGTGTAACCGTTGATCTCAAAGTCAGACATTACTTCTCTTGGAACCAGAAGAGGTGCTGGAGGATGTAGCCTCCATGTTTCATTGATCACCATTTTCATGTAATGGAGCTGATCTATGTCTTCCAAGCTGATCATTGACTTGTTCCCAATTTGATTTCTGATTTCGGATTGCACTTTCTTCATTACTCGCGGGTTTCTCATCAGTTCTGTCATTGCCCATGTCATTGTTATTGCAGAAGTGCCGATGCCTCCAAGAAGAACATTCTGTAATAAGACCATCAACATTTTATAATCACTAAGTATTATAATCATACAACTGAATTGTGTATAATTACCATTAAGACTGCTTTGATATGGTTTCTTGTGAGCTTGCCACATCCAAGAACTGTCTCTTCTTTTTCCAACTTCAAGAGTAAATCCACAAAGTCTTCAACTCCTTCTTTGTTCCCCTGTTTATGTAGATCAAACATTTGTTCATAGAATGCGTCAAGACCTCTCACGCTTCTCTCTCTCTGCCTTTGTAAACCCGTGAGCCAGTCCACGATCCAGCCGCCACTTGGAAAATAATCGGAGGCAGAGAAGCTCCCCAAAAACAGAAACGCATCATGGATTAACTTGTCGAAATTGTCACTGTTAAGCACAGTTCCTTGGAAGCTCACACCAAAAGCTGCCTTGCATATCACGCCTACAGTTAAAGAAGCTAGCTTCTCGCTCAAGTTAATCGGAGTTTTCTGAGCAGCTGATTCCGAGAACGAATCCATCAGTTTCTTGACTTCCTCGTCTTTGATGGGTTGAATCAAGTGAACTCTGTTAACACTGAAGAGTTCTTGAACACAAATCCTCCTTAACTCTTTCCAATAATCATTAAAAGGAGAGAAAACTATGTCCAGGTAGTTGTATGAGAGCGCTCTTGATCCTAAAGAATATTGTGTTTTGCTCAATCCTATGAACACAAAAGCAAAGACTAAAACTTAAGTATGTATTGAGTGAGAACTAACAGTACCTGCTAAGCTAGGACGGCTACAACAATGGAGGTCATGTATTTTCAAAGCTTGCTTTGCTGTTTCAGAGGAAGAAACTACGACCGTTGGGATACTTCCAAACTTCAAAAGCATCACAGGACCATACTCTTTAGAGAGTCTCCATAGAGATTGATGTGGTAACTCTCCGAGCTGATGCAAGTTTCCGATGATCGGAAAGCCAGGAGGAGACGGTGGTTTCCGTTGATGTTGCCGCCGCTTCTTGAGTTTAGAAGCGGCGAGAAGAAGAATACAAGAGAGAAAGAGAAGAGAGAGTAACCAAATTGTAGCCATTTGTTTGATTTGATGGCTGATCAAGGAAAAGACATATGTATAGTAGCAACATTGGTGCTGTCTTCAATTATTTTCTGACATACTCATCATATTAACTTTTAAAAGAAATAATATTTAACTCGATTTGCATGTATAAACTATTATTTAAAAATGTACATATAACTCGATTTGCATGTATAAACTATTATTTAAAAATGTACATATATATGGGTCATGGTCTTTTGGTTATTTGTATATATATATATTTTTTTAAGTATTGATTTATTATTTATTGAAAATTATGAGAACGGTTAACCACACATTTTTCTTGACGAACGGTTCTAATTGTGTATTGTTGTAGATTTTTCTGTAAACTTGTCTCTTTAATTTGCAGATTGATAAATCGCATTATCTCGGCGCCCTAGACCTCTTGGTGTAGAAGATTTAAACAATCATTGCCCAACCACGAGACCAAACGAGTTTCCATAGTTGTATTTTTTTTAAGAAATATTAATTTTCTGTAATTATTTATTTATATTCTTTCTAAGAAATATTAATTTTCTGTAATTATTTATGTATAAATTTTATAAGTTTAATTTTGGTTACAAAAAAATTCAGGTGAAAGAAATGTGAACTGAGGAAGAAAAAAATATGATCTTTCAAACTACCCTAGTTTTCATTTTTATACGTCCTTGATTAAAATCTTCTACCAACAATTCTAAATCATTTTAATTAATTTATATATTTGATAATAAAGAATAAAAATTTTAATCGTTAAAGTATATTAGAAGAAAAAAAAAGAAAAAGAAAAGGATGAATAATTGGTTTGGTTAGGTCCAAAGATATTCCGACAATAACAGAAATCACATGAATCACAAGAATTTGTTTTGTTGCCATATTTTATTTCATCTGCCACCCAAATTTTTATTATATTATATACATAAAAATAATAATAACTTATAATTGAAAATTACGTCATTTTATTGTTTTCTAGTTTTGCTTTTTAATGCTCCAGAGTACTTATTATGCATTTTATAATATATATAATAATCTAACAAAAAAACACTCATTTCTAATTCTCTGTTGTGTGTTTTCTTAACTTCCACACGTTAAGAAAATACATACGTGTGTATCTTATGTCAATAACTGGCCCCGTTAAGTCTTGATTTTGTCAAACCCAACAACATCAAATCAAATTACTAAGATTAATAACTAAAGTCTAATTAGTTCACTAATCATTGTAGCATAATTAACAACCACTAGAGTTAGGAAACGGAACGGTATTTTAAGTTGTATTTTCTGTTGGTAATTAAAATTATATTACTATATTTAACCGGTAGAATAATGCATGAAATTTTGTCTTTATATATAATCATAATTTAATCAACTTAATTAATTAACTATAATATTTAAAATAATAAAGATGTTGGCTTAACATCTTTCGTTTAAATATTCTATTCAGAATAATATATTTTTGAGTTTTACTAAAGTAGACAACCTGTAAAACTATATAATCATATTTATGTAAATTCTAACACGGTCCATCACAGAACCCGTGGTACACTATTATCAAAAATACTTTAGTTTTAATTTTCTATAGAGTTAAAATATTAATAACACTTAAACTTTTGATAGAGTTTAAATTTTTATAATATTTTAAACTTTTTAGAGTTAAAATACTAATAATACGTAAATTTTTTATACAGAGTATTTGGAATATTTTAAACATTCGATAAAGGTTAAATAAATATTTATAATATTTGAACCTTAAAACATTCAATATTTATAATATTTAAACTTTTAGTTTAAAAATTATGATATTTTAATTTTTAAACTTTATATAAGCTCAAATAGAGAACTGGAAAAAACAAATAATATTTTTAGATTTGGACACCTAAGAAATCAAGTTTTATACTCATTCATAGTTGGAAGTATATTAGTTTTATTTATAGTGATTCTGAACCATTGTAAAAAATTTTCTAGCCAATGTGGGACATCGTAACATATATATATTTTGTATCGATTAAGTAATGTACCGTCCGTTTAAAAAAATTCAAACTGCAATATATGCGGAAATTTTTTATTATATATATTTTTATGTAATAAAAGTAATTAAAAAAAGATCATTTATAGATATTGGACATATTGTTTTATGAAGTTTTGATATAAAGATAACATGTATATGTTTTATACCAAATCCGTAGAGATAATTTATGAAACTAATTGGTTGTTTGATTTTTTAAGTATATTTTGATTTTCTGTATTGAATTTATTGATTTTTTGTGGAATTTTTGAGGGATTAAATTTGTAAATAACTTTTTCAATAAGCATAACTTGAAGGGTAGAACACCAAATGTACATCAAAATTAATAATATAGATTGGTTAAAAAGGAAAAACTTATCAAAGGTTTCATCAAAACATTTATTCGAGATGAGAAATGTTCAAGTCCTAAAGTTGAGTGATAATCGTTTTATTCTATACCGGGTGTTATTGGTTTTGTATTTTTTTTAAAGTAAATAAAAAACTTTTAATTTTTTCTTTTTTGATTTTTTTCTTGTAAAATTAATTAAAAATCAATTCTATTAAAATCATTTGTTATTTAATGACGCAAAGTCAGGGATCATAAAAACGGATTGATACGTTACGAAAAGTAAAGCCAAATTGAAAAGATGATGGAAACAAAAGAACATTTTTGGATACGCTTTTATTAAGATAGAATCGATGCTACATTTTATTTTGAAATCTCATGAAAGTACTTTTAGTTTAAGCGATCAATGATCAAGAAGTTCAATTTTTGAAAAGAAAAAAAAAAAAAAAGATTAAGCTGCAAGCAACAACAGAAACAAACACGTTTGATCAGAGACTCTTCCATGTCAATATCTTCCAGTCGAATTGATCGGTCCATTTAAAGGATCAAAGACAGCTCAATGCTTACGATGAGCAACGAGATAGTCCAAGAAAGAATCGACATAACGATCTTGTTGTTCCATATCTCCAAACACTTTCTTCATGTCCTTGACGTTTTCTCTATAAACCTTACCTTCTTCTTCATCCATTACCAATCTTAGCGATTTCGTAACATCTTCTTTGGTAAAAGAACCTGTTGTGTCGTCCCTAAGGATCATACGCCCAATTTTTTTTTCCTCGACTACTCTCAGATTAAACCCTTGGTCGTACACAAAAGACAACATCACCATCGGTTTAGCAAACCGTACAGCTTCAATTATTGTACTCCAACCGGAATGACTCAGAACCAAACCGATCGAATCGTGGCTCAGTGTTCTCAACTGTTCAACCCAACCTCTCCACACCATCCCTCTATCAGCTGTACGCTCTTCAAATCCTTCCGGAAGCTCAAGCGGCTCGGTGTCCCACGGACCGCGCTGAGTCCTCAACACCCAAAAAAATGGTAAACCGGAAAGCTCTAAACCAAGAGCGATCGCATTTAACTCGGTTTGACTCGGTTTAGCTTCTGTACCGAAACTTACGTAAACCACAGAGTTGGTTTCCCGGGAGTCTAACCACTTTTTAGTAGCCAACCATGTGTCGGTATCTTTAAACTTTTCTTCCGGTTTAGGAGGCAAAACTCCCACCGGTATAACCGGTTTACCATAAAGTTGTTGTACAAGTGTAAACCACTCTGCTTCGTACTCGTTAGAGCTCCGTACGACGAAGATATCACAGCCGTTGAGTACGCCGGCGATACGGTCCACGTCGGCGATATCCCCTTCGGAGGATTCAAGCATAAATCCATTGAAAATGAACTTGCTTTCGAATTGCTGGCAAAAAGCCGGGGTTTCGAATGGAACCCATTTAGGGCTTGTCAGAAAATCCTCCGGCGATGTACGGTACTCCTCGAACCCCGGCGGTTTATGAATTGCGAAACAGGCACAGTTGTAAGCACTGAAATACGCGTTTTTTATTCCGAGGCGGCTAGCTATTGGAGGAAGCCAGTAAGGTGCGAAATCTTGGAGAAGCCAATCAGGTTTAGAAGATTCAAGAAACTCCGTCAATGGAACCTGTAAGCCGTCGAAAGCGATTTTCAAATATGAACCGAGATGCAAAGGTACGTCGATGGTGGCTTCGGCGTCCTCCGGGAGCTTGTTGTGGCCGGGAAATGGGAGCTTGACGAAATTAATGGCAGAGGAGACATCTTCAGGCAAACGTGGCAGGAGGCGGTCGATGTTACGAGGAGTGGAGATGAATGATACGGTGTGACCCTTTTGAACCATGAGCTTTGAGAGTTCCAAGTATGGAACAAAATGGCCAAAGGCTAACCATGGAAACATTGCTACGTGGATCTTGGTTCCATCTTCTCCATTCTTTTCTTTAGTGTTTGCCATTTTGTTATGTTTTAGTTTTGGACTATAGATACGACTCTCTTCTCTACTTACTTTTATAGAGGAAGAGAAAAATAGCATAAAGATATTTTCAAGTGTACAAGGGTTTTTTCATTTATGGTATTGTCTCTCTTAGGTAGAATGTGTGGTTGTAAATGAAAAAAAATAAATTAATATTAGATTGGCCCATATCTTCGTTCTTGAAGATCCCCATTGAGACGACACTCTCTCTGAAGAGAATACACATGGTTCGTTAGGTAAGACGTGTGGTTGTAAATGGAAATACTAGATTGATCCATTGTAACGGTGGCCCCGGATCTACGTGGAAACATTGCTCCATGGAGATTGGTTCCATCTTCAATATTCTCTAATGTTTCCTATTAACACTTTAGTGATGTTAACTGATTTTCTCTTTAGGTTGTAAATGTGACTGGTACCAAAGTAATATATACAAGTATAGTAAAGTGGAATAAACAAAAGGTAACTTAATCCTACTCAACGAAGTATATACTAACTTACTAACTATAAGCATGAATAACTTTTGATTTTTTTTTATATACTAAACTAATCTACCAATGTCGTTAAAATATTGTCTAAACGATCTAAACGAAGTAGATGGAGGAGGAGCTTGTTGGTTTTTGTTGTTCATCATTCCGCCTCAAAATATCCACGAACATTTGAATGTAGGGTATTCAAGTCACAAAATAAAATTTCGTTTTCTTCCTTCTTCTCTTTCAAAGCATAATTTTTTTACTTTGAATCTACAATTGCTGTTGTCTTTGTTCACAATTGCCATCTTCAGTTAATAGAGATAAAAAAAATAGTGTGAAGATATTTTGAGATCTCTAACGAGCCAAGAGTTATACATTTGATTGTGAAACACAACACATGTTGTCCGTTAGGTAAGATGTGTGATTGTAAAATGGAAATATTAATATCGGCCATCGGCTCAAGACCTCACGTTTTTTTAATTTATGAGAGAGAGCCCAACACAGACCTACACTCTCTGAAGAGTTACAGAGGGTAATTAATTAATAAACCCGGCTGGTAGCATAGAGAACACACATGGTTCGTTAGGTAAGATGTGTGGTTGTAAATAGAAACTTAATACTAGATTGATCCATCGCAGCGATGGCACCGGATCATTTTAGGAACACAGTTATAAGAATACATAAAACAAGCTAGTTTAAGTCCTAGAGTTGACGATGGAAAATGTCTATAAAAACTAATATTAGAATGACTTATGTAACATAATAAGAAATGTTTTAGTCATATAGTTGAGTGATAAGTGTTTTCTGCTTTAGTGAGTGTTATTGATTTTGAGTTATACGTTTCAAAAGTTTATTGTTAGTAAACTAGATTTTAAACCGGGGTATTCCGCATTACTATATTATTATTTTTAAATTATAATTTATTTGTGTAGTAGATTAACTCTATATATTACATAATGTTTTGTGTGTGTTTTTTTTTAATATAATACTTTTTATATCTTTCTTAGCGTATACAACACTAATTTTTGGTTGTGGTTGGAAAACCATTGTGGTTGGAACATAATTTTTGGTTTTTATTATAGGTAAATGTTTGAATCGATATTATCTTGTTAATTTGATTAAAAAACAATAAATGTCAGTAGCATTGGTTTTTAAATATGTTCCAACCACAATGGTTTTCTAAATCTGCTGTTAAAACTGTGAAATTTTGTTTTGGGATTTATTGGATTATTTAATTGATGAAGATATCATTCAAAAGCGACAATGTTGGGTAGGTGTTGCACAATCGGGCTTAGCGAACTGGGCCATAACCTTTTTTTTGGTAGGGCTTCGTATAATCGTAAAAAAAAAAAATAGAACAATTAGTGCCAGTGTCATAAGAATGTAAATAAGTATGCAATATAGATTTTTAATATATATTTTAAATTATAAAGACTCTACTAAAATAAAATAATGTGTTATTTGATCACAACCTAAAACGGCTATAATTACTAGAAACAAAACTAATAATCATCATTTTTGTTTTTTAAAAAAGATCACTACATTTGGAAATGGAAAACTATGCCAAATTTAACTATGAAAGAACAAAGGAAAAAGGAAATAATGATTTAGTATTATTTAGGTAGAATCGGATGGCTACACAATTTATTTTGTAACCTCATGAAGTACTTAGTTTAAGTGATGATCAATGATCAAAATATTTCACAGGAACAAGTAGAAGATCATTTTTCTTTCCCACAGCCAGTCCAGGAGACTCTTCCATGTCAATATCTTCAACCACCATGCTTTCTTGTAATTGCCAGTCGAATTGGTACAACATATTAGCCAAACCAAACTCCACCATTGTTGTCCCCATGTACATTCCAGGACAGATTCTCCTGCCACTTCCAAAGGGTAACAACTCAAAGTTCTGTCCTTTAGCATCAATGTTGTTATCCATAAACCTTTCTGGGAGAAACGTCTCTGCATCTTTCCAAGTATCGGGGTCACGCCCGATAGCCCAAACATTCACATAAAGCAATGTCTTGGGTTGTATCTTGTAGCCGTTGATCTCAAATTCAGACATAACTTCTCTTGGAACCAGAAGAGGTGCTGGAGGATGTAGCCTCCATGTTTCTTTGATGACCATGTTCAAGTAAGGTAGATGATCTATATCATCTAAGGTTATCACTGACTTGTTTCTCATTTGGTTTCTGATTTCGGATTGTACTTTCTTCATCACTCGCGGGTTTCTTATAAGTTCTGTCATGGCCCATGTCATTGTTATTGCAGAAGTATTGATGGCACCAAGAAGAACGTTCTGTGATAAGATCATGAAACATAATGTTAGAAACATTTAGGTATTATTGTTTGACTATATCTTACAATTAGATCGGGAATCTTTGTATAACTAATTACCATCAAGATTGCTTTGATATGGTTTCTTGTGAGTTTGCCATATCCAAGAACAGTTTCATCCTTCTCTAACCTCAAGAGCAAGTCCACGAAATCTTCAACTCCTTTTTTGTTTTCCTGTTTATGCAAATCAAACATTTGTTCATAGAAAGCATCAAGATCACTCACGCTTTTCTCTCTCCGTCCTTGTAGACCCGAGAGCCAGTCGATGATCCAGCCACCAGTTGGGAAAAAATCCGAGGCAGAGAAGCTACCCAAAAACAAAAACGCCTCGCGTATTAACTTGTCGAATCCGTCATTGTTGAGAATTGTACCATGGAAGCTCAGACCAAATGCTGCCTTGCATATCACGCTTACAGTTAAATCAAGAAACTTCTCGCTCAAGTTAACCTCTGTTTTCTGAGAAGCTGATTCCGAGACTGAATTGATCAGTTTCTTGACTTCCTCTTCCTTGATGGGTTGAATCAAGTGAACTCGTTTAGCACTGAAGAGTTCTTGCATACACATCCTCCTTAATTCTTTCCAGTAATCATTAAAAGGAGAGAAAGCAATGTCCAGATAATTGTAAGAGAGCTCTCTTGGCCCTAACGCAATGATAAAAAAGCATGGGTTAAGTTTTTCAAGTTCTATGAGCAAAGGAACATATATAAAAACAAAAATTGTATGTCTTGCGTAAGAATTACGGTACCTGCTAAGCTAGGACGGCTACAACAATGGAGATCATGGATTTTGAGAGCCTGTTGTGCTGTATCAGAAGAAGAAACTACAACCGTTGGGACACTTCCAAGCTTCAAAAGCATGACAGGACCATACTTCTTTGAGAGACTCCATAGAGACTGATGTGGTAATTCTCCGAGCTGATGTAAGTTTCCGATGATCGGAAAGCCAGGAGGAGACGGTGGTTGCTGATTTTTCTGCCTCTTCTTGTGTTTGAAGACGGCTAGGAGAATACAGCAGAGAAAGAGAAGTGAAAGAAACGAAAACGCAACCATTTTATGTATACCGTACGTCTCAAGTTTCTTTGTTGATAATGAAGCAAGTTCATGCTTTTATATATATAAACTTTTCTTATATCTTTGTTAATTGTCACTTCCCTTTCAATATTTCCTTAAGAAAATGCTAAACAGAGTCAAGAAGGAGTCTAGTTGAAGAAGACAACGCCAAAGATATCGTGTTGGCTCTCTTATTATATACATATTTATCTTTCCAATAACGAACAAACTTTAATTTTACAGCCAAATTAAAAAAGGATACTAGATAATAATATTATAGACTTTTTTGTGATTTTTTTTTTTTTTTTGGGGTCATCTAATAGAACCCACAAATAGTTTGAAGCAAAATTACAACAAGTAGAAGAAAATAACAGTAAAAAATAATGAATTAGTGCCTTAGTGGGAAGAAATAATATATCCACCACTTGGTATTAGAGTATTTCAACTAAGCAAGCCAATTAAGTCGTGTCCTTTAACTCATTATCACATAAATAGTATTCTAAAGCTTCATTAGAGAAATCCAATTTAAGGCCTAATTGGTTACGTAGTTTTGGATTTTTGGCTGTAAATTTTGAACTGTATAATTTTTGGTTATGGCTGTAAATTTTATTATTGTAGTATTTTTGCTGTAGAAAATAAAATTTTAGAAAACTTAAAATTATTGACTTTAGGAAAATGAGAATTAAGAAAATATTTTGGCTATGAGAAAAAAAAAAAGAAATCCAAAGCATCCAAAGCTTGATTTGATCCATTGTATATCTTTAAAAATTATTTTGCTTTGTAAAGCACTTGCCAATCAAAACCTAAATGGTTAATTAGTATACGGCAAATCCATATCGATCTTTTAAAAAATGCAATAACTAAACGACGTGCGACAAACACAACCGATCTAATAAGTCTAACAACAAAAACAATTATTTTCTTGTTACTACTAGATTTGGCTACTTCATAAGCAAATTCGTTTCAATAATTACATAATAGTGTACTAGGCGAATATATATATTTGCGATATGCCTTAAACTTAATATTATGGATAGATTTGGGGATGTTTGAGTTAGACTTTTTACAAATGTAGCAGTCAATGATCACTCTAGCTGCCTGATGGCCAATTATGGAAAGGTGGAGTTGAGTAACTTGAATTGGAACCACTTCCCCGAATGTGAGAAATTGATGGAAACACTTCCGCGATCCAAAAATGTTTTTTTTTTTTTTTTTTTTTTTTTTTTTTTTTAAACACTAATAAAAGTAACATAAATAAAATTTGCAAATAGTTCCATATCTCAATTCTTTTTAAAATACTATTAGTTTAATTTATTTTTCGTTTTTTCACAAATTTATAAACTATATTCACCTTTCATTTTCCACATATTATATATTTTCGTAATACTTTGTTCTAACTAAACTATATAAATGTTAAAAAAAGAGTAAGTGGGTTAATAATTCTCATTTATGTTACCTTTTTACCAAATTTAGAATCGAGCCCGGTTTCTTTCAAATAAAAACGTATAATTTATAATGATGTAAAAAAAAATATAAATGTTAAGACTTTATTCTATTTAAAAATTATATCCACCAAGAAATAAAGAGATTTGTATATATGCTCATAATACATGACTCTTACTCGGATTAGCAACACCATAGATAGGTTCAAATTTTTATGTTTCTTTATAGTTGGGTTACTTTTTTGTTTTTGTTTTAATAAAGTCTTAACCATGGTTACTTACTGATGATTGTTCAAGTAATCATATTTTAAGATAATAAGTTCAGCCAAAAACGGCACGTAATATATAACTAAATTTTCCAAAAAAAACTCTCCAACTCTCTACATATCTTAATGAACTTTTCAATATATAAAAAAAAGAGATTGACAAAGAAAAAACCTAAATACAAAACCAACATAATGCATTACTAAACTTTTTTTTTTGTCGCAAGCTTAAATAATTGAATCAAGTGCATTTTTACAATTAAAGTCAATCTAGTGATTTAACGCTAGCGTAATGATTTCACAATGAATTAATTTCTTATCTCATGGTCATACTTTAAACGCTAGTTGGCTATCGTTAGGTCTTATATAAAATTAGCCTACTCAGTGATATAATAGAGAGACCCAATCATATAATATTAGCTTACTCATTTTCCTTAAGCTGAACATACAAACCAAAGATAACCAAGTTTTCAATCTTATTTTGTTTGCTAAAATCAATAACATATTCTTGTTTAGCTGAAATAGAGACACAAATTATTCCATACAACTTTTATTACACAAATTTTCTAGATACTCAAGCATTAAGGAACAGAGTTTGGATACTTGGATCAACAACATAGTAGAACAAACACCAATTATACCAAACAGCATTTGTCCGCATGCAATCGCCCATATAAATAGGGTCATGGAAAAATGTGGCAACACTAAAGTCTACATCATTCGCATTTCGCAATACGAAAGAAACATGAATCTATGGTTCTGTTCTTAGCATAAAACAAAGAAAACTAGTAGATGTGATGTTATAAAACTCTTAGCAAGATAAGAGAATCACGGTATTTACTAGGTGGCTTCTGCCATCTCATGTTCCGCGGTGGTTGGAGCCACAGGGTAATAATGGTAATGTAGCTCGCCAACGTCATCTCCAGAGAGTTTCTTCCATCCTTGAGGCCCAACGTGGTACACTGATCATAGAGATTAGGGAACGTTTTAATATGAAGTTAGAATTACAAGAATGATCTATTGGCAGAAGAAAGGACTTTTCTTTTACCGCTAGCAACTCCCCCACTAGCTCCATCACGGAATGTAGCATGGTAGATGGATCTCCTTGCTAACTCCGAGGCTTCTTCAACTGACATATCGAATCTGTATCTGTTGACCAAAATGTACCATAAGGTTGAGCGGTTATGATAACAGTAGATAAAAATCAGGTTTGGGATTGGACTAAAAGAGAAGTAGGGTTGAAAATAGAGAAATACCCGCTGTCGAGAACACCATAAGCGTATGGTGAACCGGAACCGACAGAGAATCTGTCTCCCTTAAGCCGTCCTCCTTCGTTGTCCACATAGTACAATCCAGGGCCCTATTCCAAGAAAGATTACAATTTCAGCATCTCAACATTTCGCTTTGCTGAGTGAAACTATAGACCGCGAAGGAAATAGCGGTTGGGATATTAAGTTTGGGGTACTGACTGTTTCATCCCATCCAGCAATCATTGTGCCAACAGAAAGTCCCATTCCACGGTATGAATAGAGCATGTTAGCAAGAAGCTTTGAAGCTCCCGAAACAGAGATTCTCCTTTTGTTTGCCAGCTCATGTAGACGGCACTACGATGAACAAATAAACCACACTCTCTATTAGAGAAATAGGAGTCCAGATTAGTTATACAAGTTAAAAACAAAATATTAAGATAAACTGGGACAAGATTTTAGATACAAGAAATCAAAGAAACCATATGTATGGAAGCCTTGCATACATCAACTCCATGACAAAAAGATTCATGCACAAAATGCTGTAGAAATGTTTAGTTCACAGTACATAGGAGCTAAAGCCACCATACCAAACAGAAAGTTTCCAACAAATGACCCAACAGCTTTCAGATATCAATTCATTAGCTATATGAACAATGGACAGGTAAGACGTAACACATCAAGGAAGACAACTGATAGACACAATCATCAATTCAGGAAGCTAACAAAAAAACTATCGTTTGGTACCTTAATTCCCAGATTTCTATGCCAGAATTGGCAATCAGCAGCTCCACCAGCCATCGTACCAAGCATATAAGGATTAATTTCAATAATCTTCTTCACAGACTGCGACGCTGGATTGGAAAAAGTAAAACACACAAAGAAAACATCAGCAATCACACAAATGCCTAAGTTCTATTGTACAATATCACTGGCAAACATAATAAAGATAAGAATTTCTTTTGACAATCCAACACGATTTAAAGCCGACTAAAATCTAATTCGAACGCCATTTTCAGGATCCTCATGCTCATTTGTGAAGATTATCTTTAGAGAATAAATCTGAAATCTGAACTTTACTGGGAACATAAAAACATATCGAAAGAGAAACATACAGATATATCCTCCCATGCTTGCTCGAGAATCAGCAGCTACCATAACACCTTCTTTAAAGATAAACGCAAGTGTGGTTGTACCCTTTGCAGGCTTCACCATCTCTACAGATTTCTTCTGAAACCCATCAAACTAAAAAAACCAACACAAACAAAAGCAAAATCCAAAATCAAACAAAACCAAAATCAAAAGCATTAGAATCCGAAAGAAACTGAATTCCGAAACCAAAACTCACATCAGTCGTACGAGGAAGATCAAACGAAGGCACAGACGAAAACCCATCAAGCATCTCGCTGCTTGATCCAAAGCCAATCACAGGCATAGTTGTCTCAAATCCACTAGTGTCAAGCTTCATTGTCAAATTCCTACAGAATCGTCGAATAACCAAACCATTATGCAAAAGCATGAAGCTTTAGAGATACCCAAATTAGGGCATTAACAAAAGAGCTTCCTTTCATAGTTTAAATCGGATCTAGCACGAGATTACTTTCGTATGTGTGTATGATAAAACCATAAACCCTAATACCTCATCGTAAAGCCAAATTGACGACGGTAGATCACAATTAGGGGACTGAGACGTACCTGAAGAGCGAATTCGAGTAGCAAAATCAACGAACCGTGTGAGAGAAACTGGAGAATGGAGAAGAAAATTATGGAGGGATGTTTCTTGAGCTCCGGGCAAACTGAACGGGAACAGATATGGGCGATCGGGTCGGGTTTAGTCATCTCGGGTCATACCGCCTAAGTTTAACGACAATGTTCACTAAGTTGGGTTTCATGGGCCATTACTGGGCCTATTTTGCCTTGAGTATTATTCTTTTCTTTTCGTGTAACAACATTTTTAAAAGTGAAAATAAATTTTAAAGAAGACTTAAAACAGCCTCTTAAGTTTAGGACATTCTTCTTTACAAAAACTAATGACGCGATTAATTTCAAACAATTAAGAATTAACGATTCTTGTAGTACCAATGAATACAGAGTAATTGAGTAATAATTTTATTTCTAAAGGTGGCAAAAAAAAAAAGAAAAAAAAAAGAAAGAGCAAACGCAATCGCAAAAAGCTAGCGTCTGGTAGTGCATCTTCTAGCTCGCATAGCTCCTGAAGGAGGACTATTAAACGAAACGCTGCAATGCGTATGCAACCAATAAGAGTACCTAAACAATGGTCCTAAGTAAGAACGTGCTCGAAACGTTCCTCTCAGGTTCAACAAAACCGGACCGGTTTCAATCTGACGCTGTAGCTCCCGGCTCTGTGTTGGTTGAAGCTGAACCTGACTGCTCACAAGATGAACATTCGCAAATATCGACATTTTCTTAGGAACCTTGAACGGTTCAATGTATTGAGTAGCTATGAGTTTGTTGTAATAGTAAAGGTCGAACGTGACAGAGCTAAATTCCACACTGCTTTTCTTGCTTGGGTTTGTGACGTTTGCTAAAATGGTTAGATCACCGTTTAGAAGGAAACCCATGTCGAGATAAGCAGCGTTTAGGTTAGCTGCTGAGATGTCGATGTATGGAGAGCGAGGACGGTACACGAGGTAGATGATTAGGACGATTAGACCACCGAGAATTAGAAGGACCCAGAATATTGCACAGCAAAATGCAGCTGACCATGTCATTGTGCTTGTTTCTCTTGAAGGAGGCGGTAACCGTGGTCCACCACGGCGATGCGGTGATGGTGTTGGAGCAGTTCTCCATGGACTTGGTTTTGGTATTGGAGGTAATGTTGATCCATAACCGCCTCCACTGCGTTGTGGTGGTTGTGATGGCGGAGGTCGTTGTTGTTGTTGATTTTGACGATGATGATCTTCTGGGCTTAATAGCAATGGTCTTTTTGCAGAGTTTGGAGTTTTTCGTGGTGGCAGTTTCTCTTCTGGGCTTAGTGGTAAAGGTATAATAGAATGTGCCGGTTCTTGGACTGGATTATCACGGTGGCGATCACGAGACTTGATTAGGATTCCCGGTGGAGCGACTGGGTGAGGTTTAGAGGTTTTCTGTTGAGGGGTTTTGTGTTTTGGGGTCTTGTGTTGAGGGGTTTTGTGGTGCGGAATAGGCGGGATGAGCGGTTGATGCGGAGATGTTTGTGAGGTAGAAGCACCATCTCTGAGATGTGGATTCTGCTGCGGAATTCGCGCGAAATGAGGGTTTGTTTCATAGTGATGATGATGAGACATTTAGAGGACGAAGCTAAAAAAACATCAAAGGAAATTGAGTTAAGACTTGAGATGAAAGAATGAGAAGGAAGAGAGATTTGAACTGTTTCAAATTTCTATATGAGATAGAGAGAGAGAGAGAGAATAACTTGGTGACAAGTTCAAGTAAGGATTCTTGCTGTTGAAAACAAAATAAAGAAGGAAAGTGATAGAACGAAGCAAGTAATCTTTTTGTAGATTCTTTGCACTAATTCAAAATCAGTCTTTAATCTCTAAAGATAAACCAAAAAGAAAGCAAAACTATAAAACCATTCTCTCTTTCTTTTCTCATTCAAAAGTCTATTAAGAAAAATTGTAGTTACTCAGTCCAATTTCTCTAAAATCCCAATAAAGATCTCGATTCTAGGAGAGGCAGGGTTAAGAACTTACAGTAACAGATCACTGGAGTATATGTAAATCAGTCTCTCTTTTGCTCATTCTGGAGGAAAGATGTTGATTCTCAGATCACTTGGGCTTTTCTGACGAATATATCTGAGAACATGAGCTGAACTTTTAACAAACAATGGTAGCATTTTAGAAAAAAATAAACCTAAATGCAATACAAGCAAACTCAAATGCTGCCAATGTCTTCACAATCAGCAGCTCAGAAGCCTCAATCCTTAATTTCTAAAATGATACAGAGAAGGAGTTAGGCCTTCTCTTGAAATGGTTTGATTAGTACTCTTTGCTTTGAAGAAGCTAAACCCTTTGCAATATTATTCTTCTAGTAGGTGAGAAAGGTTAACCTATTTATCCTCTTCAAGAATAGAAAAGACGGAAAAGGATGAGTCTTTGATGCAAGGTGATACATCATTAAGCTACGAACATGTTCAGATATGTCTTCTATCAAACATGGTTAGTGCAAATCTGATGCGAAACACTTTCCTTCTCCAGATAGATATTTAGTTCTCTGATCGATTTCTGCAGCATCAGACATGAAACCTAAGACTCTGCAATGCCAGTTACTGCAAAGTTTGACAAAGATACCTGCCAAGCCTAACCAAACAAATACCAGTTAAAAGCTGGAGGCAAACAAGCAACTAAACCAAAAGGTACTTTCCACCAATATTCCGTGCAATCACAAATCCGTATTTGCTCTTACTTCATCTCTCATCCCCTATTGTCATGACAAGGAACACAGTAACACTAACACGTACTTGCAGAAAATAGAACCACAAACGCCTGGAAAGAATTAACCTAAGCTTTAAAAGCGACAAAAGCAGAAACATCTCAGGGTAATAAACTAATAATGGCTGGAACAGGAAAGACAATTCAACCATAGAAGCAGCGCTCTCAGCTCTGTATCCTGTCATGAACTATCTAAGAACCCAGAAACAACTTTGAGTACATGTCCTTCCCTAACAATTATGGTAAACGTAGGAAAAGAGACGCCTTTCTTATTCATTGAGCAATCAACTAAATAGTAATCCAAGATTATACCAATTCCACATTTGATTCCATTCATCAAAAGCTTAAAGTGAACAAAAAAAACTGAAACCAGAACTGTGTAATGTTATGACACACACATACTAACACTGATCAACATTAATTCCCAGAAAATAAGATGATGAATGGTAATAGCAGCACTGTTGCTTCAAGCTCAGCTCTCATAAACCTCTGCAAAGAAGAAAAACAAGATCTTTACTAACAAAACAACACCATTGAAACCTCTAAAATGTGAAGATTTTGGGGGAATCTGAAAATTACCTGACTTTCTTGATGAGGATTGATTGTAGTTTACGAGCAAAGTCAATGGATTTGATTCTGCGTTCGAGATTCTTCCTAGCAAGAACCTTCTTCTCCGAATTCTTAATGTGATGAGTCTGAGTTGCTTTGATAAGCCTCTCCATACCACTTGATTGCATCTTCTTCTGCAAAATCGTCAGCGCCTTGTCCAGATTACCGGAGAAAACCTTCACTCGTATCCCTCGCTCTTGCTGCAACTGGTGGTTATGACTCGTCCGAGTCACGAACCCCGTAACTCGCTTCGCCATCGTGTTCATCTTTTACTTGGTTTCTGCAAGCAAATTCAGGTTACGAAATGATGGAAGAGAAAGTAGATAGAAATGGGGAGATAGAGTAACCGGATCTGAATTCGACTTACAAGTCGGAATCTCGCCGGAGAGTATCAAAGAGCCGATTTGACTGGTGAAGGAGAACGTCTAGGTTAAAAACGAGGCAATGGAGGAAATGAGATTACATCAGAGAATTTAGGGGTGATTATATAATTTTGATAAAATATAGGGATGCGTTTGTAAACTCCTGATATCTTAATCCTCTTATTAATTAGAGAGTCACCATGTTTAGAGTAGTTTTTCACCAATTAATTTGCCACTGACATTTAACAAGTTTCAATGTGCATAACTCATGGAATAGCCCATTTTGGAAGGATGTAACAATTATAATTCGTAGACAGACATGACCGTAATCCGCATACCAAATAGATCGAGTCCGCGTAACCTGGATTTTTAGGCTCTGAAATCAAGACATATATCAGTCCCATTATGCTATTTATTGGGCTATATCCGCAGACTAAAAACTTTATTGACATCTCTAGATGTAACTTTGATCATTAGTTGAAATTGTCGATATTGATCATTAGTTGAAATTTTCGATATTGATCATTTCCAAATTACTAGCGAACCTTGTAAAATCAGTGTGATTTTTGTTTCTCGTTGGAAACACACAACCAGAGGCGGAGGCAATGATCAAGCACATGGGTCACTCATGAAATTCCAAAATTAGTTGATTTTTGCTTAGCAAATTGGCTCCTGCTAAATTATTAAATTGACCCCTATAAATTTTATATTTTACATTTTGACTCCATAAGTGTATATTCTAGTTTGCATTCGAACTTTAATATGTACAAAGTAAGATTACCCGACCCAAAAGTATTATCAATGAGAGACTTTGATATGGGTTATTTGTATCTATATAAACAAGTACGTATTACAAATACTTCTCTCACTCTCATGGCTCAAAAACTTGAAACCCCAAGGTCCCCAACCCAAGCGTGAGATAGCAAGCTTGTATTTTTTGGTCCCAAACTGTCACACACCAATACACTTTTAGAAAGGAGCAATTTTGCAAGATTACGAATTTATAGGTAGGCGTGTGTAAATCTCCTTAAATCAAATCCTCTGTTTGATATAGAGAGTATTGACTTTGAAAATTCAACTCTTTCAAAAAGCGAAAAAAATTATTTTATTTCTCTCTCTCTCTCTGTTTGAGTGTTCGAATCTCCAAGCTCCTCTCACATGGCAGCGTCCGCATAGTACACAGCTGAAGAACTGTTTTGCTATCCACATAGAACCTAGAGAAGAGGAAGAAGAAGAAGAAGAAGACAAGGGAAAGAGACAATAGAGATATATAAAGCTGGCGACTTTTAGTCCGAGGCGAGCAATGGCTGAGTTACGGCACTCGAGCTCTCTCGGGAGCCGATCTTCTTCTTCTCCGTTACGTGCCGGCGGAGATGAGGACTCGTCATCGCCTCACGTACACGATCACTCACCTAACGGCGGAGACGACGAAGATGGTCGCCCACGTCATCCTTCTAGGGATCGAGACCGTCCGATCTGGTTTCACTCTTTGTTTCCTTTCTTCGGTGACGATCCTAGGGTTTCTCCTCAGAAGAATAAAATCTCGCTTCTATTGATTTTGATTCTCGCTATTGCAAGCTTGATCTCAGTTTATGGGATTGTTAATCACTTGGTAAAGTCTCTTCTTTCGATCTGAAAAATTTGAGATCTTTCTGGCTCTATGTTCATATTGTTGAATCGATTTGGGAAAGTGTTAGCTTTTTCTTATTAATTGGATTGACATTGTCCTCAAACTAAGATTGGTTCAATCTATTATCTTTGTTTTCTACAGAACGCACCATATTTATGTAAAAAAGATGGGATTGTACTGAACTGTCCACACGTAAGTGTTTTAAACTTTGGTTTGTATAAGCTTTGAATTCTATCTAAATTGAATTGTGTATTGGTTTGCATTTGTAGGTAAAAGAGTCACCTTCTCCATGGGAGAATCCTTTGTCTGCTACAACTTCTTGGAAGCCTTGCGCTGAGCGGCGGATTGGTGGAGTCTCAGGTACTAAGGGAAAGAGTATTGTCATTGTCATTGTCATGTGCTCTTGATCTGTCTTTCTTTGAAAGTTTATTTTTCCTTGATTGGTCAGCTTATTAGAGATCATCAACTGTTTTTTTTCCTTCAGATCTACCTCCTGAGAACGAAACAACTGGCTATGTTTTCATTCATGCTGAGGGTGGTTTGAATCAGCAGCGAATTGCTGTATGTATCTTCCATGCTATTATCTCCTTTTCTTCTTGCTATTCTCCGATCCTTGAATAAATGTCCAAATGGCTACTGTTTTCTTTTTTAGGATTTTGAAAGATTGAGTTATGCTCTTTATGGTTTTTGTTTCCAGATCTGTAATGCAGTAGCTGTTGCTAAGATTATGAATGCAACTTTGATTCTACCGGTACTGAAGCAGGACCAAATTTGGAAAGACACAACGTAATGTCTTATTAAAAAATTGATCATTTTCTCTTGAGTTACTCTCTCGATGTTCTTTAAATTTTACTGATTCTGATAACTTTCTTGTGCAGAAAATTTGAAGATATTTTTGATGTAGATCATTTCATTGATTACTTGAAGGATGATGTCCGAATTGTGCGAGACATACCTGACTGGTTCACTGACAAAGCAGAGCTATTCTCTAGTATAAGGTGTGCTTATCAAAGTCTTTCTATATTTGTTGATGATGTACTTGTTTGAAGATTTCAATAGTTAGCTTGTGGGTTTATGGTTATCTGATTTAAAAATTGATCAATAATTTTTTTAATCAGATATGATGTTGACCGAGTTATTTATTTATCTTTTGCAGAAGAACAGTCAAAAACATTCCCAAATATGCATCAGCCCAGTTTTATATAGACAATGTTTTACCACGGATAAAGGAGAAGAAGATTATGGCCTTGAAGCCTTTTGTTGATCGACTTGGGTATGCTCTATATATTATAGTTTATGGCTCAGGCTTTCAGAATTTTTTTTCTTGATGAATGATGGATGATATATCCTTGTGGTTCTTGAAAATTTGCAGGTACGACAATGTACCTCAAGAAATCAATAGATTACGATGCCGTGTAAATTATCATGCTCTCAAATTTCTCCCAGAGATAGAGCAGATGGCTGATTCACTTGTTTCTAGAATGAGAAATCGCACTGGCAATCCGAATCCGTATATGTATGTAGATATCAAACATTGAGAACTTTGTTTTAACTTGGGATCTTATGCATTCTTTCGACTCAAATCTATATCTGTCTTGTATAGGGCGCTTCATCTTAGATTCGAAAAAGGAATGGTTGGTCTGTCGTTCTGTGATTTCGTTGGGACAAGAGAAGAGAAAGTTAAAATGGCAGAATACAGACAAAAGGAATGGCCTCGGCGTTTCAAGGTGACATTTATAAGTAGTTGATAACTTCTATTTGGCGGCTAAACAACCTCGACCGCTGCCTTAATGAATTTTGTTTGACATGTATTGCAGAATGGTTCCCATCTTTGGCAGCTCGCCTTGCAGAAACGCAAAGAAGGCCGATGCCCTCTTGAGCCAGGAGAAGTTGCTGTGATCTTACGGGCAATGGGTTATCCAAAAGAAACACAAATTTATGTAGCATCTGGTCAAGTCTATGGCGGCCAAAACCGTATGGCTCCACTAAGAAACATGTTCCCAAATTTGGTAAGCACAACAGTGAGCTCTCTCTCATCAAATTTTATGATCAGTCAACATGCTTGTCTCTCACAAACAACGTTCCTTTTTAAACCAGGTAACCAAGGAGGATTTAGCAGGCAAAGAGGAACTAACAACCTTTAGAAAGCACGTAACAAGCCTCGCAGCTCTAGATTTCTTGGTCTGCTTGAAATCAGATGTATTTGTTATGACACACGGTGGAAACTTTGCAAAACTGATCATCGGAGCACGGAGATATATGGGTCATCGCCAGAAATCAATCAAACCAGACAAAGGGTTGATGTCGAAATCATTTGGGGATCCTTACATGGGGTGGGCAACTTTTGTGGAAGATGTAGTTGTAACACATCAAACACGAACCGGTTTGCCAGAAGAAACTTTCCCTAACTATGATCTTTGGGAAAATCCTCTCACTCCATGCATGTGTAAAGCTTGATGATGCTTTTGTTTGATTTGAAAATGAGATGAGTTTGGTCTGGATTTTGTCTGATGAGGAGGAGCAAACTATAGGAATCGGTAGTTTCTTTCTTTCTATTTTTTTTTCTTTTAACCTTTCAAATCTTTGAAGTCTTCACTTATGTAATCATTTTGATATTATGTAAAGTTCCAGGTGATGAAAAAAAAAAAGTTGCAAAGATACTCTTTTTACCAAAATTGATTGTTGCTTAAACAAAATACTAATCACAATTAGGCTCAACGGTTACTAATCTAACTCTACGTAATCCTCGTCGCACACTCTTTATAGTTAATATAGTACCCGCCACTAAACACAACAACAATTGCGTGTTGTCTTCTCTCTCCCATCCCAATCTCAGGTTCTCTCAAGAACATAAGAGGAAACAAAATCGAGAAAGAAAGAAAGATAAAGAATCATCGTAATCAGGTGTCATCACTATGACCGGACCGTCCGTAGAGATAACTGGATCGAACCGGTTCATTGTCTTCTTCATCGTCGTCCTCAATCTTTGGTACTACACATTTTTCTCCTCCCTTCACTGTAACTTGAAAATTGGTTTTGATTGTGAAGAGGGTGTTATTTGTGTGATCGATCAATCGCAAAAATTTCGTCTTTTTCAGTTTATCGATTGAAGCAAGGTCGAGCGAACAGCAACATGCTAGCTTTCCTCCAAGAGGATGGAACTCGTATGATTCCTTTTGTTGGACTATCTCTGAAGCTGAGTTCTTGCAGAGCGCTGAAATTATATCTAAGCGTCTTCTTCCTCATGGTTATCAGGTATATTGCATAGTGTCCACAGTTGATTTTGTTGTTTCTGGAGTATAATTTGATGGTATGTAAAGGAAATTAGCCATTTATGGACATGTAATTGAAATTCTTCTACATTTGGATTGTGAAAGTTTGAGTCTTTAGTCTCTGGACTTGAAATTGAGTTTTCTTCATCATTTGGAATGTGAAAGTTTGGGTTTAAATTTCCCGTTAGGCTGTTACACGTTTCTGGACTTAAAATTGAGTTTTCTTATTCACTTGGAATGTGAAAGTTTGAGTTTTTAATTGCCTGTGTTTATGTTTGTGTGTGTGTGTGGATTTGGATATGCAGTATGTTGTGGTGGATTACCTTTGGTATAGAAAGAAAGTTGAAGGAGCTTATGTGGATTCTCTTGGGTTTGATGTGATTGATAAATGGGGAAGGATGCATCCTGATCCAGCTCGATGGCCATCTTCTAAAGGCGGTAAAGGTTTCACGGAAGTCGCAGAGAAAGTTCATAGAATGGGTTTGAAGTTTGGGATTCATGTTATGGGAGGAATAAGCACACAAGCATATAACGCTAATACCCTCGTTTTGGATAGTGCTAAGGTATTTGATTTTTGATATATTTTCGTAATGTTTTTATGGAAATGGAAGTGACGATTGACTTTACCTCTTTTTGGTTAAAGGGAGGTGCTTATGAAGAATCAGGTAGACAGTGGCGATCGAAAGATATTGGCATCAAGGAGAAGGCTTGTGTATGGATGCCACATGGGTTCATGAGTGTGAATACCAAGCTAGGTGCAGGAAAAGCTTTCTTAAGGTCTCTTTATCGACAATATGCAGAATGGGGCGTTGATTTCAGTAAGAGAATCAGCTTTATATCCATAACGGTCTTTATCTCAATTCAATATATGGATATCTCAATCTTGTCTCACTTTCTTGGCCTTTAGTAAAACATGATTGCGTATTTGGCACTGACTTCAATATAGAGGAGATAACTTATGTGTCAGAGGTACATATATGTAGTAACAAGCAATCTTGTGGTTAAAGTCAGAGGTACATGGAGATGAAATATTGTTCTTATTTGTGCAGGTTCTAAAGGAGCTTGATCGGCCTGTTTTGTACTCCATATCTCCAGGGACGAGTGTGACACCTAGACTGGCTAAAGAAGTTAGCCAATTAGTTAACATGTACAGAATAACAGGTGATGATTGGGACACATGGAAAGATGTGGCGGCACATTTTGATATCTCGAGGTCAAGTTTCAAGCTGAAAAACAATCTTGACAAGTTTCTACCTGTCTTTAATGTCATATAACTTTCTATTCTTTTCCAGAGATTTATCTGCTTCTAGTATGATCGGTGCACAAGGGTTACAAGGGAAATCATGGCCCGACCTAGATATGTTACCTCTTGGATGGCTTACCGACCCAGGTTTGACTCGAAAACTTATAATCCGAAACTCTGTAGATTGTTCCAACTAATGTTCTCTTGTCTTAATGTTTGGTAAAGGTTCGAATTTTGGACCTCATCGAGCGTGTAATCTTAATCTTGAAGAGCAAAAGACACAGGTGTAGCTCTAGCTTCAAAACTCATAGTTTATTAGAAACCATATAATTGTCTAAACCACAAGTTTCAGATTTCTTAGGTTTGTTTTACTTATTCAGATGACGTTGTGGTCGATGGCGAAGTCCCCTCTCATGTTTGGAGGTGATGTGAGAAAGCTCGATGATGCTACTTATAATCTGATCACAAATCCTACACTACTGGAAATAAATTCTTATAGCTCTAATAATAAAGAGGTCTGTAGAATCATAACTTCAAATTCTCATCTCTCTGTTTCCAAATTACAAACTTCTGTCATCAAACTCTGTCTGTTTCATTATTTACAGTTTCCTTACCTCATCGCGAGAAGAGTATCTAGGAATAAGCACAAAGGCCATCCTCATCATTCAACGGGCAAGAACATTTCAACTAAGCATGCTTTTGGTCTCACTAGCTGCAGAGAAGCAAAAGCCAACACTTGGTCCATCGTAAACAAGAACAGTGGGCAAATCTGTTGGAACCAGTACTCTAGTGAAAAACTAGAGAAGCCCTTTTGCTTATACAATAGAAAAGCTCTTCTATCTTCGTATGATTTTGTTATATTAACTGTTTCTTTCACTCACTTTACATTTCACAAACCACCCGTAGCCTATTAATATGCTACATTTTGGTGCAGCGATGAGGAGTTAAAACGCAACCAGTTTTACCAAGGTAAGCTTCATTTGCAAACAAAAGATAAAGAAGAGTCTTGTTTAGGAGCTTCCTCGCAGCAAAAGCTCACTTCGAAAGATTATAGTCGAGGTGCTTTATCACCTTGCAAACTAGATGCAAACCAGGTATCATGAGTGATCTTCGATCTCTCTTGCTTATAACCTTAGTAAGTTAGCTTGGATTTCATACTTTTACTGAATTTTACACGCTCTATCTTTAGATGTGGGAGCTCCACGGTAATGGAACACTAGAAAACAGTTATTCTGGTCTTTGTGCCGTGTTAAATCCAGTGAAAGGTTTGTTCCTTTCAGATCACTAAAAGTATTCTCTCTCGTTTCTTTGAGATATCTTTTTTCGAATTCTTTTGACATTATCACCCATCCTGCTGCAGCTGAAGCCAGCTCCAGCGGCACTCGTTCTTGGATTGCCACGGGAAGAAAAGGAGAAGTATACATTGCATTTTTCAACTTAAACCAGGTGAAGACAACGATATCAGCCAAGATATCAGACATTGCCAAAGCTCTTCCGAACAAGAGGAATCTTGAAGGAGCTTCGTGTAAGAGCCATGAGCTATGGAGCGGCAAAGATTTCGGACCAACAAAAGATTCAGTGTCGATTCAAGTCGAACCCCATGGTCCTGCTCTGTTCGTTCTTCATTGTAGCCATGCCTGACTATATCAGATCAACAGGCATCTCATTTACCTTCTCCATACAACGTCCTTTTCAATCGTAGTAATGTTTCATCTTTAGTCTATAAAAACAGTCTTGTGTAAATCAATAAATACAAAACATCAAAGTATGAAATAAATAAATAAAACGCAAGATCAAAACTTAGATTTATTAAAATAAATGTCTTAACTTTCAACTAATAAAATAATATAAAAACCCGACTCATGAGTCATGTCCTAAGATTAAGAATTTTCATGGCCTAACAACGTATCTATCGAGTTTCATTGAAACTTTTAGGGTTCCCTTTTCCTCAACACATCGATCACTGGTCAAAGCAACGATGCTGGCTTTATGTTTGATCGCCTTACAGCTAGCCGGCAACTTAATCTTTGCCCGACCCATCACAAAAGTTCCACTGGAGGTTCCAGGATCGTTCTGCGGCGAAACCCTAAGCAACTCCATGTAAAGGTAACGTGCAGGAGAATCTAAAGGAACACTTAGTTCTTTATTAAACTCCAACTTCTCTCCTTCGAAAACCTTTACCACTCTTGTTACGTATGGATCTCCTTGGTCTGTATGGACCACAACTTGGTAGCTATGAAAGCCATAGTAAGGTTTCAAAGGAGCTTTGTCTTCTCTTGTTGTGACGAATGCTCCGAGCTTCACGATCAAATCTGTGTTCACTTCATCATCATCATCTATGATTTTGCTTTTTCCCTTACGAATCATCATTCTCTGTTTCTCTTTCTCTCCTTGATCCACTCTTCTCCGTTTCTTTTTCTTATTATGCTTCACCAAGTTCATCATCATCATCATCGACAGAAAAAAGAAGAAGGTGATTTTAAGATTTGGTATCCCTAGCTAGGGTTCAAATTTTACACATATATATATAGTGGGAATATTTCCCTTTTTTAATGGAAAATTATAAAAAGAAAATTTCCATATATAGGAACGATTTGGAGAAATAAAGAAGTTTTTTTCTTTTGTTCCTTTTTTTTTTTTTGCAAAGGAGTGAGTATATGACAATGAAAACAGAACTGATATTAGTTAGTACATGTGTGATTTGGTTTTTGTTATTGAATAAACCTCGAACCAAACCGGGTTGGAGCTCAATTTATTATTAAATCGATGTTGAGTTTTGTAAAAACATAAACCCTTTAAAGACAAACAAGCAAAGCACATATTGATTTTTTTTCTCATATCTCTTTCTTCGTTTGATTCTTAAAGCATGAATTCATCATCTCCGATATTGATTAATGATCTCATCATGGAGATCTTATCTAGAGTGCCTTCGAAGTCAGTCGCTAGGTTTCGTTGCGTGTCGAAGTTATGGACATCAATGCTTAGTAGTCCATATTTCAAGAAGTTGTTTTTGATCAGATCATCGGCTAAGCCGCGCCTCTTGTTCGCCATACTAGACGAAGACGGTGTTTGGAGCTTCTTCTGGTTGCCTCAGCTTGAGAATCCGCATGAGCAGTCGACTCTTGTAGTAGCGTCCGAATTTCATGTGAAGCTCTATCATCAAGACAACATAAGATATGCTTCATGTGGCTACGCCTCTGGCTTGTTCTATATTCATGGTTGTCAATACAAAAATTACCAGGCTAGAACTCTGATATGTAACCCCATCACAGGACGGTATGCGATCACACCTTCTTTGTCTGCTCACAGTAGGACATATAGCTTTCTAGGGTTTGACCCGAGTGACAAGAAATACAAAGTATTTTCCATGGCTTATTGGAGGAAAACGCCATTACAGAGTTGCATCTGTGGGTTCTAGATGATGTTGAGAAACAGGATTGGTCCAAATATGCCTACACTTGGACCGATTTTGATCAAATATTATACGTTGCTGGAGTGACCATTTCGGGTGAAATTGTGTTTACAAAGCACATATATATACCTAAACAACCATTTTATGTTGTCTATTTCAATCCCATAAGGAACACCCTCCAACGTGTTGAAGTCAAAGGTTTTGGTGACGCGGCTAAGTCTAAGTGTACTATTCGTACCTTTGTAAACCACGTAGAGGATCTTGATGTTAATGATTTAAAACTACTCAATTCAGTCCATCATCCTCCATTGGTGGAGCCAGAATATGTAGCAGAATGAGATTCAGAATCATACTTAAAAGGAACAAGGAGAAGAAGATATGAATGATGATTGGGCATGTTATATTGTGCTCTCTGTCTCTTATCTATGTTTTTTTTTTTTTTTGCTTTCTGTCAACTATAGTTACTATCTATTCGTTTAACCCTTCTGATATGTACCCTTTTCATTTTTGATTAAGTTTTTTTTTCTTTTTCAAATCAGTTCGTCATTGAAACCAATGCTTGGAGATCCAATCTAATGTTTGGGGATTGGTTTACCTCCTTGCTAATGTTTGAATCAAAACTACCATGTCAAAAGAACAACACTAGAACGTGAGATGGCTCTTAAAAGATATTTGAGCTAACCATAATAGCCAAAAACAATAAAGCAAAAGTAGCCGTACCTTCTTCAGCCGAGGCGGATGGTTCTCAGTCTCATTACACAAAGGTGAAAGCTGTACTTGGTGTTCGTCTTTCACTAACGTACTAAACACGTCAGGATGGGCTGTCACTTTAATCACGATGAGATTCAACCTGGTATATGGTAATTAATCTTTCGATAACTCGAGTATCCACTTCACAAACAGACACAAATTGGGGATATTCACCTATTCCCCTTGACATCTCGTACAGATCATACTTGACATTGCAGCAAGGCGACCTATGATGTTGAGTATAAAATTTAACCTAATAATAATAGAAATATTTTGTTATTCATTGTGGAGATGAAACATGATGTCGAATTTCATTTAATTGTATATATCAAATAGGCCCGTTATTATATTTCTTAACCGACTAAATTCGGGGATAATAAATAGGGTGAGTTGGAGAAGTAGTACATTTTTCAAACATAATTATAAAAGTAGTACAATTACTATTTACAATTAGGAAACTAATACATTTTCACTATTTGCTACTATTTCAATAACATTTAAGTCCTTAGATAAACAAAATATTTACGAGTATGCCACTGAATACGTATCTGTACAGTTTACTAAGTGTACGGTTATACAAAAATATTTTTTTGTACAATAATAAAAATACCACTTAATATCATCCGTACAGCGTATTACTGTACAAATATACGTAAATATGCAAATTTTGGTATACTATAATAGCTGTACGAATAAAAATGTGTAATTTTTTATACAACCGTACACTTAGTAAACTGTACGGATACATCTGTACATCCAATTAAATGTACAAATACGTCTGTACATATACTAAATTGTACAAAATACGTTTGTACACATACTAAACTGTACGAATAAATATATTCATATGAAATAAATTTAAAATTTATTAAGCAAAATTCATATTAAATTGTAGAGAAAAAAACATAGATTTTTGTGTATCATAAAAGTTTTACAAAAATAATAGTACAAAACTGAATATGTAAGTTATTAGATTCATGGGGTAAACTTATTCAAATAAATAAAATAAATAAAAAACCAAAAAACAAAAAAAAAACCAAACCAATAAAAATTGCCCTCCTTTGTCATTTTTTTTTCCCTTTCATTTTCTATCTCACACTTTCTCTATTTCACACTGTAGGGACCACCGTTTATTTTCCTAATAATAAATAGTAAATGTACTAGTTTACATATTACTTTTCAAAAACGTACTAATTTTCCAATTAATCCTAATAAATAAATGGTAGCTAGGTCTCTTCTTTATATAGTCGTGTATAACAAGGTTTATCTAGCTAGGTTACTTCATATATAAGTTTATTTATATATTTTGATCGTAATTAAGCATGAACTCATCATCTCCCATATTGATCAATGATATCATCATTGAGATCTTATCAAGAGTGCCTTCGAAGTCAGTCGCTAGGTATCGTTGCTTGTCGAAGCTATGAACATCAATGCTTAGTAGTCCATATTTCAAGAAGTTGTTCCTGACTAGATCATCGGCTAAGCCGCGCCTCTTATTCGCCATAGAAGAAGGCGGTGTTTGGAGAATTTTCACGTTGCCACAGCTTGAGAATCCATATGAGGAATCAACTTCTGTAGCGGCCGCCGAGTTTCATGTGAAGTTCTCTCCAAACTATATAGATATCTATCATGATCATGATCATGATGCCATGAGAAGAAATTTTTCATGTGGCTACGCTGCTGGCTTGTTCTATATACATGGTACGCTTCCATATCAGGGTAGACCTATGATTTGTAACCCCATCACAGGACGGTATGCGATCTTACCTTATCTGTATTATTACAGCATGACGCCTATCTTTTTCGGGTTTGACCCAATTGAAAAGCAATACAAAGCATTGGCCACAAATCCTTTTAGGCCTGCTCGTCATAAATTTCAGACAATTGGAGCTGGAGATATGACGTGGAGAGAGGTAAAGTGTTCCTTGCCACATGATACTCATCATAGTAAAGAGATATGTATCGATGGGGTTTTATATTACTTAGGTGACAGGATAAATTTTATTGATGACCATGTTGTAACGTCAGAATTTATGATAGTTTGCTTTGATCTTAGGTCTGAGAGATTCACTTTTATTGGCGTAGAATGGGTTGGTGAATTGATAAACTACAAGGGAAAATTAGCTATGATTTGTTTGGGGGATGAATATCATGCCATGGATGAGTTGCACATGTGGGTTCTAGATGATGTTGAGAAACATGAATGGTCCAAATATGTCTACACTTTCACAGATGATCTATTATTTCGTGGTTACTTTTGCGTCGTTGGAGCGACCACTTCGGGTGAAGTTGTGTTTTCATCAATTCTTAATTATAAACCTAAACAAGAACCGTTTTATGTTTTCTACTTCAATCCCGAAAGGAACACTCTACGGCGCGTTGAGATCAAAGGTTTAGGTGAAGCAGTTGAGAATAGTTGTACAGTTTTTACCTTTGTAAACCATGTAGAGGATCTTGATGTTAATGAGTTGCTCAAGTCAGTCCATCCTCCATTGACGAAGCCAGAATATGTAGAAGAATCAGGTTCAGAATCTGACTGAGACGAAGATAGGGATGATGATTGTTGTCAGAATTAGAAAGCAATATACGTTTTTTTTTTTGTCAACCTTAATTATCTATCTTCACTTAATGCTGTTTTGATATGTATGTACTCTTTTAATAAAGTTAAGTTGTATGAAATCTATGCTTTATGGAGATTCAAAGTTTTATGAACTTGTTTGATCTTGATATTTACGGTGTTTATGTTATTTTTTCTTTCTATAAATTTATTAATTTGCTTTTTCATAATTTCTCAAATTCTTACAAACAATCTCTTGATATACTTTTTATAATTCTATTTTGTGAAAATAAATGTATAAAGTAATGAACCAATAACATAATTATTTAATTCATTAAAAATTAATGATTCTTTTTAATTAAATAACACCAAAAATTATTGACTGTATAAATTTTTTAACGATTTATGAAGATTTTAGAGGAATTTTTTACAAATCAAATATTAATAATACAAAATTTAAATGATTTAAATAAAATCTTGATTGAATAACAATATTCTACATAATATTTAAAGTCATTAAAACATTATTTAAATCACAAACCAATAGCACTCCCTTAATTAAATTGGTTATTTCTAACAAATCCTCTAATTAAAAATATACCGATTTTCTTTCCTTTAATCAGTGTTACTTTCATATTTAATTTTGATTTACTTTAAATACATATTACATGGCATATATCTCTATTTTCATTAGCTAAACTAATATAGATGAACGCAAAGTATTTATTCGGTATAAAATGGTACTAGCTAGGTAATAAGGTTTCTCTAGGTCTTTGATTTTATTTATCATTTGCTTGATATTGTATATAAGTTTTTTATAATCATCTCTCTTGCTTCGTTTGATCATAAAAAATGAATTCATCATCCCCCATATTGATTAATGATCTCATCATGGAGATCTTATTGAGATTTCCTTCGAAGTCAATCGCAAGGTTTCGTGGTGTGTCGAAGCTATGAGCATCAAATTTTGGTAGTCCATATTTCAAGGAGTTGTTTTTGACCATATCCTTTTTGCTTTAGAAGAAGACGGTGTTTGGAGATTCTTTTCGTTGCCTCAGCTGGAGAATCCATATGAAGAATCGGCTCTTGTAGCAACCGCCAAATTTCATGTGAAGTTCTCTTTAGACGATATAGATATATATTATCATAGTGAAGTAAGACATTTTTCATGTGGATATGCTTCTGGCTTGTTATATGTCTATGGTTGTCGATACCAGGCTACCCCTTGATATGTAACCTCGTCACATGACGGTATGCAATGTTTATCCGAAAGGAATATAACCTTTTCGGGTTTGAGCCTATTGACAAGCAATACAAGGCATTGTCCATGGCTTATCCATTTGGTCCTAGTGATCATAAAACTCTTACATTTAAAGATGGAGATATGAAGTGGAGAAAGGTAAAATCTTGTTGGCGACATGATATTAAGAGTGGTGGGGTATGCATCAATGGGTTTTTGTATCAATTCATAAACCATTTAAGTCTAAATGTGATCCAAACCCAAACCAACTCATTAACTCATTTAACCCATTAATCCGTTAATACCCAAAATTCCAACTCATTAGGTTCATGGATTGGATTGGTTTGAGTTAAGCCATTAAATTCAACCCATTTTGACACCCCTAACGATATCCAAACAAATTGATCTAGAGAAAGAAAACAGGAGTAGGGTGTTACAAAAACTGAAAAAAACATAGGAAGGTGAGATACGATGTAAAATAGTAGTTTCTTTTGATGAAACAAGGTATATATTGACGACTTTACAGACACATAAAGGATACAATCATGTAAGAGCTTTAACATGATCAAGATATAGAAGACTAATATATAGAAAGTGTTTAAGTGTTTTTCAAAACAAAACAAAATTTTTATTATTAAAAAACACTCAAAAGATTACAAACACCTTTTAGAATTTTAGACACTCAAGCTTCCGATGATATCTCCTCGCCAAGCTTGGTGTATAATACATGTCTCAAATAATATTACATAGCATATTATTTTTAACTTATTTTACACATATTTTATTCTTACTTCCCACATCATACATCATACGCTACTGCAATCAGACATCGTACTTTATCAGACATCACTCCATTTACTTCACCTCATGCTTTATGATGAATCTTACTTCTCGTTGGAGAAATCTGGAACCTCTTTGTGTAATTCGAGAACACAATATGAATAGGAATGACAAATGATTTTACAACGAATAAAACCCGAATCTAAGGCAAGAGTCTCGACCTGTGGAAATGACCTCTCCTTACCATTTGAGCATTGTGTTAACATGAATATGTCCATACCAAATGCAATGTTAGAAGGAGTATCGTTCATCTTTGGTTCCACCGGCATAATAAGCTCGACTAGTATCACTTTTCCTTTGTTCGGAAGACTTCTCCAGCAATTTCTTAGAATCTTTACACAATCTTCGTCGCTCCAATCATGTAGTATCGACTGTCATTAATTTACGTAGTTAATATATTGTGGTTGACCAATACGAAATTTTATATATCTTTAATGTTTCCATTAAAAATTGATTATATATATATGAACATACTTTCAGGAAGATGGCATCTCCTTTTGGAATTTCTTTGAACATATCTCCTGAAACATGCTCCACTCCTACATATATAATGCAATTTACGAAAGATAAAATATAATATTCATTATAAAATTTTGAAGGATTACCAAAATTAGCAATTTCAAGAACAACTTGTTGACTTAATCAGTTATACTGTATAGTGTACCTGGATAAAGAGGAGCATTGGTTATGACCTTGGCTAGGTCGAAGTTGATGCCCTTAATATGAGGATACTTGGAAGTCACTAAACCTATGACTTGTCCATATCCTCCTCCCACATCCACTAAAGTGTTTACATCTTCGAATCCCTTGTATACTTGTAGAATTCTATTCATGGTCATGGTAGAAACTTCTAACATTGACCGGTTAAACATCTCACCGAACCGTTTGTTTGAACCAATGTATTCAAAAAGTTTCATGCCATGCGAAGCGGTGAATGCATCCGTTCCTTCTAATATCATATCTTTGAGATGCGGCCTAGAGGAAAAAAAATAAATAATCAGTTATTTTCTTTGCAAACTGGTTTTATTATAAGGTTTGGGTTAAAACGGGGATAATGAATGTTAATGTAATTCATAATCTAAGTATATAAGTTATTTGGCTTGTATAAGTATTGTAGTACGTACCAAGTCTTGAGAAAGTCTTCGCTTAGGCCAACCATCAACATAGTCGCAAGAGAACCGGAGCCGCCGCCACGGTTCAAGAAAAACATGCAAACCGGTTCAGCTGCATAAACTCTCTCGGATTTTCTGGTTTGACCGTTGTTTCCCGTTTCAACCGTACGGCACTTTAAGACTGAGTGAGTAACAAGTAATGAGAGCATCCGGTCCAACATAGTCGCTGCGTGCGGGTTCTTGGGTTTGGTTGGGAGACGAAGTGTAATCTCATAAGACGAGAGCCACACGCCTTCGTCTACAGCAGCAAGTGTGTCGATGACGCCAAGTTCCAAGGCCGTTTTGAAAACCATAGGGAAGCCAGTAGTGTACAAGATCTTCTCCGCTTGCAAGCTCACTGTTTCTTCGTCGAAATGTTGCTCTTCCTTGGGGGAAGTGGTTAAGGGATCTTGGAGATGGTTTGCCATTGTTGTTGCTTGTTACCAAATACGATGATATAGATACCAAATATATAGAGATGGTAAGACTAAGTGGGAGCTGATGAACTTTGTAGTCCACATTTGCTGCCACTTTATAGGGCGAAGCCTCGGAAGCCGTGTTCACAACCTAAATATTTCCCGGATTAACGAAAGCATCACCCAAATTAAACTAATGTCTAGGTTTTGTTTGCATTTTATCCCAATAATTATGTTTGAAACATAAGAATAATGTCCGAAACATTTTACAAAACCAAAAAAAGAAAAAAAAAAAAAATATCTACCTCAACAAGTTTTCGCATTGTGGTGGAGCCAACGTACATTGACACCCGTGATTTTTCAAAAAGTAGCTTAGGTTTTAATATTTCTTTAAAAAAATTGACCCTCTTCTTAATATATTTTTACCCCCATCAAATATTTATCCAAATATAACCCAATAAAAATTAAATTATATAAAATTGTATGTTATTCGATCGGTTTGGTTGTCGATCAACTTTTTCGGTTTTACGATATAATAGATTTAACCAAACCAAACCAACAATCGAAAACGTAATAAAAAAAATAGCAACCAAATGGGTATTTAAATTAAGAGAATTTTTGAGAAATACCCTTGTGGTTTACCTTTTTTTTAAAATACCCTTCTTTTCTATTCATTTTCAAAAATACCCATTTTCAAATATGAAAAATTATAAACTTTTATATGGTTAATAAAGTATATCGAGATCATCATTACTACTGGGAGACTAAATTCAAATATTTATAAGGTTTTAAAAGATTTTAAACGGTATTTATAATGTTTTTATAAGGTTTTTAAACGGTTTACACAGTTTTTATAATGTTTTTAAATGATTTTTAAAAGATATTTATACGGTATTTATGAAACATATATATAAATTTACACACATATAAAGATAATTTGTGTCTATAAATATAAGTTTATACATACGTTTTTGATAAATTTCAAATTATATAGTTACTTTTTGATAAATTTAGAAAGTGTGGTATTTTTAAAAAGTGGTATTGGAAAAGAGGTATTTTTAAAATTCCCCCTTAAATTAACCACAAAATAAATTTATTTATTATTTTGATTCGGTTTAGTTTTTCGGGTTGTATTTTTTTGGTCCACTATTTTTTTCTTTTATCTTGTTTTTATGATATTACTAGCAGTTGACCCGCGCTCCGCGCGGGAGGTTTATAGTTTTGTTTCGTTGATTTTTTATTCATATTGTGATATTTTATTATTATTTTAATTGATTTTCAAAAAATATTATAATTATTTTCTCTTTAATTATTATTTTTCAATACTCAAATTTGGATTAAAAGCACTTGATTCAATTTATGAAATATCATTTTTTTCTTTTTGATCATGTTATAAACTAATATTTCACTTTCATTTTTTCCTCTTTATAATTTTATATATACAATTACATAAATTTTGTTTTAGTCTACCATAAATTTAAATTTTACTTCCATTCTAAAAATCAGTAACATATTTAAAATATTAAATTATGATCAATTTAAAGTGAAAGTTGAATTATATTATTACCATTAATAAAAAATTAAAGTATTGTTTTTCTTATTTTAACATTTCATTTTTTACATAATTTATTTTTATTTATATAAACTTTCTATTAATTAAATAAGTAACATAAATATGTATTAAATGAATGTTTTTAATTTATTTTAATGTTTAAACAAAAATGTGGCTTATGTGAATGCTTAGGTGGCATCATGAGAAGAGAGAAAAAACTAACTTTATATATATAGATAATTGATTTTTTTGTATTTTTTTGTATTTTTCTTACAAATAATTTATGACATCTATTACAAAATTTTCTGGCTCTGCCAGTGATTCAGTCATCTATCTCTTTTTTTTTTTTTTTTTTTCTGGAACCAGACATAAATTTGGTCGACCCAGTCATTTATGTCTCTGCGAGAAGTTGGCGTTCCATTCGATCTAATATGGTCCTCACAAATATTTATCACGTGGATAGAATTATACAAAGCGTTTTGTTATCTTTACCGACAAAAAATCATACTATTTCGAATACGAAATCTAAACTTAGGCTGCTATATATTTTTGGAATTTTCATCCAAATGCATGGCAGGATATATATGTATACTATTCCGTATTCGTGAAACTTGTTCAGAACATCAAACACTAGATTGACCCATACACTTTTGCAAGACCCATTAGAAACGATTTTGTTAATTATGACCATTATTTATGAAAGATTTGTGATCTCAGCATGACAGCATGCATCGATCTGGTAACAACATTATGTAATACAAATCTACTTGGAAAGTTTATCGTTTTGGTGGATATGAATTCCTTTACTCCTGGGTATAAAACTGAGTTAATATACTCTTTAAGTTGTTTGTGGTATACGGTTTAATTAATGAGATACCGTATATAATCATATCCCATATGTTTAGGGAAATCATATTGTATATACTAATTCATGACAAATATCTTTGTATTTATGTCTTATGATTCTCTATAAGCTTATATAAGCTATGTTTATGTAATTTTGTGTCATGAATTAGTATATACGATATGATTGCCCTAAACATATAGGATATGATTATATAAAGGTATCTCATTAGGGTTCCTAGGAAGTTGATGGTCGAGTCAAATTTTCTAATGCATATTTTCTTGAGGTGACAAGCACTCTCAGGCAAAAGTACGTGTGTGAGACAGTGAGAGTATATATCGACGGTTAAGCAGATTAATGTCCTAAACGAGGAGAAAATAACGAGACCATTAACCATAGACCATAGTAAAGTAAAACCTCTATAAATTAATACTCGATAAATTAATAATCTCTATAAATTAATAAATTTCTCCGGTCACAAGTTGGTACCAGTGTAATTTTAGACATATTTCGATAAAATAATAAGATAATAATTTTTTTGAAAATCCTTTGTAAATATATGGTCCCAATAATATTATAAATTAATAATTAGGTAAAATTTTCAAAATATATGTATATATAGACACATTAGTTTTTGTTAGAGTTTATTTCTAATATTTTACTATATCAAAAATTGTTAGCATTCTCTTTCAAGACATAATAATTATTATTTTCTTTGTGATTGATTAAATAAAATACTAATTATCATGATTAAATCTCATTTTTAAATATTTTTCTGAAAAAACTTTCAAATTAGGAAAATCTCTCTATAAATTAATAATTATTAATTTATCGATAAATTAATACCTCTATAAATTAATAGATTTTCATGGTCCCAACATTATTAATTTATAGAGGTTTTACTGTATATATGTGCTTTTGACAGCTGGTTTTCAAATGCTATCCCTTCGATGCTATACTAGTAAAAAAAATCTCTACGGCCACTTGACTATTCGTGGCTGTGCCTTAAAATTCATGGTTGTTCCTTAAAATTCGTGGCTATAGCATCGTAGCTTAAAAAATTCGTGGCTGTTTTTAAAAAAATTACCTTATAACCACGAATTTTCGCGGCTGCCAAGTGGCTATATGTATTTTTTTTACTAGTATATATGTTTCTTTCTCAGAAATTTATCAGAAAACTATGGATTATATATAAATTTTTGGAAAATCAATTTGATTGGATTAAAAAAATTTAATGTATAGTAACTCACAAATTAAAGAATTTTATTCACATGTTTATGTGGATAATCTTATAAATCTAAAATGCCATAAGCGAATGCGAAACTGTTTAATATAATTTCGTATCTTGTTTTAGTAGCTAGCCATAAAAGTGAGGCTTTGTTTACAACGAATGATTCTAGGTAAGGGTCAAACCCTCAAAGGCTTTCCATTAAAATTAGGTTCTGTGCTATATAACATGTTTTAGTAAGATGTTAAAATTTACATTACTACATACATGCGTAATCTTCGCGGCCTAATCTAATTTTGGAGAAAGCTTGAGAAGCTCAAACCATACATTAATATATTAAAGCTTTTGTACAAAATCTAAAAATATATAATATTAATTATTACTCTCAAGGCAATTAAAAAAACTACATAATAACAAAGAATGTCATTTTGACACATTTCACAAAAATTAATAAAGCGTTCAAATATGCATATATGCCCCTATTTAATAAGTGATTTATGGGTTTACATTTAAACCCTTAAAATGCTTCAGGGTCGGTAATCTTGGAATTAAAAAAATTACAAAGATTTTAAAGAGTGTTTTTACAGAATTTACAAGGATTTTTAAAAAAAGATTTACAAAGGTTTTTAAATGGTTTTCAAGAGATTTGTAATGGTTTTTTAAAACTTTTAATGGTTTTCAAAGGGTTTAAAAGGATTTACGATGGCTTTATTAAAGGGTTTACAAGGGTTTTTTAAAGATTTTCAAAGGGTTTTTAAAAATTTACTAAAATTTTTAAAGAGTTTTAAAAGACATTTACAAGGGTTAAAAAGGAACTTACAAGGGTTTTCAAATATTTTTTAAAGAATTTACTAGGGTTTTAGAAGTTTATAGGATTTATAAAGAATTACAAGAGTTTTTAACGTATTTACAAGAGTTTTAATAAATTACAAAGAGTTTGGATTTACAAGAATTAAAAGGACTTACAAAGGTTATAAAAGTTTTGAAATGATTTACCACGATCATAAATTTTTTAAGGGTTATAAAAAGATTTACAACAATTTTACAATAATTTTACAAGGTTTACTAGGGTTTTAAAATGTTTTGAATTACTTTAAAAGTATTTAGAAGATATTTTAAAGGATTTTATAAGAGTTTTTAAAATATTTACAAGGTTTCAAGAAATCGCGGAAAATTTTCTGGTAGGAAAAATAATTTTGGCGAGAAGTTTTTAGATTGATATTATTTTATTTATCATTAATTCTACTAAAAGAGAGTAAACTAGTCATTTTGTACTTAGAAGTGGATATTTTTTTAAGAAGATAACAAATAGAGGTATTAATGGTTATTTTTTACAAATGTGGAAGAAAATCTTAGGGGGTGTTATTGGTTTGTGAGTTATATGGAGTTTTAATGACTTTATATGTTAGGTAGAATCTGTCGTTATTCAATCAAGATTTTACAAAACTCTTTTAAAGTTTGGTGTTATTAGTTATTGATTTGTAAAGAGTCATTCGAAATCTTCATAAATATGGGGTTATTGGATACAGAGTTTTACAAAGTCATTAAAAGTTCTGTGTTATTCAATTAAAACAAAAGAATCTCTGATTGTTAATGAATTAAAATTTTATGTTATTGGTTTATGATTTTAAACACTCTTCTTTACAAAGTAAAGTCATGAAAAGTATCTTAGAAATACAGAGATTGTTTGAGATACTTTACAAGACTTTAAAAAAACTAATCAACAAGATTATATAAAACTCTTAAAAAATCTTTTAAAATCATACAATATATGATTTTAGCAGAGTCATCTAAATTCTTTATAAGTTAGAATCCAATAACACCCCCTTAGTTGTTGATTAGTTATTTTAAAGTCTTGTAAAGTCTCTCAAACAATCTCTATATTTATAAGATACTTTTCATGACTTTATTTTGTAAAGAAGAGTGTTTAAAATCATAAACCAATAACATAAAATTTTAATTCATTAACAATCAGAGATTCTTTTGTTTTAATTGAATAACACAGAACTTTTAATGACTTTGTAAAACTCTGTATCCAATAACTCTATATTTATTAAGATTTTGAATGACTCTTTACAAATCAATAACTAATAACACCAAATTTGTAAAGAGTTTTGTAAAATCTTGATTAAATAACAACAGATTCTACCTAACATATAAAGTCATTAAAACTCCATATAACTCACAAACTAATAATAGCCCCTAATTTTGAATTTATTCCTCACGACATTTTTATAGAGTTAGAAGCCCATGACCACTCATATGGTATCAAGAGCCATGGAGGGTTTTCTTGAGTCTTATCCGCCGGCGGCTTACTCAAGCAGGGGCGGACCCACATATCATATGGTGGGGGCAGCTGCCACCAGCAAAAAAAAAAAAAAATTAACATTAAAAAATATTAAAAATTGAAAAAAAAAAATCTGACCCCACTAAAATTGTTTTTCCTTCTTTTTTTGTTCCCACCGAACAAAAGCCCAATATCAAATTATCAACCCATATAGCAAACAAAAATATTAATATATAAACCTAAAATAACTAACTTAATAAATTAAAGATCTAAACCTAGTTTGTTGTTATTTTTTCTCCTATTCTTTTCTCCTCTGGTTTTTTTTGCTGTACACGACGATTAACAAGTGCAAGTCAACAAATATCAATTGGTGAGTCTTTTTCCTGCTTTTTGATAGAAATTATTATAGTGTGATGTGACATTATTACTGTAGGTTTTCTAAATTTTTAACTAATAACATGTTTTTGTTTTATAGCTAAATCACCAATATGAAAAAATTTTACAAACCAATTCCTAAACCAACGCCACACTCCAATATCGATGATCAACCACGGGATCCAGCTAACACCAATGTTGATGATCAACCACTGGATCCAGCTAACACCAATGTCGATGATCAACCATTGGATCCAGATAACACCAATGTCGATGATCTGCCTTGGGATCCAGCTAAGAGAAAAGAGATAGTGAGTTATCATCCGAATCAAAGAGACGAGGTAAGACGCAAATATCTTGTTAGAGGTCCATGTCAACCTTCTGGTCATTCTTTTAAAAGAACAAAGATGAGTAATGCAACAAGACGATTTAATCCAGCTTGGTTTGAAAAATACGGTACTTGGCTAGAGTATAGTGTATCAACAGACAGAGCTTTTTGTTTGTGTTGCTACTTATTTAAAGGTGACGGACGGAACCAAGGTGAGAGTGATGCATTTGTGAAAGAAGGGTTTTGTCTCTGGAATAAGCCTGAAAGGTTAGAAACTCACATAGGCGGAAACTCAATATGAAAGGTGAATTTAATGGCTTGAGAGCATTGGTTGTTAGAGAAAACAATGCAGCATATTATGTTCATTGTTTTGCTCATCAACTTCAGTTGGTGGTGGTGGCAATCGCAAAAAAACACTTTGAGGTTGGTGATTTTTTTGATATGATTTCTACATTGGTGAATGTGGTTGGAGCTTCTTGTAAAAGACAAGACATGATTCGAGAAACTTATCGAAAAAAGGTGCAGGAAGGAATTAGTAGTGGTGAGATTAACACGGGTACTGGATTAAATCAAGAAATTTCGCTACAAAGACCTGGAAATACTCGTTGGGGTTCTCATCAGAGAACATTGCAAAGGTTAGTTGAGTTGTTTTCTTCTATCATTGAAGTTCTTGAGTATATCCAAAATGAAGGCGTCGAAGACTCTAAAAAACGTCAAGCATATGGTCTTCTCAAGTACTTTCACACTTTTGATTGTGTGTTCTATATGCAACTTATGCTACTTATTTTGGGATTAACTGAGAATTTGTCAATGGCTTTGCAAAGGAAAGACCAAGATATTTTGAATGCCATGTCATTGGTGGAATCTACTAAGAGAGAATTACAGAAGCTTAGAGATGATGGATGGGATTCACTTATGAATAAAGTTTCATCTTTTTGTGAGAAACATAATGCTGAACTGCTTGTCATGTAAGACGTTTTTGTAGATCCAAGGAAACCAAGAAGAAAAACCAATATAACCAACCTACATCATTATAAGGTTAACTGCTTCTACACTATTATAGATTTACAGCTTCAGGAGTTCAATGATCGTTTTACGGAGGTAAACACTGATCTACTTATTTGTATGGCTTCTTTAAGTCCTCTTGATTCATTCCAAGAATTTAACAGAGAAAAATTGGTGAGGTTGGCTAAGTTTTATCCAGATGACTTCAGCTATGGGGAGGTTTTGTCTCTTGAGCAGCATCTTGATATCTACATTGACAATGTGAGCAGAGATGAACGATTTAAGAGTCTGAAAAGTCTTGGAGAGCTTTCCCGTTTGATGGTGAAAACCCAAAAACATCTTGCACATCCCTTGGTTTATAGGCTTTTGAAATTAGTTCTAACTTTACCAGTTGCTACAGCAAGTGTTGAGAGATGTTTTTCTGCAATGAAATTGGTGAATACAGCTGCACGGAATAGAATTGGAGACCAATTTCTAAGTGATTGTCTTGTTTGCTATATTGAAAAAGAATTATTTGAAGCGGTCACAAATGAAAATGTGATAAAAAGGTTTCAATTGTTAAATGAGCGTCGGGTAGTTTTGTAAGATGTTTTAAAAGTTTTATATGACAATTTTATGTTTTTCAATAATTTAGTATTTGATGGTTTTTACTATTTTTTTTCCCCCGTTGAATAAATTTTCTAGATCCGCCCCTGTACTCAAGTACCCCCTGAACCACGCGAAATAGTGTCTAATTGAATCAGAGTCCGCAAGATAAACATCCGAACGAGCAGAGCAATATAAGAATATATATATGTATATACCACTATAAATATTACGCAAAATATGATTTGGATATAATTGACACTTTAATGTTATTTGTTTTTTTGTTTCTCCTACCTACTCTAGTACTCTACAACTGTCACAAATTCATAGATTATATTCAATTACAAAATTTAGATAATAAAAGTTTGAGGTCAAAGTTTGATGGTGGGAAGTAGGTTTGATATGTGGTTATTCCTACACCAAATTAATAGTTCAGAAACATAAATAAAACATCTACTTATTCGTACACCATGAGCCACACCCATCATTTCTATGGACCACTCACATGTGGTTTTGCTTGAGGCAACATTTATGTGTGGTTAAAAAAAACATTTATGTGTGGTAGTTTATTTTCATTAGCAATAAATATTTCAACAAATAAATAGCTGTTTTATTTATCCTTTTTATTTTAACTAGATAAATGATTTTGATAAGCAACTAACTAATGTTTTCATAATTCTTTAGTTTATAGTATTTAGGTGAAAGATGTTTTACTTTTGTATGTTATAGAGCGAGAAATTTGTTCAAATATCTATTTGCTCACTTTTGTTTTTAATAAAATACTTAACTTACATTTAATTAAATTTGATTATAAAATTCATTTGATATATAGTTATTAAACATATTTATTATCAAAAATATACAGTTTAATCTCTAGGGTGAGTTAAGTTTGTGACAGCAGAAGACTTAAATTAATGTATATAAGATTTTTTTAAAAGAAAACATGAATATGCCTTCAAAGCTATAGAATATATGATGTTATTGGATATTTGACTTTTATAAAGTCTAATTCTAATTAACCCAAATAAAGTGTTATTAATTATTTATATTTGTAAAATCTTCATTTGAAGAGTTCAAAATCAAGTGTTATTGGTTCTCATATAGATAAAATCTTTATTAAAAAAAGTTTTAAATCAAACGTTATTGGTTCTCATACTTATAATTAATTATTAACTAAAATCTTATGTTATCCAAGTTTGGTGAACTTTGACAAACAATTTTATTTGAAAATATTTGAATGAATCAGAAAATGATTTCATGAATAAACTATATCAATCCAAAAACCAAACTTCTAACATGAGATTTCATTATCAAATAAACAAAATTTCACCCTACCACCCACGTAAATACACGTACGTTATTTAGTAAATCATTCACCCAACACATTTTATGTTTCTTCCTCAAAAACCAGATATCAAAGCTGCTTCTCAGACAATGTGCACAAAAGAATCTCCGGTTAATATTTGGGTGTGTTCTTTTGTTAGTCGCACGATTAGCTTCAGCGGCAGAAAATATACACAGCAAAGAAACTTCAGTTTTAACAGTTACGATGGAGAAGAAAGCATTTAGACCTTTAATTTTTGTTGTCGCAGACTCTGATCGTGCGACTAATAAAAGAACACAAGGAGTAGTTTTGTACCATCCGGTTTACAATCCCTACTACATCTATCCGTCTTCAAAATCTAAAGATAAACGGGCAAGTAAATATATTATTTTTAAAAATATGTTTCAAATTGTAATATTTTGTATATAAACTCAAAAATATTAAACTAAAAATAAAATAAAAATAGCAAAGTGGAATGCGCTCGTGACCAAGCACATGTGGTCTGTGTGAGGGCAGCGGAGTCCCAGGCAGTGTCCCACACCATTTTTATCTAAAAATAAATTTGAAAAAAACAATAAGTAACGTTTCTAATATTGCGATGTCCTTTACTTTTTATTTTCATTATTCGTGTGCCCCACTGACACGTAACGGTACGCGATTAGTTACGTTTTTCTTTTTTTTTTTTAATCTAAAAAATATTTCCTGGAACAATTTTTGTCCCTACCGCTGCCTATTATCTGAGCCAACATTTATGTCTCGTAGTTATTACCCAAAAGAACTAATATAGTTACAAATTTAGAAAATAGTCACGAGTCTAGAAGATCGAATCCGTTATGGTTCCAAATCCCAAAAGATTTTTCAAACTTTGAGAATCCCTTTGGAAAATTCATGGAATTCCTATCTATGTTTTTCTTGTTTTATTTTAGTTCCATGTTGTATTAACTTACTTCTTTTGAGGCTTTAGAATGAATGAAAGTTCTGACCAAAAAAAAAAAAAAAAAGTCACGAATCTAGAAGTTAGGTAGTATTTTCTTTTATTTTCAAGTTTCTTTTTTTATTTAATGTGAGTTTTAATATTCTATAATATTTTCTTTTATTGGTTGAGTTATTTTTACGTAAATATAGATAGAGGATGCTCTTAAACTTAATGCACAAAAAAAAAACCAAGTATTGCGTTATAAAGTGGAACGGAGGGATTGTAACAGCACCGACAAGAAAAAGAGAGAAGAAGAAGGACAAAACATGAAATTTGAGCTTGTCTTCATCCCTTCTCCTGGAGTCGGTCATCTCCGATCAATGGTGGAGATGGCGAAGCTACTAGTGAGCCGTGAAACCAGCCTTTCTATCTCCGTCATCATCGTTCCTTTCATTTCCGGAGGGCAAGCCGGTGCTTCAGATTACGTTGCATCGCTCTCCGCTGCATCCAACAGCCGCCTACGCTACAAAGTGATCATCTCCGCCGAAGACGAACCAATATCGGAGCTGACAACTTTCGAAAACCATATCGAGAACCAGGTGCCCAAGGCTAAAAGCGCCGTCGCGAAACTCGTCGAAGACTACACGGCGGTACCGGACTCGCCGAGGATTGTTGGGATCGTCCTAGACATATTCTCCACGTCGATGATGGATGTGGCGAAAGAGTTTGGTGTTCCGAGTTATGTATTTTGTGCGACAAATGCAGGAATGTTCCCACTTACATATCATATTCAGATGCAGTTCGATGAGAACAAGTACGATGTTAGTGAAAGTGATCACGTAGACTCGGAAGCTGTGTTGAACGTTCCAGGTTTGAGTCGTCCTTATCCGGTGAAGTGTCTTCCTGACATTTTCGCATCTAAAGTGACGCTCCCAATGTTTGTAAATCAAGCGAGAAAATTTAGAGAAATGAAGGGTATTTTGATAAATACTGTTGCTGAGCTTGAACCTTATGTGTTGAAGTTTCTTTCAAGTGGTGATTGTGATACTCCTCCTGTTTATCCTGTTGGACCATTGTTGAAACTCGAGAGCCAAGTTGGTGGTTCCAAGGACGAGAAACCATCTGATATTTTACGGTGGTTAGACGAGCAACCACCCAGTTCGGTTGTGTTCCTCTGCTTTGGGAGCTTGGGAGGCTTCAGTGAGGAACAAGCAAGAGAAATCGCCCTAGCGCTGGAACGAAGTGGCCACCGGTTTATCTGGTCTCTCCGTCGTGCATCCCCTAATATATTTAGGGAACCTCCTAAAGAGTTTACGAACCTAGAAGAAGTTCTTCCTGAAGGATTTTTGGATCGGACCAAAGATATAGGAAGAGTGATCGGATGGGCTCCGCAGACGGCCGTGCTTGCGAATCCGGCTATTGGAGGATTCGTCACTCATTGCGGGTGGAACTCAATGCTAGAGAGCCTTTGGTTCGGTGTCCCCATGGCTGCATGGCCGTTATACGCAGAGCAGAAGTTTAACGCCTTTATGATGGTGGAGGAGCTTGGATTGGCGGTGGAGATAAAGAAATACTGGCGAGAGAATCATTTAACGGGAACGTCGACGGTCATCGTGACAGCAGAGGAGATAGAGACATCATTCAAGTGTCTCATGGACAAGGATAGTGACGTGAGGAAAAAAGTTAAGGAAATGAGCAAGAAATGTCACGTTGCCCTAACGGACGGTGGGTCGTCGAGGATTGCGTTGGATAAGTTTTTTGAAGACGTTACCAAGAATTATCGTTTCAAAGATTAAAGAATATGAGTGTGTACCCAAATAAGGCATAATTGAGTTTAAACTATCATATATATTAGTCAATGCCATCTTTAACTCGTTTTATCTATAACATAAATTTTTTTTAAAAAAGTTTTATGTTATAAATTGTACATAATCAAAAGGAGATCAAGAGGACGGAGTGAAAAGCAAACACAACACAACGTACATGTTTTCACAACGAGTACGTACATCAGTACATGATGAGGAAAGTGAAAGGAATAAAAACCAAGCTCGATACTTTTTACGTACCCATGATTCTATGAATGAGATTGTGAATATTTTATTGTTTCCATTGAAAATGCAGCTAATTCTATGAGAAGTTATGATAATGATCACGACTTTTGGTGAGATTCATAATGTCAATCCAAACGAAAAAGATTTCATAAAGGTCCTCAAGATCAAGTTATACAACAATGTTTTTCATCAAGGTCGTCAAGATCAAGTTATACAATGTCATTCTCTTGAAAAACTTGTTTTTTAAACAGTCTAAAACGTGTTCAGACTTCAGACATAGAATGTCTTACCCTTAATGGCGGCCCATTTTGACGTTAAAGAAGCCCATTATTATTTTCTTAACCGACTAAACAAATTCGGGAATATAAATAAGTTGGTAGCAAGGTTTTTCTAGCTAGGTCTTTTTTACAATTTACTTCACATCTATATAAGTTTTTTTTTTTTCTCATCTCTTTTTCTTCGTTTGATTCGTAAAACATGAATTCATCATCTCCGATATTGATTAATGATCTGATTATGGAGATCTTATCAAGACTGCCTTCGAAGTCAGTCGCGAGGTTTCGTTGCGTGTCGAAGCCATGGGCATCAATGCTTAGTAGTCCATATTTCAAGAACTTGTTTTCTATCAGATCATCGGCTAAGCCGCGCCTCTTGTTCGCCATAGAAAATAACGGTTGGAACTTTTTCTCATTGGCAATGCTTGAGAATCCATATGATCAGGAGTCGAATCTTGTAGCAGCTGCCGAATTTCATGTGAATATCTCTCCAGATATCGAACCTTGTGATTTCATAAGACATTGTTCATGTGCCTATGCTTCTGGCTTGTTCTATATCCATTATTGTGGATTCCAGGGTAGACCTTTGATTTTTAACCCTGTCACTGGACGGTATGCGATCTTACCTTACATTTGCAGAGAGGCTGATAGCTTTTTCGGGTTTGACCCGGTTGATAAGCAATACAAGGCATTGTTCATGGATTTTTCATTTTCTCCTAGTACTAATAAATCTCTTACATTTGGAGACGGAGATATCAAGTACAGTAAGGTAACTTCTTCCTTGCGACATGATATTGCGAGTGGAGGGATATGCATCAACGGGGTTGTGTATTATTTTGGTGACACGACGGATTGTATTAATGATGATCATGTTGTAACACCTGAGTTAGTGATAGTTTGTTTTGATGTTAGGTCTGAGAAAATCACGTTTATTGAATTTGAAAAGATTGGTGAATTGATAGACTACAAGGGGAAATTAGCTCTGATTTATTGGGGGGATGATTATGCCATTAAAGAGTTGCATATGTGGGTTCTAGATGATGTTGAGAAAAAGGAATGGTCCAAATATGCCTACACTTTGACGACTGATGATAAATGTTTCTGTCGTTACGTCGTTGGAGCGACCGCTTCGGGTGACATTGTGTTTTCAACGAAGTGGTGTGGACCTAAAGAACTGTTTTATGTTTACTATTTTAGTCCCGAAAGGAATAGACTCCAGCGTGTTGAAATCAAAGGTTTTGGTGAAGCGGCGAGTGATAATGGTTTTACCGTTCGTACTTTTGTAAACCATGTAGAGGATCTTGATGTTAATGATTTAAAACTACTCAAGTCATTCCATTCTCCAGTGCCAAAGCTAAAATATGCATAGCAGAATCAGAAACTGAGAGAGGAGAAGGAGAAAGAAGATAGTGCTTATGATATCTATGCGTTTACTAAAGTAATTGAAATCGATGCTTGGAGACTCCAAATTTGTTTCGTTTCAATTTGGTGTGAGGATTCATTCGTTTATATCCTTGCTAAATCAAAGATCATGTACATTTTTTTCTGAAGTCTTACGTTAATTGTTTGATCTCGATAGTAACAGTTTTTTTGTCAATTGTTCGAAGAAATTTTTTTTTTGGTTATATAGATGTTAGCTTCTCCGAGTTTTTGAAAACATGTGTTCTCTAAAAGCTTTGCCTCGAGTTGTATTAAAACTTTGCCAAGACACGCAAATAAAATACTAAAACATGTGTTCTCTAAAGCTTAGAGCATCTCCAAAGGGAGATGCTTAATTTGGGGTGTTAAACAAATTTTTATTAAATTTAAAAATTTTTACACATTATGATTTATTTTTAATCCCTTTAATAAGCACAAATTCTAAACTTTTATGTTAAGCCTCCCCCTTTGGAGATGGTCTTATCATCGAGTTTGTTTGTATTTTTGGAACTTGATCAGTCTCTAAAAGATATGTTTCTCCTGGTTCGTATATCTCAGAAACGTATCCAAACTTTGTAATTACTTAGTTTATAATTAAAAAAAAGCAATTACTCTCTTCGTTTTTAATTAGTTGTCGTTTAAGATATGTATACCCAAATTAAGAAGATAATTAAAGTTTCTATGTTATTATTTTTAATATATTTTCTAATTTTATAATTGGTCATAACATTAAACAACATAGAATGAATTTAAATTTTTTACCAAACATTTGCATTAGAAATCTAAAACGAACACTATTTTAAAATATAATTTTAACTCAGAAACGACAATTAATTAAAAACGGAAGAAGTACTAGTCTACTAGATAGAGAATAGTCGTATATATACACTATATGAAAGATAGATATGTATATATATATATATATAGTTTTTACTATTTCCATTTATTTTGTTGCATTTTTAACTTTGTAGCATGTAATACAATAACTATGTCATATTTGACTAGTTATCGCTAAAATATTCGAAACAAAACAAATTAAAGAAAAGAAACCGAACCAAACCGAGATCAACACAATAACCGAATGGATCATAAACGTTATAACCAGAACTAACCAATACCGATTACCAAAAAAAAAAAAGAACTAACCAATACCAAACCGAGAACCAAATTGAGTATCCGACATATCCAAAATATATTTATATTATATAATTTATATATCTGAAGTCTTAGTTTTATTTAGATTTGATATAACTTAATTACCAAAATTATGGTAAATATTATATAATTTTCGATAAAGTGACCAAAAATATTGAAATTAATCAAAATATGGGATGTTTTAGACAGAGATTTATTCAAATTTAATCAAAAATTAACTATTTTAAAAGTATTTATACTATTTCAAGTACCTAAAAACATACCAAAAACAACCGAAACAAACTCAAACCAAAATTCCAATATCTAAATGAATCCTAAACCTCACTATCAAAAATATTTGAAATCGTATAATATATCATCCGAAATCAAACCAAATACTCGAACACATGCTATTAAATAATAATAATTTCACAAAAAAAATTTAAAGATCAGTGAAAGGATTTAATTAAGAGTACAATTACGTATTTAATTTGTTGACAACAAACAGTTTAAATGATAGATTTATGACCGTTCATTTCATTAAGTCAACAGTCACTTTCCTACACATCGCGTGTGCTAACTAACACATTCAAAGTCCTCTCAGCTCTCTCTACTCACTGGTTCGTGTATCTCACGCGCAATTATAACACGTGGTGACTCGATTTCTCCACCCATCTCTCCTTCGTTGAGAAGCATGCAACACAAATTAAAGAAAAAAAAAAACAGCTTCAAAGAGAGAATAAATCCCAATTTTTTTTATATTTCAATCTTCACGCAAAAGGAATAAAATTACTCTGACGGTTTCAAGCTCTCATCGGAACCCTAGATCTGTTTATCTTTTTCCGATTTTGAATTTCGCTGTTCTCCGTTTCAGATCTGAGTGTGAATTTGATCAGATTCTGATTTCTTGAATTTGATGTCGAAACCTTGGGGTGGGATTGGAATTGGGGCTTGGGCTGATGAAGCAGAGCGTGCCGATGAAGAACAAGCGGCGGAAGCTGCTTCTGCGACGGCGGATACACAGAGTTTTCCTAGCCTGAGAGAAGCTGCGATTAATGCTAAGTCTAGGAAGATGAAGAAGATGAGTTTATCTGAGTTTAACACAGGTGGTTACACAGCACCTGGAGGTAGGAACTCTGTTGGATTGACTCCGCAAGAGATTCTTCAGTTACCCACTGGTCCAAGGCAACGCTCTGAGGATGAAATGCAGCCTGGTCGTTTAGGTGGTGGGTTCTCTTCTTATGGTGGTCGTTCTTCTGGTGGAGGTCCTGGAAGAATGGGGAGAGATCGTGATGATTCTGATGGTTCTTGGGGTGGTGGTGGTGGAAGGAGACCTTACGGTGGTGGATTTGATGATGATAGGAGGGGGAATCAGTCTAGGGTTTCGGATTTTCCTCAACCTTCTAGGGCTGACGAGGTTGATGATTGGGGGAAAGCGAAGAAACCACTTCCTTCTTTTGATCAAGGACGACAAGGTCGTTATGGTGGCGGCGGCGGTGGTTTTGGAGGCGACAGAGGTAGTTACGGAGGGGACAGAGGAGGCGACCGAGGTGGTTTCGGAGGCGCTGGTGGAGGTGGTGGGTTATCTAGAGCTGATGATGTTGATAATTGGGGTGCAGGGAAAAAGCAAGCACCGGTTAGATCATCTACGTTTGGGTCGGGTTTTGGTGATTCAGGCCGTGAATCTGACCGATGGGCCAGAGGAGAAGTAGTTGGGGGTGGTGTTCAGGAGGAACGTCGACGTTTGGTTCTGGAACCACGAAAGGTTGTTGAGTCAGGAACTAGTGAGACTCCACCTGTTATTGAGAAGACGAGTAAGCCTAACCCGTTTGGGGCAGCTAGACCGAGGGAAGAGGTTTTGGCGGAGAAAGGTTTGGACTGGAAGAAGATTGACTCAGAGATTGAGGCTAAGAAAGGAAGTTCCCAAACGAGTAGGCCTACGAGCGCCCATTCAAGCAGGCCTTCTAGTGCCCAATCTAACAGGTCTGAGAGTTCAGGATTGAATAATGTGGTGAAACCGAGACCAAAGGTGAATCCTTTTGGTGATGCGAAGCCTCGAGAAGTGTTGTTGGAGGAACAAGGGAAGGATTGGCGTAAAATGGATATGGAACTCGAACATCGCAGAGTTGACAGGTCCTTATTCATTTGGATTCTTTTAATTTTTACCAAGGATTGTGGATCTGTTTCAACTCTATGTTGCTGTAGTTATCTGAGTATTGAATTTTATAATGATCTCATTTTGCTGCATGTTGATTTTCTATTTGACCAATGCTTCAAACAGAAAGTTAAGAATTTTGAAGTAATATTTAACTGCTTGATCATTATCCCCCAATAATCAATATTTATGTAGTTGGATGAATCTTGGAGATTAAAATGTTTGAAACTGTTAACCAAAAATAGTTTGCCATGTATGCTTTAGATTTCATATCCCTAATGGCTGTTATTTGATTGGATTCTTTGTATTTAGTTGTAGAGTCTTCTTGGTTATTCCCATCAGTGCATTTTCATTTGAGTTTCAGAGCCTGTTAGATAGCTGCTGCTTGTTTCTCTTGGGTATTTTCTTTGCTTTGTGCATGATCTAGTCTCCATCTAGATTTTGCTATGCATCTTGTGTGATTCTTTGTGTTGATCTCTGTGTTGTGAAAAAACAACTTTTCCAGGCCTGAAACAGAAGAGGAGAAGATGTTGAAGGAAGAGATTGAAGAGCTAAGGAAAAAACTCGAGAAAGAATCCATTGCTCCAGAGATCAAGGAATCTGAACAAGAACCCGGCAGTAATAATAATCACAATGATTTACCAGAAATATTACGCGGGAAAGAGAAAAATCTGGAAATTCTAACTCGTGAGTTGGATGACAAAGTCAGGTTCAGGCAGAAACCAATTGAGAGGCCCGGGTCTGGTGCAGGCAGAACAGGTACATATTCAGAAAGAACACATTCCCGGGGTGGATCAGTCGATGAAACCAGGAGTTTTGAGTCCACAGAGAGACCCAGATCACGTGGTGCAGTCGATGCCTGGGTTAGACCTGTCGATGATCAGCGAAGAAACTTCCAAGGAAGCAAAGAGCGTGGATTCTTCAACAACAGGTTAGTTAGTCTATTACTATCTAACTCTCATTTTCCCTTGAAGTCAAGAGACTATACACTTTATACAATTTGGATGCATTTAGGCTCATATCTCTTAAGTTTAACCAGAAACAGTATCTGTCATATTAATTTCTGAACTCGGTTTCGACAGGTCTTCCTCTAGGGAAGGATGGTAAGAAGGAAATGAAGAACAACCAAATGTGGGATATGTTTAACTACTACACAAGTCCCAGATTTTGAAGAAGACTTAGAGAAGTGTTAATTTCATTAATAAATATTCATAAAAACCCTAATCTTTGTTCTTTTTTGTTGTTGGTTCATCTTCGGAATCGGAGCCTCCTTGTTTTGTTTTGGTCTTCTACTCAGCGAAGGCGTGTGTGTCAAGAGAATGTGTCTCTTTTGTTATGTTTTAAGGACTTTTTCGAATCTTGATTGTTATATTTTTTGTAGTTAATCCTGGTTTCTTTATCTCCTTTCTTTGTAATTTGTTAACACATTTGTTTGCCAATAACTCTATTTGTATTAGAACAACAAGAAAGACAACGTTCAGGATAAAAAAGAATCCAACAGAATACAACAGAATTAACACAAACTCAATGGGTTACACATACTTCCCTCTATACTTAGGTTTTGGATCTTTGAAGGTTTTGGGATCAGTGTGAATCTGAGAAGAATCAATGGGTTTAAACACAGAGGAATGAATATTACCATCTTCTAACCACCTAAGATGATTCTCTCTAAACTCTAAATGCATTAAACGAGCAGCTTCTTCAATCTCTTCACTATAAGGCTCTACTTTCACCATAGTTAGTAGGACCCTACTATATCGCGAGCTCAGGATCTGTTCAGAGACCGCAACTAACTTGAAACACGGGTGCTCAGGGAACTTAACCTCCCCGCCAGTCTCATCTCTCAAAACCGGGAAGAAAAAGACAAGCCTGCCTTTCATTACCAGCATTCTTGCAGCAAGGTGAAGCAGATCATGAACACACTCAACTAGACTATAGGCACCAGTGGATGGAATGTGATCTGCTCTTTTATCATCAGGGACAGTGTAAGGGTCCACTGTTCCTCTTAGGATTTTCCTGCCACCAGATTTACGTCCACCAGCTCGAACTCCGTAAGGTGGATCACAGATAATTGCATCAAAGATCTGGATTGATTGATACATATAACATAAACTCAGTGATCACGACTCAATATGCCAAGGATAATAATAAAAGAACCAGAGAGAGAGAGTGCATTACCTCTTTTAGCCCAGAACGCCAAGGAGGAAGATTATTATCCATTCTAAGTAGAGCAACTGGCGTAGGTAATCCATACTGCATAAGGGATAACATATGTAAGAACCCGAGATATCGAAATGATAGAAAGAAACATAACAAGAAGAAGTTACACCACTAACCTGCTTGAAATTACTCCAAACATTACAATCTGGACCACGTCCATCACGAACTACTCTGATATCAATATCTGCACCCTAATACAACAACTCTTTTGTAAGCTTGAGATCCAGAAACCACAAAAACGGATCAAGAAACTGAGGTGAATAGTTTGCAAACCATAGTCATTGCGCCAAACTGCGCAGCAGAGACAAGAATACTCCCAGTACCAACGAAAGGATCATACACTAGTTTCCCCAAAGTAGCTTTGGCTTGGTTAGCCATTAAGAAAGCCATTTCAGCATCCATAGCAGTTGGGCCAAGGTAAGTACGAGATTTTAACTGAAATGTAGGTAAAAGCTTCCTATCAGCAAAACCAACCTCCCTCCCAAAAAAGATCCTTCTCTGTAGAATAGGTTGAAGTCCATTGTTCTCTTCAGATTCAATCATCTCCATCAGAAAAAAGTTGTGATCTGGGTTCTTCAAGTTAACTCGACCCTACACCAATCAAAATCACCAAAAAAATCATATACACATAAAGATACACACTTTTTTGAACAAAAAAATAAAATAAAGATACACACTTTAAAGAGACTGAAACCAGAAAGGGAGATTATACCTCAAATGGGATATAAGTAAGTGACTGGATTCGATCCTTCTGCTCTTCAAAAGTTAAAGCCTTTCCGAAAGTTTCAACAGAGATCCTAAAGGTTGAACCAGAAGTGAGAAAAGGAAGCTTCCGAGAATCAGGGTAACTTTGAATCGAGTCTTGAAGCTCTTCATAACAAGTCCCTTCACCCCAAAGCTCATACATTCCTTTCACCAATATGCTTCTCTTAGCAATATTACGAGCGATTTCTTCAGATGAAAGCTGAACGAAGTGGAATGGAGTATCGTTATGGTGATTTTCAGGTAGACGCCATTGAAGAGACTCATTCTCTGCAATCTCTTCTCCGAAGAGTTCAGCTAAAGCTTCAACTTCTGGCTTTCTGAAGTCTAATAGTCTGTGATAGAAGACACAAAGAAACCACATCTTCTTCCCCCAAAATCCAAAACCCTAATTTGACAACAGAACTCAGAAGACGGAGACGGAAGAAACGAAGACGACGGCGACTAAAACTCTAAAACCCCTTCTTCAAAACCCTTATACATGGGCCTATAATAAAGCCCATTAATTTAGGCCCTTTCAATAGAATTACGAAAATACCCCGTTAGCTGTCGAAAAATATACATATATCATCGCGTCGTTGGCTTTGTTTCCTTCACTTGTGTGTTCCGTCTGCTTCTCTTCTTTTTTCAGAAACTAGGGTTCCGTCGCAAATCACGATCAGATCTCGTAGTCTCTGGTATGGTTACTCGTTTCTTCTACTTTGTTTCTATTGAAGTAGCGATTGGCTTATATGTTTTTCTAGGGTTTACTATCGCACAATTACGATTTCTTAGTAGATATGAATTTGAAATTAGCTTCGTTGATGCATCTCGTAAGTGCGAACCATGTTTAGTTATCCTGATGTTTAGAGAACGATTAAAGATTTGAGTTAAGCACTTTATGTGAATTACTATTGTCTTGTAGCTGTATATATCTTCTGGATCTGCAGTGTTTAAGTTTCTTATTTAGCTCTCTGTTAGGGTAATTATGATGTTGCGAGTCAGTAATATTTACTACATTAAGTTTGGCTTGTTGTAGAAGATGTCAGAAGATCCGGAGTTTCGTTGCTTCATTGGTGGGCTTGCCTGGTCAACATCTGATCGTGGTCTCAGAGATGCCTTTGAGAAGTATGGTCACCTCCTTGAGGCCAAGGTATATATATTTATCTCTCTTTTACATGCTAGTTGCTGTGACATTGAAGATCTTTGCAAATCTGTTAATGGCGTTTCTGTTTAGTAATTTGAATCTGTTATCTACTTTTTTCGTTGCTGAGACGTTGAAAAGCTTTGATTGTTTTGTAATTTATTCACTTCACTTTCCCTCTGAAAATCTGCTATGGTGTTTTCTGTTTTGTAATATAAACTTTACCATGTCTGATTCTCATTACCATAATTCGTATGAGAGATAAACCTTATCTATTGATGCTTCAGGTGGTTCTTGACAAGTTTTCTGGTCGCTCCCGTGGTTTTGGGTTCATTACTTTTGATGAGAAAAAGGCTATGGATGAAGCTATTGCTGCAATGAATGGAATGGATTTGGATGGGCGAAAAATAACTGTTGATAAAGCCCAGCCACATCAGGGTGGGGGAGGCAGAGATCATGATGGAGACCGCAGTCGTGATCGTGGATATGACCGAGATCGTAGCCGTCCCTCTGGTGGGCGTGGTGGTGGAGATTGCTTTAAGTGTGGCAAGCCTGGACATTTTGCCAGGGAGTGTCCTTCTGAAAGTAGTAGAGATGGTGGGGGAAGATACAGCTCAAGGGATGATAGGTATGGTGCGAAGGACGATAGATATGGTGCAAAGGAGGATAGGTACAGCTCAAAGGATGATAGGTACATTTCAAAGGATGATAGGTACAGTGCAAAGGATGATAGGTATGGTAGTAGGGATGGTAGCAGGGATGGTGGAGGTAGTCGCTATGGACCTGATCGCAGTGGAGAACGTTCTGGAGGACGTAGCAGGGATGGTGGCAGCCGTGGAGGTCCAGGAGGTGAGAGGCACAGCCGTGCTCCATATGACCGCCCTAGAGCTGGTGGCTACTAGAATTCTACGCCAAAGGGTAAGTATGCGTTGTGTTATTCCACTTTTTTCTATCATATCTCTGCAAAGCTGAGTGCTGGTAAGACTTATGTTGAAGTCTCTTCATATCTTCTTTTGCAGGTAAAATGGAGTTGAAGGTTTCTGCTTTCGGCTCTCTTGTCAAGTGCGAAGTCAAAGTTACGCTGGATGGTCTGTTTTCTTTAATGTATTTGGATAGCTCGAGAAAGAAGATGTGTCTCTATTTTGGCCCTAAAGTCAAGAGTCGACTAATGTTCCTAAAGTGCTCTCTCTCCTTTTGATATGTTGATCCCAATGGAAACCTTGTGCTTGGTTGGTTTGAGTTGAGACACAATTTGAGATGTGCTACTTTATGCTTATCGTAATGAATGCGTGGGTTATCCCCCAACACCAAATTTGGAAAAAGCCTCAGGTACGCGATTGATTGATTTTGATTGATCTTTACGGAATATCATATCCAGGCTCAACATTTGGTAAAGAATGCAAATGTTGTTATATTTTGGGGATATGCCGTTTTATTGATTCTGCTAAACAATGATGCAGGATCATCTGATACTTAGCCGTGATAATAACCACCAGTCTATAAAACTTGTGATGGGATTGGGAATTATACATTGATGATGACTTGATACTTGGCTTCTGGAACTCAAACGTCTCTTCACGAGTTGATTTTTCAGGAAAAAAAGAAAGAAAGAAAAGGTTCTTGGGAAATTTTAGTGTCATTATTCCAAGTCAAATCCAATATTTTCCTCAACTAGAGAAATTCCGAATGGATGGCTCGTCTAGTATGTGCTCTTTGGGTTGTTCTTGGTTTAGTCTTTTTGCGTTCTCATTTGCTCTTGTTCGTGACCTGCCTTTGATGCTCTCAAGTCCTAGCATTGACGAATTGACACATTACATTGGTACTTGATTAGTTAAGGCTTACTATATGCTTCGGTTCCACTTGTTGCCATGATTTGTATTCCATAACTTAAGGCTTAATTTGTATTCCCACTTATTTTCATAATTAACATTAGTTAAATAATTTTTTAGATCACATGTACGTTGCCGGATAAACATTGACTTAACCATCTTATATAGAAAATGTACATAGTGTTAATATAGATGCTTTAATACCATTTTCTTTCGTAATCCATATTGCATGCATCACTTAGATGCTCTTATGAGTAGTCTATATATTAACATAAATAAAGACTTTGTAAATTTGTTGGTCACATAAAAAAATATAAAGTGTTATCATTCAACATGGCAAGTGACAAAAGTTGTGTATTACCGTAAAGGTTGACTTTTAATGTTACATAGAAAGTGAACAGTATATAATTCTCCCCCTCTCTTCTCGTACCTCAAACCATACCCAAATTACAGTTTTTTTGGCCGAATAAAGATTACAAAAATGGAAACTAAACTCTTGTTGATAAATTTAGTGTTACTAGTAGCATCATCTCTCATACATCCAGGAGTGTGCTCTCTTTCTTGCGGTTTTCCAGCGATTTTCAACTTCGGCGACTCAAATTCCGACACAGGCGGTCTCTCCGCCGCCTTCGGACAAGCCCCTTACCCAAATGGCCGAACTTTCTTCCACACCCCTTCTGGTCGTTTCTCTGATGGTCGGCTCATCATTGACTTCATAGGTTCTTACTTCTTCTTAGTACATACATTTATAAAATTTGTAGATGATAAAGTTCGATTCTTTTACTGATTTTTCTTTCTTTCTCTTCTTCTATTGTTGAAAAATCAGCGGAGGAGTTAGGGTTACCATACCTTAATGCTTTCTTGGACTCCATTGGTTCAAACTTCAGCCATGGTGCTAATTTCGCCACCGCTGGATCCACCGTCCGGCCACCGAACACCACCATTTCTCAGGGAGGTGCCAGTCCCATCTCTCTCGACGTTCAGTTGGTTCAATTCTCTGATTTCCTCACACGATCACAACTCTTTCGCAGTCGAGGTACTTTAAAGTTTCAACCTTTTTGATCCTACTCATATTTATAAGAACAGTGTTTGCCAAAAGTTTCAACCTTTTTGATCCTAATCATAGATACAAGAACTATGTTTGCCAAAAGTTTCAACATTTTGATCCTAATCATATACAAGAACAGTGTTTGCAAAAGTATCAGAACGTTATGTAATCTGATTTGGTTTACTAATAGGTGGAGTGTTTAAGCAACTACTTCCAAGAAAAGAGTACTTCTCTGAAGCTTTGTACACATTTGACATTGGTCAGAACGATCTCACTGCTGGATTAAAAGTCAACATGACTACAGATCAAATCAAGGCTTATATACCAGAAGTTCTTGATCAGTTATCCAATGCCATTCGTGTAAGCAAAGATAAAAGTATCTTTATTCACTTAGACACATTACTGTGGTTAACTGAAATAAAGAACCAACCGTGTTTGTAATTTCTGTAGAAGGTGTATAGTAAAGGAGGAAGAAGATTCTGGATACACAACACAGCTCCTCTTGGTTGTTTACCTTATGTTTTAGACCGCTTTCCAGTACCCGATTCTCAAATCGATAAGCACGGTTGTGCGATTCCGCGTAATGAGATTGCTCGGTTTTATAACTCTGAACTCAAAAAGAGAGTGATTGGGTTAAGAAAAGAGCTTTCTAAAGCTTCATTTACTTATGTTGATATCTACTCTATCAAGCTTACTCTCATCACTCAAGCCAAGAAACTCGGTATTTCGAACTATAACCTTTTCTTGATGTTTATACAAAAACAATTGGTGTGATTCGGGATAGGTTTTGGACCGGTGCTAATGGTTTGTTCTATGTTGAATTTGTTGATGCAGGTTTTAAATATCCTTTCATAGCTTGTTGTGGATATGGTGGGAAGTACAATTTCACCAATCTTATAAGATGTGGAGCTAAAGTTATGGTGAAAGGGAAAGAGGTTGTGCTTGCTAAGTCTTGCAACGACGTGTCGTTCAGAGTTAGCTGGGACGGCGTACATTTCACCGAAACGGCAAACAATTGGATCTTTAAGCAAATAAACAGCGGGGCGTTTTCGGATCCTCCTCTTCCCGTTAAGTTAGCCTGCACCAAGTAGAGAATACAGGGGAATCATATGACCGAAGTGCCCTTCAAGATGGGGACTAATAAAAGCTATTTATATTTGGAATATTTGTTTTTTTCTTTGGGGTCAAATTCTAGAAGAAAATTCGAATGAAAATGAAATTGCAACAACCTATCATATTTTATTTCCTAAAACAAAAAATCGTCTATAATCCTATAAATTCATCTATCTATGTCGACGGATATAAACATTTTTACAAATTCGAAATAATCTATCAAAAATACGATCTCATCTCTTAGATTACTTTAACACATATATATTTTTTTTAATGCTTTTAACTTTGAGTAAAGATATGAAAGATTTCTAAGAATATTATTATTGCTTCCCAATCCAATATACTAGAAAACAAAAATCAACCTAACTCAAGAAATTGTGTGACTCCTTTTGTTCTGAACCCATTTTTCTCTCTGTTACCAAATAAGTATTAACCATAATGCTAAAACACTAATTACACAAATAGACTTTAACTTACCAGTCTCCACAATAAACACACTTTTTTTCCAGTTTTTGTATCAACGACATATGCTTTCGTCGTCTCCACTTCACCTAAGACCCATATATATATATATATATATATTTTCATAAAGGGTAATCATGTCATTTCACTAAACCACGAATCACTCATTAATCAGAACGTGGAAGAAATCAAGAAGCGTGGACTACATACACCGTCGTCTACTCTGGCTGCTCCTTCCACGAGCCCTCTCATATGATAAGTCAACTCTTTCTTAGTACCGTGTCTCGCGTCACACCTGATTACACCTTCTCAACTATGTTTCCATCTTCTTTGAGGAAATATTTCGTTTTTTTTTCTCTTTTATTATTAAAATCGAAGAACCTATATATATATATAACATCATATCTCAGACCAATATATAAGTTTAAGGAAAAAATAAAAACTCTCAGACAAAGTTCATCGAATTTTTCGAAGACGACGACGACGAATTTTTTATATTCTCTTCTTTGGTAAATTTTTATTCTTTAATTTACATAAAACGTTTATCGTTTTGTTTTCCCTGAATCAAAGTCTTTGTTGCTTGATCATATTATTTTAAGTCTTTAATTCTCGTTTTAACGTGTGTCTTTCTGTTTTATATTTGGTAAGTGTTAACCTTTTCTTATATCTGATTCTAGAAATTATTGTCTTCTTTATATAAGTTTTCGTTTCCCAGAGATAAAGTTCATAACTTGGAGGTGATTACAAAGAAGAGTTCATAACTTGTAAATTTTTCTTTGTGTTTGATTACGGGTACGTAATTTATTACAATGAAAGCTCAAAGTTTTTTATATATATTGTTAATCTTTCTTGATCAAGACTTCAATTAGGTTCTTGAGGTTTTTTCTTATTTTTCGATTTCAAGAACCGAACTAGTATGTCTAAAAGTTTCATGTTTTATGTTTTTCTTTACTGTTCAAGCAAAATCACTAGTTGTTCTTAACTTTGTATCTTCATGAACTTTTGAAGTCAATATGAGAATTTGATCTGAATCCTTAAAACCTTTCTTTGATTATCTTTACATGATCATAAATATATTTTGAACATGATGCAGAGATATTGAAGTCTCGGAGAGTGTGTGATATTGTTTCTGGTCAACTTAACCAGTTATTTCAGAACATGGCTAACAGAGCAGACAACTCAATACGTTGGTTTGTGGCTTTAAACCAGATTATTTGAATCTTTGAGTTCATAGTTCATTAGCAAAAATTCATATTATCCTTTTCCTTTTTTTGCAGTTCAAATAGTAAGAAACCGAATGACGGTATGATGCTCATTATAGCGATTTTCGCAGGAATAGTTATCGGATTTTTATTAGGAATATCTTTCCCTACCTTGTCACTAACTAAGGTAAGCTTTTGCTTTTAGTTTCTTTCAAAAATGTGATTAGTAAAGATGTTTATTAGTCCCTCTTTTGGCAGATGAATTTTCCATCAAGCATACTTCCTTCTGTTGCTACTGTTTATATAGAAGATGAGAAACCGGAGAAGTCACCTATGAGGAGTCCAAAAAATGAGTATAATTCAAGTGGTGCAGCACATCATAAGGTATGTTTTTGTTTCTCTCTTGTGAACATGACTCATCTTGTGGATTAGTTTACAAGACTTGTTTTGATATTCTGCAGATTTGGGTTCCATCGAATCCTCGAGGTGCAGAGATGTTGCCACCAAGTTTTGTTGCAGCCGAATCAGATCTTTACTTACGAAGACTATGGGGATTGCCTAAAGATGTATAACACATCTCCTGGTTTTTGTTAAAGATCTTTCAAACATCTTAATCTTTTTGACTTGTCTCTGAATCTTGTTTGTTTTTTGGTTTAGGATTTACCAGTTGTGAAGCCTAAGTATCTTGTTGCTTTTACTGTTTCTTATGAACAGAGAAAAAACATTGATGCTTGCATCAAAAAAGTATGTCTCTCTCTCTCTCTTTTTTGTTCTGTTTCATCTTTCTTCTAATCTTTCAGCAAGACTATAAAAGCTAAGTAAGATTTTTTTACTATCTCAATAGTTCTCAGATAACTTCACTATTGTTCTGTTTCATTACGATGGCAAAACATCGGAATATGACGAATTTGAATGGTCTAAACGCGCCATACATGTGAGCGTACCTAAGCAAACCAAGTGGTAACAAACACTTCTCTTACCTACTTCTCCATTACCATTGATCTTGAGCTTTGAATAAACCTTTTGAATATGTTTTCAATGAAGGTGGTATGCTAAAAGGTTTCTGCATCCTGATATCATAGCTCCGTATGAATATATATTCATTTGGGATGAAGATCTTGGTGTTGAAAATTTTGACGCAGAAGAGTATGTACTCTGCTTCTTTTTATCTATCTCCAAGAATTTAAAATGTTAAGAATTTGTTTATTTACATCTTTGCAGATACATCAAGGTAGTAAAGAAACATGGTCTAGAAATATCGCAACCCGCTGTGGAATCAAGAAAACCAATTACATGGAAGATAACAAAGAGAATACCCGGAATTGAAGTTCATAAGTATAAACAATGAACTCTTAACTAAACTGTTATTACTAAGGTTTAAATTAAACATGAAGATAAATTACTTTTCCCCCCCAATTCTTTCATCAGAGAAGTGGAAGAGAAACCAGGCCGCTGCAAGAATCCTCACCTACCTCCTTGTGCAGGGTATGATCCTCATTTGTTAAAACCAATAGTTCATACCTAAAATAATCTAACTTTCTTGATCTCATAGGTTTCACACTGTTTGTTAATAGGTTTATAGAGATCATGGCTCCAGTTTTCTCAAGAGATTCATGGCGCTGCGTGTGGCACATGTTACAGAATGACTTGGTTCACGGTTGGGGTCTTGACTTCGCGCTAAGAAAATGTGTCGAGGTAAAAATACAAATACAATTTATCAGTCTGCATATACAAAATTTCACAAGACATTTAGTAAAAACTAAGAAAACAAAACATTGATTTCTTGATACAATAAAACAGCCTGCACATGAGAAGATTGGTGTTGTGGATTCTCAATGGATCATTCATCAAAAGATTCCTTCTTTAACCGGCCAGGTTATAAACTGATCAAACTTGATCCCTCTATACTCAAACTATATCAATTACTAGCTTCTTGGTTCATAATTTTGACTATGAGATGATCTCTTAATACATTGATCAGGGAATTGCACAAGAGGGGAAAACCGCGTTCCAAGGGGTAATATAATTCAAACCGCGACTATTTTCTTGCGTTCTCTAACTTGATAAAGATCTCGATTAATCGGGGTTTACACCAAGTCTGTTGTTAATTTCTAAATTATATACATGTTTTGGTCAGGTAAGAGAGAGATGTAAAAGGGAATGGACAATGTTTCAGAAACGATTGACACGGTCAGAGCAGAAGTATCTGAAAGAAATTGCATCTGCATCTTCAAACGCTACACTTACTTAAATCAAAAGAGTGGAGGAACTAATCAGATTAGAATGTTGATATGATGATTATGATTTTGATGAACACAAATCCAAATGTGTATACACACACACACACAATACATATTCGTTGCAAAGAACTACTTAGCTCTGTTCTAGAAACACTTTATAAGTCTTGAAACTGTTAATGAAGTTCTTTTCAAACTTTTCGTTTCTGTTAATAAATTTCAAACTTTTTAAAAACAGAGTGTTGATGCAAATCATAATAATTTCATATTAACCGAGTGTTACATCTACACCGTCGATTTCTTTACACATAAACAATTAATAGTCGTAGGATCTCTCCGGACCTCTATATATACCAAGAAGTGATCGATCATTATAGTTCATCGCTTTCTTCTCTTTGATTTATCTTTTCTAAATCTTCTTAAGTTTTCTAATCTTCTTATCATCATTCTTAGGGTTTTGCATCGATAATTATTGTTCGTCGCTTCTTCTCTTTGTAATCTTTTTATCATCTTTTTAGGGTTCTGCATCGATCATTATTGTTCACCGCTTCTTCTCTTTGTAATCTTTTTTATCATCTTTTTAGGGTTTTGCATGGATTTGCGATTGATCGGAGTGTTCGTCGAGGTAAGTTGTTACCATATATAAGATTTTGTTAGACTTTTTCCTTACATATCTTGTAGAATCGGATTAACTCTGTTTGTGTGTTTGGTCCGTATGAAGTCTAACTCTGTTTTTGTGTTCTTTGAGAGATCAATTCTCGTTGATCCAATCATCGACCCTCGTCGATACTAATTATCAACCCTAGTTGATACAATCATCGACCCTCGTCGATACTAATTATCAACCCTAGTTGATACATCGACCCTCGTCGATACTAATTATCAACCCTAGTTGATACATCGACCCTCGTCGATACTAATTATCAACCCTCGTCGATACTAATTATCAACCCTCGTTGATATTAATCATCAACTCTCGTTGATATGTATATATGTAATCAACCCTTGTTGATGTACATCAGAAGTCTTGAGAAGGAAGGATCTTGGTCAGATTGTTTTCATGTAAGTTTGGTTTTGAGATTGTTTTGTTTCTGTTTTGATAATCCTTTTGAATCTCCTTATCTAATTGATGATCTTTCTAGGGTTTGGCTTGTCTTGTGCTGCATCTGGCATGACCTTGATCCTGTCGAACGAGGTATATTGTTTTTGGCATCCACTCAGTCTTGCTTACATATCATGTTAGATTGTATAACAAGTCTGTGCTAACTCAATCTCTTTTAGGTATGTCGTAGGGACAGAACAACATCTGATCAATTCTCTTTGATCTTATTATCATCAACTCTCGTGTTGATCCTTATCATCTCTCGATGATCCCTTCACTCAACTCTCGTTGATTATATCATCTCTTGATGATCCCTTCAATCATCTCTTGATGATCCCTTCAATCAACTCTCGTTGATCATATCATCTCTTGATGATCCCTTCAATCAACTCTCGTTGATCATATCATCTATCGATGATTCCTTCAATCAACTCTTGTTGATCATATCATCTCTCGATGATTCCTTCAATCAACTCTTGATGATCCCTTCAATCATCTCTTGATGATCCCTTCAATCAACTCTCGTTGATCATATCATCTCTTGATGATCCCTTCAATCAACTCTCGTTGATCATATCATCTCTTGATGATCCCTTCAATCAACTCTCGTTGATCATATCATCTATCGATGATCCCTTCACTCAACTCTCGTTGATTATATCATCTCTCGATGATCCCTTCAATCATCTCTTGATGATCCCTTCAATCAACTCTCGTTGATCATATCAACTCTCGATGATTCCTTCAATCAACTCTTGTTGATCATATCATCTCTCGATGATGCTGCAATCAACTCTGGTTGATTTATCATATCATCTCTCGATGATTCTTCCAATCAAATCTGGTTGGTGTTATCATATCATCTATCGATGATCCTTCCAATCAACTCTGGTTGATGTCACATATCATCTCTCGATGACTCTCCAATCAACAACTCTGGTTGATGAAGAATGGAATGGTCTTTAGAAGCTGTCGTACAAAAGAGAGTAAGGAGGGGATATGTATATGACCTTTGCCATGACAGGTGCGCTTGCTTGGCAGGTCAAAAACTCCAGTATGCTTCCTGTATACAACAAACATGATCACTCATGGTTTTGTTTCAGAGTTTTTAACGAGTGTGTCTGTGTTTGTTTCGCTTGTACCATTATGAGTGTGTGTAATATATTGTGACAATATCTTAGTAAAATATCTCTCTCTTGTTCAGGTCTCTGTGTCTTTTCAAGTTATTAACAAAACCAATTCATTCTCGTTACTACCTTTTACTTCTTCTCGTTTCAGTTTTCTTTAGCATAAAGAGATCTCATCTTTATGCTTTGAACAGGTAGAAGATTTCTCAACAACTATGACTCACATTCCTTAAATCTTTGTTTATATTGTAAAGCATACAAGTGGAAGCTACTCATTATGCTAGGGATGAGTTGGCTTGTTTGCTTCAGATCTGTGCACCAAGGACCTTAGGTAGACGTGTGTTCTGCAGAAGTCACTTTTTTGGTTCTTGCTTTTGTAAATGTAATTTATATGTTGGTTCTTTAGTTAGACATACGTGGGTAACAGTGATCTAAAAAAATGTGACGTAAGGAGAAAACAGTGATTACGTTTTGTAATGTTCAATACAAACACAAAAATGGTTCGCTCGTTTGGATGGTTAGGGAAAAAGGGTGTCGTTTCATTAACTGCTCTTTGCCGTTTTGTGTTTGTTTTGTTCCTCAAGTCTGGCTTTTTCTTGGAAGGTTTCAATGGTATCAAGTTTCCCCAGAGAATGTTAGAGACGGACAAGAACTAAGACAACTTATCAGCTTTCTCTTAGACAATTACCGGCCAAAAGAAACCTGTACTTATCAGCATTGTCTAAAAGATACAATGGAAGATGAACAGCTGAGGTTATCTCTTTGAATGTTTACTCTTCAGGAAGCATATCAAAAAGATCCCCACCTTTGCAAATAACTCTCTGAATTCTCTTAGGATTCAAGAAATGACCAAACCTCACTCTATCATAATGACTATAAGCTTTCATCGCGAATGTAAAACTCGCTGATAAGTCTGAAACAAAAGCTGCAATGCCATCCTGAATTCGCCAAGATATCATCACATTGTTGGTAATGAGCATACCGTGTTTTACCCGTTTGATACACATATGCATAAAAGACAGTTCTTGTAGCTGTAGATGAAGGATTTGCGGAATCTCATCGCACCATCTCAAAAGATTCACAATGTGTCTCCTCGAAATCTCATCGACATGAGACATTATCAACAAATCATCATCACTCATCAGTAAGCTATCTTTGATAAGCTTCTTCGCAAAATGGGTTCTCTCCATTCTTAAACCTCCCACCAACCGAACCATAGCTCAACCTCGACTCAACGAATCCAGACTCACTTCTATGCTGCAAACACAAAAGGTTTTGACAAACCGGTAAAAGTCGAGTTTGATTCCATAATCACAAACTGAATATTGTAAGATACTCAACTATGTTTCCATCTCCAACGTATCTCAAGAAGGTCAAGCTCGTCACTAAACAACACCACGTCATAACCTGTCTAGGATACTCACAAACACCACATCCATGAAGCTTACACACAGTCTCCATCGAAGCATTCTCATGATTATAATGAGGAAGATCATCAAACGGCTTTGAGGGTGATTCTCATAGTGGTTGGAGAAAGTAAGAAATTTTCTGACCGTGAACATAACCAGCAAGCAACTAAGAAGAACACAAATGTCTTCATAACCACACCACAAAGACCACAACAAAGCCTAGAGATATACTGAAAAATCGGCCAGAGATCCAGCCAAAACCAAGATCATCATTAAGACATTAAGACGCTAAACTAAAAAACAACAAAGCACTAGGATAGTAACTTTGAACTTGTTTTTAACTCGAAATCTAACTTAGCATATCAAACTTTGAGTGAAAAAATGAAGCTTTCATATGAAGAATAAGCATCATTAGACCCTAAAACCCTAAACCAAATCACTGTGACAGAACATAAACTACGAATTTTTTCTTGAATCGAGCTTAGCACATCAAATTCGAGTGAAAAATTGAAGCTTTAATGAAGGGAAAACAAAGTTGAAGCAAAAGCAGATCGGAGATTCAAACGCCGCCGCAAATATCATCAGACTTTTTCCATCATCCACCAGATTTTGAAGTAAACCGATGGTTTAGCTCCAACTATAACCGGTAAATTTCAAGCTTTGAATCTCCGGTTATGTCGTAAACCGGTGCGTAACTCTATAAATCCTACGCAGATCGCCGTCAAAAGCCATTAAACGGATCCTACCACGAGTTTTACAAATGGAGCTGTTTTATTTTCTGACACGTGGTGACATTAACCATCTCCTTTAACTTATGGGCTATTTTCTAAAGTTGGGCTCGACCTACGAAAGGCCCATTTATACATTGCAGCTAGGGTATAAATATGGGAGTGGATATATTTTTTTTTTTTTTTTTTGAATGAATGTAAAAATATATTCAGTCCAAAAAAAGTCCTTTTTACATCAGATATGCATCCTTATTTTGAAAGGAATTAAACAACAACTAGCAATAAAAGGTTAAGGACGAGTGCTAAACCAAACTTGAAGGCCATCGACATATTTGTGAGAGTGTTGTTGCAAAGAAGAGAGTTTATTCCGGATGAGACGGTCGAGAAAAGTGATGAGCTGAGCAGATGAGCTAGGATGCTCACTATGCCTGCGACGATTCCGTTCGATCCATATCGTGTGAACAGTCGCTTGAAGAGCAAGCCGCAGAATGAAACAAACTGTTCCTTTAAAGGTTGAGTTGGACAGAACGAGCAGGATTTGCGGAAGCCTGGTTGTATAGTGTCGTTGTAGAAGCTTATCTGTTAGGGCTCGCCAGATGTGCGAAGAATAACTGCAAGCAAAAAACAAATGCTCAATTGTCTCCAATGGTGCCGCACAGAAGACACAAGCTGGATTAACTCCCCCTCTCCAAGTTAGCATGCGATATATTTCGACTTTTATTCAACTGTTACAACTTACAAATACATAAATCTATCTTTATAAAGGAATTATGGTGATGCTATTCAGAAATGAAACAATCCACGAGATCACATTTATTATATATTGACTTAAAAAAACCAAACATTACTGTATTTATTGAAATGAAACACTGTTTATCATACATTATTGAAAACAACATAATTAATATATAGGGACAATAATGGTGATTTGTGATGATGATGATTGATTGATTAAGCTTTGAGGATGTGGTCTTCCAAGTCAACAACCATGCTCTTGACGAACTTCATGTAGCTGCTTGGTTCGGGGGATTCATCGTTGTGCTTCTCCCATATCATAGTGATCTTGCAAACGCAATCATCTTCAGACTTGGGTATGAACTTGTAGTCGAATTCACACACCTTGAACTGCTCCATTATGTGACCTTCCAGTCCTATAACCTTCGTTGTCTTATTCTCATCATCCATCTCTCTCCTCTCCTTGAACACCTCTTCCTTTCCATCTTTATCACATATAATTCTATGTGAGTTAATGTTCTGTTTAAATAGTTTGTATGCGTTTGATTATTATATAGTATATAGTTTTGGGGTTCTTTCCAACAAACCTAATGTGTAGTTCCAAATCTTGATGCTTCCGTGAGAGTCCCATTCGCCGTCGTGGACAGTAACACCTTGGATGTGGTGGCCGACAACGTCAGGGAAGAGATGGTTCTCGTTCCTCCATATCTTGTAGTGTTTCTCCGCCGTTCCTTTTAATGGCACCTCCGTCACGTATGTTCCTGACGTCGCCATATCTCTCTCTCTCTCTCTTGTTGTTTGAAAGCTTACATTTGTTGTTGCATGCCTTGGTTTATATAGAGAATGTGACAGTAAAAACTTGGGTTACTATATATACATTTCTTCTTCATTTTTTAACCTACATTAGAGTGAGCATTAAATGATACATGTATCTTCTTTATTAGTGGTCTGAGCTGTGATGTTGTGTCATCACTTTAGCACTTATCGCCATAAGTAATATTGTTTGAAAAAAAAAAATTATTCGAATAGTGATTCACATTAATACGACCCGCGTGATGTTATAATAGTTGGAAACTTTAGCAGGATTATTGGATCATTGATTTTGATGGATTTGAAAATCTAAACAAAAATTATATGTTATTCAATCATTGATTTTAAAATAACTATCAAAATCATGTGTATTGGTTGTATGATTTATAAATACTAGTTAAAATCATATATATATTATTCGTTTAGTTATTTGTTTTTAAATTTTAAAATTTGTAGTATGTTTTAAATGGATTTGATAGTGTAAAATAGAAAGATTCAAATCCAAGGATAAAACATATTATTTCCAAAACCATGTATTTTGATTTCATAAATAATAAGGATTCACAGATTTTGTGTGGATTTATATATCAATAAACCAATAACATTAGAATCCAAATTCAAGTTCAATCCAAATTAATATTTTTAATAATTCAAAGATTGAGCTTGTTTAAAGAAATCTAGTAATCTAACTTTTATAGTTTTATAATTTGACCGTCATAATATATAATATAAAGTAATCAAATGCTAATACAAATGTATTGTAAGGATTGGTGCAGTGGTGCTAATACAACTGTCATGTTATAATCCATATTCAAATTTGACAGCGTACGAGTTACATGAAAAATGAATCCTAAAACCTATAAAATAAATCCTAAACCCAAAATACTAAATCTAAACCAAAAAACTTTAAATTATAAACTATTAAAATTTATGTTAAACTTTTATTGTATATTTAGACTACAAGATTTGTGATAGTATTTTTCTTCTTCTTTTTTTTTTTAAATGATGGTACGCGTAGTATATTGGTATTGCTCTATTTAAAAATGACTTTGACATCTACACCTGTTAATATAATTGTCATTCAATAACTTATATAATATATATTAACTAGTACCAATATCTAGAAATGAAACAGTACTACATTTATCATACATTATTGAAAACAACATAATTAATATATATAGGGATGATATATGGGTGATCGTGATGATGATGACGACGACGATTAAGATCACTGATTAAGCTTTGAGGACGTGTTCTTCCATGTCAACAAGTATACTCTTGAGGACTTTCATGTAGCCACTTGGTTCAGGGGATTCATCGTTGAGTTTCTCCCACCTCATAGTGATCTTGCAGACGCAATCATCTTCAGACTTGGGTATAAACTGGAAGTCGAATTCATACAACTTGAGCTGCTCCATTATGTGACCTTCCAATCCTATAAACTTCAATGTCTTATTCTCATCATCTATCTCTCTCCTCTCCTTGACTAACTCTTCCTTTCCATCTTTACATACATGTGTGATGTGTATGTGTTCATCAGTTTAAGTTAAATTCGGATCATATTCATGTGTAATGATATAACTGAATGTGCAACATGCCACTAGCTAGTAAAACTTCTCACAAGGATATGCATGTTATGACGTTTTAAATAGTCACATAGAGTAATAAAAACAAACGAGGCATACCTAAAGTGTAGTTCCAAATCTTGATGCTTCCGTGAGAGTCCCATTCGCCTTCGTGAACAGTAACACCTTGGATGTGGTGGCCGACAACGTCAGGGAAGAGATGGTTATCGTTCCTCCACATCTTGTAGTGTTTCTCCGCCGTTCCTTTTAACGGCACCTCCGTCACATATGTTCCCGACGTCGCCATCTCTCTCTTTGTTTAATTAATAGCTTCCACTTGTGTTTTGTTTTGGTTGATGAAATAACACTCGCTTCACTTATATAGAGAACGTGACTGTACAAAACACATGGTTTCTACTTTCTACGCTTCTTTCAATCATTTGATAGTACATACTAGAAGTCTTATCTTCTTTATTTTTCAACCTATACCATTTAGTAATCATTAATATTGGGGGTCATGCATACCAAATAGAACCTTGTGCAGTTCGTTTACCCCTTCATAATTAACGCTTGGGGACAAGTGTTTTGTTCCAAAACAGTGCCTCTCTCTTTCTCCTCCACAAAATCATGACGTTGTTGTCACATTACTGCATTAAAACATGGGGCTCATAGAAGAAACTAATCCCGGACCACGTTACTAAAGTTGGTAGTTGGCCCTTTGATGCAGCGCATGCATCGATACAGGGGCGGACCCAGAAAAAAAATTAAATGGGTGCAAAAAGTAGCAGATGAAACTTGAACTCATGACCTCAAACACTACATGGGGGCACTTTAACCAGACACTCATAACTTTAATTTTAATATAAAGTTTTTAGTTTTTAACAGGTTGGTGGGTGCAACTGCCCCCACTTTCTTCTATGTGGGTCCGCCCCTGCATCGATACACAACTCGACCACTGTTTTTAGTCTAAACGCATGCATGGGCTCTGTTTTTAATTTTAGGGTTTTATTTATTTACTTGGTCTTTAAGCTTCTTGTTTTGGTTTTCCATTTCTCTTATTTCTTAGGGTTAATATTTACTCTTTTGTTATTTATCACTTGAGCTTCTCATCTCTCTTTGACTATCGGTTATTCAAGGAACTCAATGAACAAAAGGTTTATCTTGTGCATTGTTAGGTTTTGCCATCCTTTATCCTTTAAATTATGCCCACAATACTAGCTACACCAATTTATCTTCTAAAGAATAAATGAAGGCACAGCCTAACCACAAGTGATATGAAATGTCCAACGTTTATGGCCGAAAGAAAAATTAGCTACACAAATCTGAATCTTCCTCGGAAAATCAATGGTGTCAAGTTGCTTCAAGATAATGTGTTGAGATGGTCAAGAATGTTATACTCATCAGCCTATCTACATTCTCCAAATTCAAACTTGATAGCATACAAACTGTACACAAGTGATATGATAAAATGTGTGTTTTCAAATGAGTATTTTAAATAATTTAAAGATTGAGCTTGTTTGAAGAAATTTTAATTTATTATTACATATCCATTGATATACACTACTGTTATTACATATCCATTGATATACACTACTATTATTACATATCCATTGATATACACTACTATTATTACATATCCATTGATATCATATACACTATGATATCACATTGATATGATATACACTATCATAAAATTTGGAGCATAGTTAACGTTTCTCTGAAATCTATATATCTTGTAATTTTTTTCATTTTTAAAAAATCTTAATATAGAAAATTATTTTATTTCTAAAAAAATGATGAATTTCTAATCTCAATTATAGTTTCATATTTTCTACTCTATGTGAGTTATTAATATTAAAATTACAAATTTTGAAACAACATCAATTAGTAAACTGGATATTTTGCTCAAAGTTGGAATACAAACAAATTTAGTGAGACTAATAATGATGGATATTTTCTTATAAAAAATTATTTAAACTTCATAGATTTTAGAAATGTACAACCTTACAAATTTTATTATTAAATGTTTCATATCTTTTCCTTTATACAAAAATCTTAGAATACAAAAAACTATTTCCCATAATAAATTTTGAAAAATGTTCTTTGAATTCTGAATATCCTGTTTTTTACTTTTTATCTTAATGTAGAAAATTATTATAATTATAAAAATTTTAAATAATAAAATCTCTAAGCGCGATTGGTTGTTTAAAATCAAACATATGCTACACATTTTAAAATATTTCCGTTGATGAATTTAATTAGATTTGAAAAAAAAATATTTTGATTATGTTTGTATCAAATATTTTAATAACAAAATTTTATATTTAAAATAGTTCCTATATTTTAAAATATTTGTTTTATTTTCCATATATCATGGTTTATTTTCCTTTTTACATAATTTTAGATATGGAAAATAATTGTTATTTAAAATTTGTTAAAAATAATGAGATGTCTAATCCCGATTGGTCGTTTGAAATCCTATGTGGACGCTCTCAAAAGTTTATAGGCTCAACTTTTATAAAGTACTAGTTTAGTACCCGTCCGATGGACGGATTATCTTTATTTAAAATTAAAATTTATTATAATTTATAAAAATAATTTATAATATTGCTAAAAAAATTTAAAAAATCTTAATTTAGCAATTATCCTCTAAAACATAATTATACCATTTTTAAAAAATTGTTCTTTCTTAACTTTCAATTTAAAAAAAAATCATTCTTGGACTATGAAAATTAATTAATTATTTTTTAATATGATGGTAAAGTTCTTTCAAATTAACATCAATCTAAAATAAGATGTTAAATACAAATATAGTCATTTGTAAACAAGTTCATATAAACAACGCAAATAAACATAAAGATTCTAAAATAAATTATAGCATCGTTGAGGAAAACATTAAAAATCTTTCAAATACGAATTTTAAAAAACTAAATATTTTTTTTAAAAATATTTTAAAATTATTATATTACGAATAATATTGAACTTTTGTTATCTTTAATTAAAGCTAAAAATGTTATTTTCGAAAATCTTTTATTCACCCCTATGTTTTAGACAATGAAATTGCTCAATGGCATAATACATTCATACATAAATTAAAAATTAAACAAATATAACATATTATAAAATAAAAATCATAAATAAAAATATTTATTTAGTTAAACTCAAAATCTATTTTATTTGTAAAATGTAGATCCTAATTCTCCTTGATGAACCCAAAATGATAAATACTTTGTTTAATTGTAAAACCTAAACTTCACTCCTCTTTATAAACCCAAACCAATAAATAATCTCGTTTAACTATAAAATCTAAACTATAATGTGCATTTATAAACTCAAACAGCCATATAACCCTTATAACTGTAAAACCTACAACTGGCAAAACAAAAAATTAGGTTAATAACTGAAAGAGATTTTTTGAGAAATACCCTTTTAGGTGTACCCCTTTTTAAAAATAGACCAAGTTTCTATCCATTTTTGAAAATATCCTTTTTGGTGTACCTCTTTTTAAAAATACACCAAGTTTCTATCATTTATAAAAAAATACCCCTTTTCAAATATGAAAAAATTGTAAACTTTTATATAGTTTATAAGGTACATCTAGATCACTACTGGGAGACTCAATACAAATATTTATAAAATTTTAAAATGTTCTAAACGGAATTTATAAGACTTTTATAAGGTTTTTATAAGGTTTACAAAGTTTTTATATGGTTTTTAAATAATTTTTGAATAGTTTTTAAAAGGTATTTATACGGTATTTATGAAATATAGATATAAATTTACACACATATAAAGATAATTTGTGTCTATATATATAAGCTTACACATATTTTTGTTTACAAATATCATTTTTTTTTACTTTTTAATTTATCAAAAATACCCCTTTTCCAATACCACTTTTTAAAAAATACCCATATTTCAAAATTTATCAAAAACCACTAAAAATATTGAAATTTATCCAAATATGTGTGTAAACTTATAAATATACACACAAATTACCTTTATATATGTATAAATTTCATATAATTTTCATAAATAGCATAAAATAACTTGTAAATACCTTTTAAATTTTTTTTAAAAACCTTATAAACCCTTTTAAAAACCATTTATAAACCTTATAAAACTTGTAAAAACGATTTAAAACCTTTTAGAACATTATAAAATATTTGTATCCAATTTCCTAGTAGTAGTTATTATATAAAAGTATCTTATAAACCATATAAAACTTTATAATTTTTCATATTTAAACAGAAATATTTTTGAAAGTGGATAGATAAATGGGGTATTTTTGAAAAGGGGTACACCAAAAGGGGTATTTCTCAAAAAAATCTCTTTCTTTTTATAATTATTTTATATATTTTGATTTTTAATGTTGTTTAGAAATTCTAATTTACAAAGTAAACCATGATTCTCATTTATCATTTATATGCCCAAACCAACAAATAACCTGTTTTAATTGTAAAATTAAAGTTTAAACCTTAATCCTCTTATGTAAACAAAAACCGACATATATTCTTGTTAACTATAAATTTTAAATCTCTATCTTATTAATACACCAAATTGAAATAACAGGTATTTATACGGTAATTATGAAATATAGATATAAATTTACACACATATAAAGATAATTTGTGTCTATATATATAAGCTTACACATATTTTTATTTACAAATATCATTTTTTTTACTTTTTAATTTATCAAAAATACCATTTTTCCAATACCACTTTTTAAAAAATACCCATATTTCAAAATTTATCAAAAAATCACTAAAAATATTGAAATTTATCCAAATATGTGTGTAAACTTATAAATATACACACAAATTACCTTTATATATGTATAAATTTTCATATAATTTTCATAAATAGCATAAAATAACTTGTAAATACCTTTAAAAAAAATTAAAAACCTTATAAACCCTTTTAAAAACCATTTATAAACCTTATAAAACTTGTAAAAACGATTTAAAACCTTTTAGAACATTATAAAATATTTGTATCCAATTTCCTAGTAGTAGTTATTATATAAAAGTATCTTATAAACCATATAAAACTTTATAATCTTTTATATTTAAACAGAAATATTTTTGAAAATGGATAGATAAATGGGGTATTTTTGAAAAGGGGTACACAAAAAGGGGTATTTCTCAAAAAAATCTCTTTCTTTTTATAATTATTTCATATATTTTGATTTTTAATGTTGTTTAGAAATTCTAATTTACAAAGATAAACCATGATTCTCATTTTTCATTTATATACCCAAACCAACAAATAACCTGTTTTAATTGTAAAATTAAAGTTTAAACCTTAATCCTCTTATGTAAACAAAAACCGACATATATTCTTGTTAATTATAAATTTTAAATCTCTATCTTATTAATACACCAAATTGACATAACTGAAATTAGGTTATTTGTTGAATTTTATTAATATATTTTTAATATATAATTTTTTATATATTTTCTTTTTCGATAGGGTTAATAATTTTTTATTTTATCTAAATATTAACAATATTAGAATCGACACGTGTCAACATCTTATCGTTTATAATTGATACATGTCACGATCTTGTTAATGGATGACTTTGAAAACCAAGGTTTATATAATAAGATAGATGATTTGACCGTCATAATATATAATATAAAGTAATCAAATGGTAATACAAATGTATTGTAAGGATTGATGCTATAATATAAAAAGATTGATGCTAATACAACTGTCATGTTATAATTAATCCATATTCAAATTTGACAGCGTACGAGTTACATGATAAATGAATCCTAAAACCTAGAAAATAAATCTTAAACCAAAAATACTAAATCTAAACCAAAAAGTTCAAATTATAAACTATTAAAATTTTTGTTAAACTTTTATTGTATATTTAGACTACAAGATTTGTAGTAATATTTTTCTTCTTCTTTTTTTTTTTTTAATGATGGTACGCGTAGTATATTGGTATTTGTCTATTTAAAAATGACTTTGACATCTACACCTGTTTATATAATTGTTAATATATATTGAAGTGAAAGCCAAACAGTACTACATTTATCATACATTATTGAAAACAACATAATTAATATATATAGGGATGGTATATGGGTGATTGTGATGATGATGATGATGACGACGATTATGATCACTGATTAAGCTTTGAGGACGTGTTCTTCCATGTCAACAGCTATGCTCTTGAGGAGTTTCATGTAGCCACTTGGTTCAGGGGATTCATCGTTGTGCTTCTCCCACCTCATAGTGATCTTGCAGACGCAATCATCTTCAGACTTGGGTATGAACTGGAAGTCGAATTCATACAGTTTTAACTGCTCCATTATGTGACCTTCCAATCCTATAAACTTCAATGTCTTATTCTCATCATCTATCTCTCTCCTCTCCTTGAACAACTCTTCCTTTCCATCTTTTATTACATACATGTGTATGTGTTCATCAGTTAAGTTGAATTTGGGTCATATTCATGTAATATAATTTGCAACATGCCACTAGTAAAACTTCTCACAAGGATATGCATGTTATGACGTTTTAAATAGTCACATAGAGTAATAAAAACAAATGAGGTATACCTAAAGTGTAGTTCCAAATCTTGATGCTTCCGTGAGAGTCCCATTCGCCTTCGTGGACAGTAACACCTTGGATGTGGTGGCCGACAACGTCAGGGAAGAGATGGTTCTCGTTCCTCCACATCTTGTAGTGTTTCTCCGCCGTTTCTTTTAACGGCACCTCCGTTACGTATGTTCCCGACGTCGCCATATCTCTCTTTGTTTAATAGCTTCCACTTGTGTTTTGTTTTGGTTGATGAAATAACACTCGCTTCACCTTGGGTTATATAGAGAACGTGACTGTACAAAACACATATGGTTTCTACTTTCTACGCTTCTTTCAATCATTTGTTTGATAGTACATACTAGAAGTCTTATCTTCTTTATTTTTCAACCTATACCATTTAGTGAGCATTAATATTGGGGGTCATACCAAATAGAACCATGTGCAGTACGTTTAGCCCTTAATAGTTAACGCTTGGGGACAAGTGTTTTGTACCAAAACAGAGCCTCTCTCTTTTCCTCCACAAAATCATGACGTTATTGTCACATTGCTGCATTAAAAGATGGGGCTCATAGAAGTGAATTTTACTTTATTTGGTAAAACTTCACAATCAATAAGATTTGTCTAAGAGCTCATGCATTAAGGATGGTCTAATCCCGGACCACGTTATTAAAATTGGTAGTTGGCCCTTTGATGCAGCGCATGCGTCGATACACAACTCGACCACTGTTTTTAGTCTAAACGCATGCATGGGCTCTGTTTTTAATTTTAGGGTTTTATTTATTTACTTGGGATTTAAGCTTCTTGTTTTGGTTTTCCATTTCTCTTATTTCTTAGGGTTAATATTTACTCTTTTGTTATTTATCACTTGAGCTTCTCATCTCTCTTTGACTATCGGTTATTCAAGGAACTCAATGAACAAAAGGTTTATCTTGTGCATTGTTAGGTTTTGCCATCCTTTATATTATGCCCACAATACTAGCTACACCAATTTATCTTCTAAAAGAATAAAGGAAGGCATATGAAATGTCCAACGTTTCTGGCCGAAAAATAAATTAGCTACACAAATCTGAATCTTCCTCGGAAAGAAATCAATGGTGTCAAGTTGCTTCAAGATAATGTGTTGAGATGGTCAGGAATGTTATAAAACAACTCATCTGCCTATCTACATTCTCCAAATTCAAACTTGATAGCATACAACTGTACACAAGTGACATGAAAAATGTGTTTTTTTTTTTTAATAATCAAAGAGGTTATGGGCCAAATCCCATACATCCTCTCAGACCCGAAACTAAAACATGTTATATGGTTTAGTCCCAAGCGCTAAAAAGTTATCCGGAATTAAAATTCGGGGGATAAAAAAAATTAATTTGTATTTTCAAATGAGTATTTTAAATAATTTAAAGATTGAGCTTGTTTGAAGAAATTTTAATTTATTATTACATATCCATAGTCACTTATATTAAATATTTTTCTAAAAAGAGAAAAATAAAAGATAATTAATATGATTGGTCGTGATCTAATTCCTAGCATGGCCATGCATTAACTGTATTACAATGGGAGTAAATTCTAGTGTAACAAATACCATAGATATATTTATGGTTCATAATATTTCAGCTTTCTTTAATTGTTAACCTTTCAAACATCTTGAAACCCTAAAAAAATTCTTGAAGTACTGTATCATATTCAGAAGGTCAATTCTCAAAAATACAACTATATTATATAATGAGATTTTACCTTTTTCAAAATTATCATCATTAGTTTTTTTCCTCAAAAATACTACTGAAAATATATATTTTTTCTGGAAATACCACAAAACTAAATCTAAACACTAAACCTTCAAAACTATATCATAAAACCTAGAAAATAAACACCGAACCCAAAATACTAAATTTAAATAAACTATCATATTTTATTTTTACTAAAACGTTTGTAGTAGTAATTTTTTTTTTTTTTAACGATGGTATGTTTGGAAGGAAAACATAGTATATTGGTATTTTTATGGTATTTCACGATGAAAACCAAACAATACTGTATTCAGAAATTAAGCATCACATTTATCATACATTATTGAAAACAACATTATTAATATATTGGGATGATGAATTGATGATGATGACGACAATGCAATGATGATGCTTGATTAAGCTTTGAGAACGTGGTCTTCCATGTCAACAACCATGCTCTTGAGGAATTTCATGTAGCCACTTGGTTCAGGGGATTCATCGTTGTGCTTCTCCCACCTCATAGAGATCTTGCAGACGCAATCATCTTCAGACTTGGGTATAAACTGGATGTCGAATTCATACACCTTGAACTGCTCCATTAGGTGACCTTCCAGTCCTATAACCTTCATTGTCTTATTCTCATCATCCATCTCTCTCCTCTCCTTCAATACCTCTTCCTTTCCATCTTTAACATATGTTTTCATCAGTTAAATTAAACTAGGTTCATATTCATGTGTAATGATGTAATGAAGTTTCGAACATGCCACTAGTCAAACTTCTTACATGGATGAAAATATATGTATATTATGTTATTACGGTATAAAAAGTCTGTATTATCATCATATAGTAATAAGAAAAACAGGTATACCTAAGGTGTAGTTCCAAATCTTGATGCTTCCGTGAGAGTCCCATTCGCCGTCGTGAACAGTAACACCTTGGACGTGGTGGCCGATAGCGTCAGGGAAGAGATGGTTCTCGTTCCTATACTTCTTGTAGTGTTTCTCCGCCGTTCCTTTCAATGGTATCTCTGTCACGTATGTTCCCGACGTCGCCATCTCTATCTCTCTCTCTCTTTGTTTGAAAGCTTCCACTTGTGTTTTGTTTTGGTTGATGATGAAATAACACTTGTTGCGCCTTGGTTTATATAGAGAACGTGACTTTTAAACACATGGTTTCTAACGTTTCTTTCAATCATTTATTTGATAGTGCATGCTAGAAGCCTTCTCTTCTTCATTTTTCAACCTCTACACGTTGTGAACATTAATATTGGGGGTCATACGTTTATCCCTTAACGCTTCGGGGACAAGTGTTCGACTCGTATTTGGTACCAAAACAGTGCACCTCTCTCTGTCTATTTCTCCTCCACAAAAACATGATGTGACAATGTAAGTGAATTTTCTTTATTTGGTAAACTAATCCCGGGCCATCTTATTAAAGTGGGTAATTGGTAAAAAATAATTTTTTTTTTTTGTTTTAGGCTTTCTTTATTACTTGCGCTTTTAAGCTTCGGTTCACATTTATTCTTTTGTTATTGAAGGCGTCTCTTACCAGTCTTATGCTTGTGAGAAACGTTCACCTAGAGCTAAGATTCGTATCTCTTTTTCATTATTATCGGTTATTCGAATCTACGATTCTCAAGCTTGGTTTTGTTCCGTCATTCAAGTGAATCAACGAGCTAAAAACATCCTTCTTGTTCGGCTAATTAAGGAACTCAATGAACAAATGGTTTATCTTGTGGTCTGTGCCATCATTTGTGGTCTGTGCCATCATTTATCTTTTAGAAGATAAATTCTCCCCTAAACACTAACTACTACAATTTATCTTATAACGGATAAAGGATGGCAATTTGAAAGGTCTTGCCTATATCTCCTTTCCAAATTTGCAATTGATCCCAAGATTCTTGTAAACTTTTGAATATGCATCCTAAGTTTATATATGGGCTTATTCCTAGAATTAGGTTTGAATTAAATAAGGCCCATTAATAGAATTATTATATTGTTGTACTTGTCATGTGCTTTGGTAACTAATATAACTAAGGAGACTGGTTTTGTTGTAAAGAGGACCAATAACTTTACTGGTTTGTTGTACTTGTCATGTGCTTTGGTAACTAATATAATTAAGGAGACTGGTTTTGTTGTAAAGAGGACCAATCAACTTAAATGGTAAGATCTAAGGATTTAGATTTGATTGCTTAAATAAAAGTTTACAAGATGTTGTCTATTAGAGTATTAGTCCTATTAAAAGAAATTATAATCCTAAATTCGAACCTTCTTGTCGTTACTAACCTTACTTATATTACTTATAACATTTATAGAAGATGATGTCAAGACCCATAGAATATATATAGTTACATGTATTATCAAGGACCCTTTTCGTTTCTATATATATACTATGGTTGATGATTCAGAACGTTTATGTGGCAAGAGTATGCAACATTGACTATTACAATGGTCGACAATGAATTAGATTTTTAGGTCGTCCAATAAATTCAAAAAAATTAATGGATATGAAGGTCGTCCAATAATTACTAAAATATCTTGTTGAAATATGTGATATTCATCATTATTTCAATCAATGTGAAAAGATCATATCTAGATTTTAGAACAATTCGTAATTGGGGTCAGGATGATGCATCGAGTTACACATCAAATACATGAGCTATTGGCATGGACGCATGAGCTGGCATGGCAAATCTATTAGTGGATGATGATATTAATAGACATTCCGACTTGGCAAGGAAATACATAAAAGGTAAAGAGTTTAGTTGCATGTAAAGATCAAGAAATATCTCGCAAGAGTAAGAATTTTCGAATTAATATAAATACTGTAGGTTTGCTTACAAGCCGCACAACCACTCTAGAATATTGGTTTAAAGTTGTATACCGCGTAACTAAGGTAATTTACACTTTAAATATAATATTATCGATATTTTGTCTGTAGCCGATCAAGATTTTAAAGAAGTTTTTATAAACTACTGTAAAAATTATTCACAAATCCTAAAAGCTTTTCGAAAATCTTGAGAAAAAGACTCTCAAACCCTATCCGGATATTCTAAAAATCAACGGATATCTATTCCTATCCCTAGAAACTTCCGCTTCAACAATATGGATTAAAAGTTCAGCAAATACCCAGAATTTATTTTTAAAAAATGGCGGCATGATCACTAACGTCTGAAAGGTATATATAGCAAGAAACAATTACAACTCATCCCAAAATCTAGCACAAAAAAAAAAAAAAAAATTGAAGCGTAAGAAATATTGACATATATATGGCTCACTGAAAACAAAAATAATGAAATATTTATTACTTTGTATACATAGATACAACCATCATGAACGATAAGTACAAATGGGAGACAAAGTGGGACTTTTTGTAAACCTACGTTAAATGAATATGAATGTTGAAAAACAAAATTCAGATTTTTATAGATATGAATTGTTGCTTTCAATGTCCCCTTAACCAACTCATCCTGTATACATTTTTCTTGTACATTTTTTTTTAACTACGGATTTTGCACAACCCTACTTCATATCACCGATGATGTATTGTACCAACAGTCTCGAAAATTATTAATGGGTTCAAAATGTAAGATATGAGTGTATGGGGCCTTATATATACTGTACATTCGAGACACATATTGAGGAGAACGACTGATTCGAGAGGACCAATTAAAGTTGTATAATCTGTACGTTGCCAACAACTTGTTAACATGGAAACATGAGAATCACATATTTCAATCGGATACGTTATTGTAAATTTATGAAATAGATATGTTAAGAAGTATTGTGTCTATATATGTGTAAGAAATAAAAAATTATATCCCAACTAAAAATTTATACAGTTTGCAACTTGAGAAAGGGGAAAATGATAGAAAGTGAAATAAGAGTATACAAAAAAATAGAAAATTGGGACCAAAATTAATTGAAACGAAGACAAAGTGTGTTTTGTGGTGTGTGATGGTATATGGTCCCATTGGGATGGATGATACCTCTATTGTAGACATACCTTAGACAAAAACCATTATGGTAATTTATCCTCATTTATCAATAAGACCAAACATAAATCTTGTTTCTTCCAAAACCCTAACTGTGGAGACAATGAACGCTATTTTTCAACTATATGTTGTATTTTAGTTGCACATACGTACAACAGACGTTACAGATTTTATATTCAAAGATTGATGATTTAGAAACACTACTTGTTCCATTTAAAACTTCCCCCACATCACACATAAGAATCTAATCAAATTTTACTATTTGTTACTATAATGATTTGACTGCAGATGATCTTTTATTGTTTTTATGTGGTTTAAACCCTATAACCCAAGAGTTGTGTAGCCAAATTGTGTGTTAAATCAATTTTGTGATCAATATTGTTGCAAAACGCTTGGATATAATTGGTTATAGTACTATAGTCTTGAATTGAAGATAAGACAATGAATAAGAACGAAATGACAAAAACAGAATCCTAAGGTCATTACGGCTCTGGGGAGCATGAAAGGGAAACCATATTGAAAAATCCCAACCAATTAGCTTTCTTAAACCAAAAGTAAACACACTTGAGAGTGACTTATACCTGACTATTATCATTCTTTTTTTTCTTTAGATTGTTGTTTTCATTTATTTTAGTTGTCTATAGCAAATTCATAAAGTTCGAATGGCTGAGGCGGAAAAAATCTACATGTAAATTGTACTGATTTTATTTTGATTATTCATAAATTATAGTTAGTATTAGTGCGAACAAAAAGAATAAAACATATACAGTATTGTGGACCAACAATAAACCGTTTTACATGTAAATAAATTTTGTTCAGGAAAATTGTTGTGCGTCTTAAAAATAGAGTTCACTAAACCGCTGATAAATCGAAATTAGTCTATTTTACTCACCATATCCATTTAAAACCATAAATCTTTTCATTTTATCAGAAGTTCATGAACAAAACATTCAAATTGTTTTTAATCTCTGTCTTAAAATGGATATTGCGGATAAAGTGGACTAAATTGTTAACAGATTTATTTGTCTGTATAAACGTTTTATAGTTGGTCTGAAGCAAAATTTGTCTATTTTATTTGGTATGCATTTCATACTATAATTTATGAGCTATTTAATCCACAAACATATTTGTCGATTCCAACCACCACAGCCATTTTTATCTGCTATTGTGTGTGGATTTGTTTTGGTATATAACATGTACACTATATAATATTAATATTAGCTTTGAGTTTACTAGTTTCAGCTCACACCACTTTTGTATATTATTCTTCATCATTCCAATCTTGTTTTATTAAAGTAGTATCATCTCTTATCTCAAAATTTTAAGATAAATTAATACTTGATATAGTAATAATTTGGACGTTGGAGTACAAAAGTGTTTGGATTTTTATATTAATAAACCCAAAAAAAAAAAATCAAGCGGCGTCGAATTTGCAATGATCAGAAGACGATGGACAATTCACATGGGCGTTTTTACCTTTTGTAGTCACGAAAATACAATCTATATAAGATTTGTTCCAATTATTGGTTTTATTGTCTCTCTTTTTTATTTTTTCTTCTTTAGATTGAAAATGCAAGAAGGAATAATTTGACTCAAAAACAGTGCTTAAAATGTAGGTTGATCTTGATAACCCATTATTTGTCTAACTTTCGTAGAATTATAAATGCACTTGAATTTATTGTCTTTTGACTAGGATATCTAAATGAGTGATAATACTATGTAATCGTTACTGTGATGCCACATGTGTTCAAAAGATTATAATTCATATCGTCGACGAAAAAATGTTTGTTAGGTAGCACGCACTATTTTTTTGTATTTAAGTATTATATAATGTTTTACATAATTCATCAATTATATTTGAGGTTTTCTGCATTAAATCTTGTAAATCGTTATTTTTTACAATTATTCTTTATGCAAATTAATCTTGCAAAATTCAACGAAATCACAATACAATTAATATGAATTCATTATCTTCAGGTTAGCAAAATTTTGATGACTATATATCAAATCAAAGTTCTCTCGATGATTTGTTAAAATTTATCTTTTTAAATGAATATATGCAACCGTAAAAATAGTTAGAAAATACGTAAAAAGATCAAATTGTGTATTATTTTTGACTTAATTTAAGTAATTTTTATAGCATACTATTTTTATTTAATATAATTTATTTATTTATTTTGGAAATGGATAATAGAGTTATAAAAATTGGTGACTTATAAAAGTTATTTGCATTAAAAAATCCTTGTATTTAAAGATTTAAATTCGAAGATATGCTATATATGTAAGAGTTATTGATTAACATAATATACTTCACTTTTACAGTAGTCTTTTTACAAAAGAGAAGTTTTCTAAATTGAATTTCCAGGAATAGGTGTTATCTATATATACCACATGTAATGCTTTGACATCCAATACAAATGATAAAGGGCTTTTTAGTTTGCACAAGAAAAAAAGTTTGATTAAATAACATATCATACTTTTCAATGTATTCATCATTTGAGGAACAATCATCAGCTTTAAGCTTATTAATATCCCGAGTTCGTACGAATGCCTATGACGACGAGAAAAGAGAGTTATAGTATTAAGAAAAAAAAATTGGTTTTATTAGATGGGGTCTCCTATACATAACTTTTTAATATTAGATTCTATAAAAAGAGAAATTCAAAACCTATAAGATTCATAATATTAGTAGAAAATAACAAATAATTCCATGATATTAAAGGAAAAAGTTTGAGGTAATCATGCTAAATGCTGATTTATACAGATGGTAAAGGAATGGGTGGCAAATAGATTATAGAAGTAGTAAAATGATGAAATAATTAAAGAAGGTGTCTTTCAAAACTTTAAAAGAATAATTAAGGCAGATTTTTTTGCTATCTGTAGTGTTTTGGTGTCGTCGGATGTGATTAGGTTTTTGTTTCTCTCTTCGATTTTTCGACATTTTATGCTAATAATGTATCTTTATTTTTTCTCTTAAAATTTTCAAAAATCATAGAATAAGTGTATTTTATTTACAAAATTACAAAAGAAAATTACTAAAATACTGAAAACTAGATTATGGATGGTTAGGTACTGATTTGGTTTCCAAACCCAACTAAACTTGAAAAATGCTCTTCATAAATCTAAGTACATGTCTAAATAAATCATACAACTTATGAAATTATTTTATTATTAATCAACCCTTATTTAACTTTTTCTTTATGCTGTAATTTAAAAATATATACACTTTTTTGTGCTTTCTGCTAAATTTGATTATACGAAAGTTCTCAGGTGGTGTGACAAAGAGAAAAAGCTAATGATTTCTCAAGGCTTTAAAGTTTAAACCTTAAAAATATTTACATCTGACCAAAGAAAATAAAACTGTTTATATTACAACAACCACTAAATCCTCATATATAGTATAACAGATCCTTCTACACACTGTCCAAAACTGAAACTTTCAGACCAAGAAGTGTTTTTTTTCTTTTCCAGTCCAACTCTGTTCTCGCAAATCATCACATCTATCCTAGTGGAACCAATCTCTCTACCGGCGCCGGCGACCCACCAGTCTATTTCCGGCGAACTTGACGGAAGTTGAAACCAGGCGGTACCAGTCTCTGGCCGTAATTTTGCCGGAGACCCTCTGTTACGAGTTTTATCACTTCCCGATTTCTACTAACCGGAGACCCTCGGCGAACGGGATCTGATTTTTCCGGCTAACCGGAGATGAAGTTTATGGAATTAGGGTTTCGACCTGACACATTTTACACTGTGGAAGCTGTAAGGTAAAAAGAAAGAACCAATCATCTCTCTTAAATTTTTCGAATCCTCTGTTTTAACCAATTCAGATCTTTGGACTGCTCTGTTCCACAGGTCTGTGTCTTGTGATTTGATAAATGATCTTGTAATCCAAGTCAAATCCACAAAATATCTTCTTCACAAGGTTTAAAAAGTTCAAACTTTATTTTGTTTCTCCACAAGCTCTGTTTCTAACTTTGGTTTGTGTTTGTTGGCAATGCAATTTACAGTTTCCGATGTTGTCCAAATGCTTGCGTTTGAAGAACTTAGTCTCTTCGCAATCTTTAGAAACAGAAGAAACCTCGAAAGAACAGCAAGTGATTCAACTTGTTGATTTCCCCGGCGAAACAGAAGCTTTTGAGCTCTGTGCTAAGTTCTGTTACGGCATCACAATCACTCTTTGTGCTCACAATGTTGTTGCGGTACGTTGTGCAGCTGAGTATCTAGGGATGACGGAAGAAGTGGAGCTCGGCGAGACTGAGAATCTTGTTCAAAGGCTTGATCTTTTCTTGACTTCTTGTGTCTTCAGGAGTTGGAGAGACTCTTTTGTTACTCTTCAGACCACAAAGGTGTTACCTTTATGGTCTGAAGATCTTGGGATCACAGACCGATGCATTGAGGCGATTGCTAACGGTGTAACTGTCTCCCCCGGTGTGGAATTTTCGACACAATTGGAGACTGGTCTGTTGAGAAACCGGTCAAGGAGAAGAAGAGATGAAAGCATGTGTAATGGTGGAGTGAGTAAGGCGGCAGAGAATTTGCGGTGGTGGGGTGAAGATTTAGCTGATTTGGGTTTAGATCTTTACCGCAGAACAATGGTTGCGATAAAATCATCAAACCGGAGAATATCTCCTCGATTAATCGGAAATGCTCTTAGGATCTATGCATCTAAATGGCTACCGAGCATCGAAGAAACCTCTGCGGATTCAAATCTTGTTTTGGAATTGGTTATTTCCCTTCTGCCATCAGAAAAATCTGCTGTTCCTTGCAGTTTCTTGCTTCGGCTACTGAAAATGGCGAATGCTATGAATGTTTCGCCTTCTTCGAAGATGGAACTCGCGATAAAAGCCGGGAATCAACTGGATAAGGCAACCGTTAGCGAGCTGTTGATACCCTTACGGGATAAGTCAGGTATGTTATATGATGTAGATGTTGTGAGGATGATGGTGAAACAGTTTCTGTCTCAAATCAGTCCTGAGATAAGGCCAACAAGAACAAGAACTGAACATAGAAGGTCTCATTCTGAAGAAAGCATTAATTTGGAAGAGATACAAGAGATTAGGAGATCTATGTCTACTTCTTCTTCTCCTCCATTGTTGAGTAAACTAGCAAAGCTTGTTGATTCATATCTTCAAGAAATCGCTAGAGATGTGAACTTAACAGTTTCCAAGTTTGTTGAATTGGCTGAATCGATACCTGATGTTTCAAGGATTTGTCATGACGATTTATACAAAGCGATTGATACCTTTCTTCAGGTAAATAGCAATCAAGAAAGTATTTTACATGAACATATACACTGAGAAAGCATCTCACACTATCTCTCTGTATTGCAGGTTCATCAAAAGATTGAGAAGAGTGAGAGAAAGAAGTTATGCAGTATCTTGAACTGCAAGAAACTATCAGTAGAGGCAAGCAAGAAAGCTGCACAGAACGACCTGCTTCCATTGAGAGTGATCGTGCAAATCCTCTTTGTCGAGCAAGCACGAGCCACAATAGCTACAACTGCAAACAATATCACTGCGAATGAAACAGCGGTTTTAAGGAGAAGCTTTACAACGAGAAGAGAAGAAAGAGGAGAAGAAGAAGTAGAAGAAAGAGATGAAATCAAACCAATCGGAGGGTTTCAAAACACACCTTCGAGATTTATGGCGTTTTGTGCTATCCCAAGACAACCTAAGAAGATGTTATGCAAGTTGTTGTCGATCAGTAGGAGTTTAAGTCAACGAATTTAAGAAGAATTGAGGGTATTGAGTTTTTTTTTTTTTGAATACTGGTTTCTTGTTGCTCAAGTCAAGTTGTCTTCGTCATACGCCCCTATGAATTTGTGATTTTCATTTGTCACATGACATTGTATATCCCAATAATCTTTATTTGATATTTTTTAAAAGAAAGTATGGTGGTTGAAAATTAATTGATTCTTTGTAACTTCTTGTTTTGTTGATTTTGTCATGTTTTGATATTATGTTCCTTGATTAGTCCACTTCAAGTCTTCAAATAGAATATATTAGTATAACACTGCTTTGGTACTTATTTTACATTCCTCAAAATTGACTCATCTAAGTCGATCAATCAAAGTACTCAAATCCATCATTCTTTTACATATGTTTTACATCCATATAAGGAAATTGTACGTAGGTTAACCATTTTTTCTCTCGTTTTGGACGACTTCTTCACTTGATCCTCTCTCAAGGACTCAGCGGTCTTACAGCGCTAGAGTTTCGTGGTTGGGTACTTGGTTCTCCCTTTGATCTGCTATTTCAAAACTCTTTTGGTTTGAGTGGTTTCTCTTTCCTGTACAAGTTCGCTCTCTCTCGAATCTGTTGGAGATAGAAGTTTTTTTCGTCTAGTTTGGGCTTGTGACTTGATTGGGCGTTTAACCTTGTAAATATTGTAATGGTTGGGCCTTTGGCCGTCCTGGGCGTTTTGCCTTGTAAGTATAGTTTAAGTTTGGGCATGCGGCCTTGTTGGGTGTCTAGCTTTCTATTTAACGGTGTTCGTCTTTGTCGAAGAAATTCTTTTAAAAAAGAAATCTCCATTACATGGCTATTAACTAAAATAAACCAGAGATTAGATCTCTAGCAAGTAGACCAGTACTACCCCTCACAAGATTTCCTTCTTTGGACTTTTATATGTTTTCGTCATTGTAGACCATTCATCTCCAAAATCCAAATATGGAAAGATATGTGGGGATGCATGGTTTAGTTATATGACATTTTTAAAACGTGGTCACTGGTTCATACGTAGCCTCTGAGTTTTCTACACTTATCTATATAGTTGGAGGCATGCGTCTAACACCACATGTGACTTACCTACAGCCTACAGGAGTTACGTTGTTTATTTACACTTTCCCTTTATAATATTTTTACATAAGATGGACACTGAAATTAATTTAGAATTTTAACTCATTTTGTTATTTTAGAAAACGAAAAGATTATTTCATATATCCTCTATCTCTATCTCCAATGGATTCAGAGACGACCATACCGAGCCAGAACCAAGAAGAGACCAAGATGGAGTCAACAGAGTTCGAGAAGAATCAGAAGCGGTACCAAGACTTGATCGCCACATTTCCTCACGTGAAAAGTTCGTTTTCCCAAGCTCCGTTGATCGAGTATGGTGGTCACTGGTTCTTACAGCCACTCCTAGAAGGTTGCCTTCACGCGCAAGACTTCTTCCAAGCACGACCCACTGACATCCTCGTTTGTACTTACCCAAAGTCAGGTACCACTTGGCTCAAAGCTCTAACTTTCATCATCGCTAATCGATCTCGCTTCGAAGACGATTCCTCCAACCCTCTCCTAAGAAGCAACCCTCAGGATCTTGTTCCTTTTATTGAGCTAGATCTCCCTTTGTTCCCTAAAGGTGATGGCATCAGAGACAAAGAAAACAATCTGTTTGCGACTCATTTGCCTCACGATTTGTTACCCGCATCGATTGCAAAATCAGGTTGTAAAATGGTTTACATCTGGAGAGACCCAAAGGACGCGTTCATCTCCTTGTGGGCTTTCATTGAACAGCAAAAGTCATACTTTGGCTCTCTCAATAGTCTTGAGGAGTCTTTTGATATGTTCTGTCGAGGTAATTCTGTGTACGGTCCTTGTCTAGATCATGTCTTTGAGTATTGGAAAGCTTACCAAGAGAATCCAGATGAGGTTTTGTTTCTCAAGTACGAGACAATGAGGGCTGATCCTTTACCCCACGTGAGAAGATTGGCTCAGTTTATGGGTTATGGATTCACAGTTGAGGAAGAAGAAATAGGTGTCGCTGAGAAAGTTGTGAACCTTTGCAGTTTTGAGACGCTGAAGAATCTTGAGGTCAACCAAGGGGAGAGAAACAGAGAGGTCATTCCTGCGGTGTATTATCCGAACAGCGCGTATTTCAGGAAAGGAAAGGTTGGAGATTGGCACAACTACCTGACTCAAGAGATGGCTGCTCGAATCGATGGACTGATGCAAGAAAAATTCAAGGGGACTGGTCTGCTTGAACATGGTAATACTACATGACGGGTTAAATCTTGTTTAATACAACGAATCATCCTTATCTGCTTTAATTACAGCACACGTTGTATTAAAGTTATTGGAAGAATCAAATCTTGTTTTTTACTTTTGTCCAAATGTACACATTTTGATTTATGTGTTCAAAATCTTGATCCTCCTCTGCAACTTTTATGTTTTCAATCTCTTGTGATTATTAAAAAATTTCGGATATACTGTTTGATTCAAGCAATTAGCATCTTAAATCAAATATTTGTGTTTTTTTCTCATTATAGATAACGAGAACAAAACAGAGCATCCTCTGTTTCTTACCAAATATTCATAATGAATGAAGAAAAAACACAACTATTTTGATTTGCTAGCTAACTTGTTACCAAATAACAATCTTCTGTTTTTAGAAAGCAAATACATATAATTCTTATTTTACAAACTTATACAAAACGGTAAAATGAGGAATGATAAGTTCATAAGAAAGTAACCCCAAAATCGTTTTAAAACTGAGCAAAAGTTAGAGTTGGTGATAATAGTGAGAGTCTCCAAGTTTCTTATCTCCACCATCACCAGATCCTCCTCCAAATCCAATGGTCTGAGTCACTCCAGAAACAAGATTAGTAACCATGGAGGTTCCCCAATAGACCCATCCGGTTTCATCTCCATGTCTCTCAGCCTCAACACCAATCCTCTGTTGCTGCTCTGCCATAATCCTATCCCATCTTTTTCTCATAAACTCTCTAACCGCTTCAGCTCCTTGGTTAGCCACTTCTTGAGATGGGATCTCGAGCGGGTTCTGGTCTAAGTTCAGTTTCTCCAGCTTCCTCAGCAAGTAAAACGAGTCTGGTATAGTTTGGATTTGGTTGTTGCTTAGATCAAGCTCTCTTAGGTTAGTTAGGTCAGTGATTGTGTCAGGGACACTCATCAAGTTGTTGAAATTGCTGCTCAAGTTTAGAACCTCGAGTTTCGTTAATCTCCCGACAGAATTTGGAATGCCGTGGATCTCGTTCATGTGTGCATCAAGGTACTTTAGGTTATACATTTCGCTTATCGAACCTGGAAAGTATCGGAGTTTGTTCAGCTGGATCGATAATCTCTCGAGGTTCTGTAATCCATATCCAATGTTTGTAGGTAATGAGGTCAAGTTGTTGTAGCTTCCATCTAACTCAACCAGTGACCTAAATCATAACAAAAAAAACAATTGAAACCTCAGGACAAAAGTATAGGAATCATAACATTTAAAAGAAAAGACAAGACCACAAACCTGCAATGCGCGATACTTTCAGGGAGTGCGGTTAGATTGTTCGCATTGACATTAAGGATCCTAAGGTTAAGCAACATTCCTATAGAATCTGGAAGAGATTCAAGAGAATTCGAAGAAACATTGAGCTCTTCTAGATTCTTGAGTTTTGAGATTGCATCAGGTATAAACTGTAATATATGTTTCAGAAATTGTAAGGAAAGCATATAAAAAAAACCAATGATAGTTTCTTGCAGTTCAAGACTCTAAAAAAAAAACAGTTTCAGACATTTGCAAGAAGCACCAATGATATTTCTTGCATTTCAAGATTCTGCATAAGCAGTTTCTAACATTGATCAAATCTTTCAGTTTTTTCTTTTTCAATATATATATTTGAAGCTATTTTTTCAATCATGTGAGATGATTCGAAGTTTAGTACTTAATTACCGTTAAGTCGTTGCTTGAGAGATTCAAGTAAACTAAGCCAACGATTTTGCCAAAAGCTTCAGGAATAAGCTTAAGTTCTTGACCGGAAAGATCGATCCTCTCAATGATCCCGCCTGATTCCGCCGCCTTGAGCACCGCAACAACCTCCTCATTCACTTCTTGGCTACTCTTCAACATCGATTCCACCTCAGTAACATAAACCCTAGAAAGATCTTCCTCCAAATCCTTCAACTTCTTCTCGTAACTATCGTGCACTTCATCCAACCGCACAACCCCGGCGTAAATCTCGGTCTCCTTCGCCGCTTCCTCGGGTGAGAGAGAATCCATAATCTGAGCGATCTTGGACCGAGCAGAGGAAACTGCCGACTGGTTAGGTCTTGAGCCAAGAGAGTTGAAAACGAAAAGCGTCTGCGTGATGGTTTTAGGGATGGATTGAGTCAAGGAAGACATGATTTGTGGATCGGAGAGAAGAGGAAAAGAAGGAAGGAGGGTTTGTTGCGCAGCCATAGACGGCGGCGCGTGGAGATTGGAGTCGAGTTGATGAAGAACGTAAGAGAGCAAAGGGAACCTGTCGAGATCCATAGTTTTGTGATTATTAGTCAAAGCTAATTGAAGATTAATAGAGGTTTTAAGTAAAGGTACCATATCGATAGTTGAACAAGTCATTTAGAATATTGAAGTTGATGTTGCCATGTTTAGTGATCACAAAGTCTAGTGGATTGAAAAAAAGTGTCCAAGTTGACCAAAGAACTTATGAATAATAAAGATTCCAATGGATGAACAAGTCAATCAGCCATCTTTTTAGAATATAATCGAATCAAGTTCAAAACCAATCCGGTCCAGGATATGCAATTGGGATATAGAACGAGTCCTATACGTTAGAAATTTATCCGCATATTCAATTCAACCCACGTACATACCCCAAGAATCAAACTCATGTTTACTTGTATGATCATCTTAGCTTTTTTGGATCATTAACATAAACATCGACATGGCCTAAAAATGCCTAATTTCGTGTTAGACCGCCTAATTGTGATAGTAGTCCTTATACAAATATAATCCCACCAACCTAATTTATTTAGCTTGAAATATCTGAAAATCCAAAACGCACGTCTATTTTTAGGTCATTTAGCTTACACCCAAAGTATTCCTTTCTCACAGTTCCAAGACTTCAATTTTGTTTTTAGGATAATAAATAGTAATTTGGTGTCTTCTCCTCCCCCACCCAAAAAATACTAAAATTTCATTTTTCGTATTCATTCATATATATCATTCCCAGCTGTATTTCCAGGACCCCATTTCGATTTAAAATCGAATCTTATCATCATCACTTTCATATTTATTAATTCCCAACATTCTTAATCTTTTCTTCTTAAATTTTTGTCTTTCTCTCACAATTTCTCCAAAGCTTATCCCGTTTCGAATTTCGCCTACCAAAAAAAAAACATCATAATATTAGCACATACCAATACTTTGATATTAAACCAAAACTGGACCACATTATCACAAGTCACATACCGTAAACCAGAAAAATCGATCACGCCTTTGCTCCCGGTTATACAAAGGATTTAGATACTTTACCCTGCAAACGACAAAAAGTGATTCTCAATTTTGTTAGTTCAACCAAAAAAAAAAATGTTGAACGGGAAATACAACGACGTCCGTTAAACGGAGACGACGGAAAAGAAAACAGAACAATCTAACGGACGAGTAGATAAGGTAGCGGTGACACGTGGGGGCATGGTTAGAAGATAACGGGAAACATGCAACGGCAATAGACGGAGTGATGATAACGGAAAGAAATTCAAAAAAAAAAAAAAAAACTAACTCACCCAATTCATCATCACCAAGAAAAACGAAAAAAGCTTTGGGATGATTTCATTAATGGCGACGGTGGGATTCACGTACACGTACACCCTTCTATTTTTTTTATATCTCTCTCGCTCTTTTACAATTTTTTTTTTCAAACGAAGAAGATATATATTTCCAACCTTACTTTTTTTTTTTTAAATTGTATATTCAGAGATGATTCTTCAATTTCTCGATGATGTTATTGCCAGTGATTGCCGTTGTGAACAAGGTAGAGATTTCTCGAATTACGGTGGACGTAGCAACCGTAGCATGGATTCTTCACCGTCGTCAACCTCGGTGGCGACGGATGAAGCGGTGGTTTAGACATCGACGGAGATCTAGGACTTGATGAAGAAGATGAAGTAGTAGAAGATGATGACGTGTTAGTGGTGGATGACGGTAACGCTAACGGAGTAGGATAAGTAGAGATCGTTGATTTTTTAGATCCGGCGGCGGATTTTGGTGGATTTAAGAAGACTCTGATCTTCATCGGGGAAGATGATGAAACGAGATCGTACTCTTCGATTAGATTCGCTAGATCTTCATCGGAAGTAATCGAAACGAGCGCGTCGAGATCTTCCGTTGGGAGTTGACACCGGATCGTAACCGTTGTAGATCCACCGCACATCTCCGCCATCTTCGATGCTAGCTCTGTTAACACGCACCACACGCGCGGCCTCAAAATCCGATTTCGTATTGTTTTTTTTTTTTTGGGAATTTTGAAATTCGAAATCAAAATTGACAAACCGGAGAAAAGAGATCGAGAGTGGTAAGGAACTAACCGGAAAATGAGATGGAGCGAGGAACGGCGAGGACGCGAGTGTGACCGCCGTTGTAACGGAGCTTGCCGTCGGGGTAACGAGGTAAAATCTTACCGCCGTAGCTACAGAGGAATTTGATTGTTGAGTTTGTCATAACTGTATAGAGAGAGAAGAGAGAGTTGAAGAAGGAAGAAGAAGAATCTAGAAGGTTGGATTGTTGTGAGCAAGCCAAGTGAAGAGTAACGTTAAGAGCGTATTTATAGCGATTCATGGAATTGAGTAAACAAAGAGGAGATAGTGAAAGGGTAGGATCGTCATTTGGTGGACCTGTTATGTTACGTAAGCAAAAGTCTACTTCTTCTTTACTTATTTCTTTAATGAAAAAAACTCGTAACAGATAACAAGATTTATGATAAGTTTTGTTTTTTTGTTTTTTAACTTTTTTAAAGAGTATACTATGAATGAATACTATACAATAGGCTAATTTCTATTTAAATTAGCCTTTATTTTAAACTTTTGAAGTGTACATATCGTATCGTATTTTTATTGAAAATAACACACAAAAAAGTTAGCAAAAAATACAAACGTTGCACAAAAAATGTTTGATCAGAGACTAGAAAAGTTTAATCTAGGCTCTATTTGAAGTCTAGTTGATACATAAAATATGGTGCAAAATAAAATATAGACATGATCATATATACACAGATTAAAAAAAAAAAGTTGACACATGAAAGAAAGAAAAAATAGGTGAACAAAATAACTATTACATTTACAGTAATAAAGCCAATAAAGTTACTCTATTATCATTTTCGATTTTGTGTTTCATTTTTAACTTCTCATTTTTAACGCATTTTTAATAATGTATTTTTAATATTATTTTTAACTCATTACTAAAATATTTTCCATGTTAAATATATAAAATAAATTTGGTTTAAGTATATTTGACATTATATATGAACCTTGTAAATGTGATTAATAACAAGTTAATAAAAATATTAGTGGCTTGTCCAAAATATATATATATATATATATCAACTATCTTACCATGTTCACACATAAATTATTTGGATATATAATATATTACCGTATTATTATTTTATATAACATGTTATTATGTTATCTTTAAACGTTACAAGTATTTGTAGTGCATCATTATTGTTATCATGAGTATTATATATAGTTGTTTATGACATTTTTGTTTATGTTATTTAACCATGAAAAATATTTTAAAACTAAAATTTTCAATTTTTATAAGATATATTAACTCGTGTAACACAATAACTAAGAATTTAGCACATAATATATGAACTTATCATGATACTACACTATTTAAATGGTAAATAAATAATGATCTACAAATAGAATTTACATCAATCTCATATAAACATCGAATATGATATTAATTATAATGACGAATAGTATTATCGATAGATGAATGAACAGTATCACCTGGAGGTCTACAGACAGTATCGCTAACATATAGTAAACAGTTATCTTAAAAATGTTTTTAAATGTAAATAATCCAAATAAAAAAGATTTTTGTGGTAGAAACTAATTTTTCTTTGTTACTTTCTTCATTTTAAAATTATCAATGATAGAAACCTAATAAAATGGTCAATTGTGTATATACTTCAACATAGCCCAAAACATAGATATATAATATTTCTTAGTTAACATATGTATTTAAACGATATAAATTTCAGTTAAAAATATATAATATCTTATGAAAAACTACTTCAGATTAACATATGTATACAAAATAATAAATTTAAATTAAAAATTTATACTTTCTTGTGAAAAACTACTTCAGATGAAAAACTTAAAACAAAATTAGCTACTAACTATATATACAAGAACTTGATTTTAAGGGAAATGCTGTTCAAAATCTAAGGAAATCGAGTTGTTTTAAAGTTAAAACAAGTTAAAACCTATGGAAGACTAATCTCAACAAGGGCAAGTTCTTATAACTGATTTCAAGCCAAAAATGCTAATCTTATTTTTAAGCTAATCTCAACATGTTCTACTTTAACTATACAAGCACTTAATTTAATTTTATTGGTTTTAAGTATACAAGATTATCTGCTAATCTCTTTTGTAATTAATAATAACATATATATATATATAGTAATGATAGTTAGGACAAAAATGGTGAAAAGCTTTCTTCACTGAAAAATCGCCGCCGTAGTCATTTATACAACTAAAATTTGTTATCTTAAAACCTATTACAAAATTATAATACTCAATCTATATACTTTTATTATCAGATATTATCAATATAAAAACGTGATAAACACAAAATAATTATACAAATTTCTTATTAATAAATAATAACTTTGATAAAGGAAAAATCTAAAATAATTACAAAAAAATATTTATAAACATATACAAATATATAATAATTGTAATTGATTTTGAAAGTAAACATATTAATAGTAACAACATACAATATGCTCATACATATATATAAGTATGATAGTACACCAACAATATTAGTACAAACCATTGAACTACATATTTTAATAAATAGGTAATGATTTTAGAAAATGTAAATCAATTATTTTGACTAGAATGTTAAGTATTCAGCTTATCTCCGAGTCGATAGTGTTTGAGAAGATTTAGAAGCAAAACATGTTTTTGTTTGGTCTAGGATGTTATGTTCCTTTATTCATATGATATATACATAAATTTTGAGAGACAACTTGACTTAACAAATCATTTACATTCACATAAAATCATATATCAAATTAATGTAATAAAGAGTAGCTAGATATTTTAGAAACTTAATTTAGCTTAGGTTTATTATGGTTTTAGTTTGGTCTTTAATGACAAAAGTGACTAAATCAATTTTAAAAAATGTTGTTGGCATATACCACCATATTCTCTAAAGCTAGAATGTTACATCATAATCCATATTTAGCTGCTTTCTAACAAAATAATTTTAATATAATTAGCTGTGAACTGTAATTTAGTTTCGTGTGGCTCGGCTAATGCCACTTCTAGCTTCTAACTAGTGGACATTGTTCCCAACTGTTGTGAACAAATTTGACAAAGATAGACAAAATAATAAAGAGAACAAATTTGACAAAGATAGACAAAAATAAAGAGAATTACCGGGACCCATATCACGTGGGCCACACATGGACATGGTCCATAGAAGTTGCATGGCCATAATGCAAAAACCCATTCAACCATTTATACATAATTTTTGTTTTGAAATGCTTTAAAGTGTTTTATTAAGAACATTGTTAATTTTTTTTGTAAATTCCCTGTAGCTAATTTTACTAACAAAAATTCAAGATATATATAATGAAAAAGTGTTTAGTTTTATTGATTGATATATAGTGCTGTTTCTGCAACTAGCTATAGATATAATTTATATAAAGACAATAATATTAAAAAGGTGGATAACAAAAGAAAAGAGATAAACATTAAAGTGAAAAAACAAAATTCTAAGGTTACATCAACATTATCCAATGATGTCATGTAATGTATACACAGACTGCATCAAATAAATATGAAAAAAATTCAAAATCGAATATTCTTTTGGAAATATGCTTTTGTTTTTCATATTATTCATATATATACATATTATATATATATATATGTATATATATCTATGTGTATGAAATTTTTTGGAAATGATAATGATTATCTTGTTTATACGTGTGTATCAGTATCGCCCGATCTCTATGTCCAATTATTTTTTATGGTCCTACTCATTTTTTTGCAAGGAGATTAAACATTTATATAACAATATCTTTTAGGTTTTAATAATACCAATATAGAAAAAAAAATAAGAGTATCATAAACGTATCGTGTGGTAGTGTATAATTATAAAGATACCATGAAATATCACCAAAATTAACGAGCTGATATGTTAAAAGCACACCATGCAAATATCATCAAATGCATGATCCTATCACGTAAAATTTTGGTTCATACCACGTAAAATTGTTATATATATTTTATATATCGTGAATAATTTTTAACCGTCATAAGAAAATAGAGTTTTAATAAATGCATGTTTTTATTTATATTATAAAATAAAAATAGAGTTTTTATTTATATTATAAAATAAAAATAAGAGTATCATAAATGCATGTCTCGCGGGACGGCGTATTCGTATTATCCCAATTCCCACACACTATGTGTGTGCATAGATGTAATAAGAATGTTATATATTTTATAATTTGTTTCAATGAACATCTTACGCAAAATGTTCAATTCACACTAACATTCATGATATCATTCTTACTCAAATACTTACCAAAATAAACTATAAATCATTATAAGAATTAATTAATTTAGCCTAACAATTTGTTTTTCGATTTTTTTGATTTTTCATCAATCATGTGTACTTATTTCTTCTTGCCTCCGATTGGTAACCTATTTAGAAATAAAAAAAAACGAAAAAGGAACAAAAATAAAAAAGAAAAAACAGAAAAAGAATTCTCATAAAAAATAGGAATAAATGCTGAGGAAAAATAGAACAAATGTTCCAGTAAATGGTAACCAAAAAACTGAACAAGTAAACTTAAATAATATAAATAATTTATACAAAAAATTATTTAATAAATTTAAGTTTAAAAAGAAATTTAGTTTAGAACTTTCATTTAAATTATAATACTTAATATAATAATTTAATTTATTTTTTATATTTTAAAACATTAATAAATGTTTTAAGTTAAAACCTATTTTAAATTTCTTTAAATATTTTTCTAATATAATATATAAATTCAAAACATTAATAGAAAGTGAAAATTATGATGAAATAATATTTTATTTAAAATATATAATAATTTTTTAAGTATTTATATATAGAAATGTCAAAATTATCAATATAAATATTTTTAAAATATTGAATTATAAAAAAACGAAAATAATATTTGTTCCTCATTGTTCCTCTACAATTTTGAGTAGGAACATTTTTGAACTGTTGTTCCTTTTTATTTGAGAAATGAATAGGAATAATATAGATCCCACATATCTGAAAATTGAAAAAACATTATGCATAAATGGTAGCAAAAATTGAGGACCAATGAGGAACACCACATTGCTCTTCATTCTATTCCTAAAAAGTGGTCACCAATTGGAGCCCTTGGTTTTGGTAGGAGAGAACCTCCATTTACCCTTTATTTAAATAAACAATAATTACAATCAAACTAACTAAACATGGATACGCATGCTCAGTAATTAACATCTTTTAATTATTACAGATTCATGGAATACAGTCTCGTTCTAATTAAATGAAATTTTAATAGTAAAGTAAATGCATAGCTCGCTAATCGATTTGCGATACGAATCGAATA